ATAAAAGGGTAAAGGGTTGGACCTCGGGCCGGAGCCTCCCCGTATATAAGCTTGTTGAGTAACCCCCCTGGGCGGCGCTGGGACAAAATACGGAGACTGAGGGAGAGCGTCTTCAGTTTTTTAATACTGTGCAAGAGCTGGATACAGACGATCCTCCACTAACAGCCACCGGCTCTCTACAACGGCCACTTCATTTTGTCCTGGCGGACAGTCCAAACATTGACTCTCATTTGAACCTCCCTACAACTCTCCACAACGGTAACGGCCACTAAAACATGTTCCCAGCTCCTAAAATCCTAAAATAACTTCTCACGATCTTGACTAAAACACCACACGGGTACATACGGGTAACATACGAGTAACATATGGACACATACGAGTACATACGAGTAACGTACGGATACATACGAATGCTCACGAGTAACACAGTTTAAGAAATTTTAAAAAATGTAAATGTAAATTATTCATTTATAACAGTTTTTAACAGTTCCTCAAAATACATAACTTAAGTAATTCATATCATTTACCACAGAAAAAAATTCGCTTTGTCTTGTTTTGTTTTCCTTTTTTCTATTCTTTTATTTCAAATAATGCGTGACTGGCTCATACAATCATGAATAATGATCGCATATGGGTAGAGATAGGATAATGATCGAGTTACGAGTCTGAGTTGAGTTAGAGTTGAGTTTGAGTTAAGTTTCAGCTAAGATTGAGTTACGTTTGAGTTACCATTTTTCGGCTTTCATTATATTTTATTTTTTAATTTTTCCATTCTGTGAATGCAAATGATGGCAAATATCATCGGCGTTACACATATTTTTGCAGATGAAGTGCGTAAATTCAATTATTTTTCAATTTTGCAAAAGGGAAAGGGTGTAGACAGCCACACCTCCCCTCCCCTCCCTAGCAACCTTGGAATACCGCCTTTAGTAAAGATCCTGGACCACCCTCTGAACGCCTGGAACAGGCTATTAATAATGAGCAAAAAATTTCAATACTAAAAGATAAGAACGTAAGATTACAATCGCTTAATTTCTGTTATCATTTTTCTAGATTTCACCAAGAAGATCAAGACTTTTGCCGAAGAAAGCACGCTTTCAACAATAAAGTATTCTGAAGAAGGCTGGAGTATATTAACAAAACAACCTCTTCGTTCATCTCCGAAAGACTGTGTGTACAGTAGTTCTACATTTTAAAACCCATGACTCGCTTTAAAAAGTGGAGACTGAACTGCTTTTTCTCAAAGACGTCAACATCTGTGATTGAAACGTCCTTTCAGTTTAAGGAGTGATATTCAGAATCGTTACAGCAAAGATTTTGTACACAGAACAAAACAAAAAGAATCGAGAAAAGTATATTTCCGTACGACAATAACATTTACATACAGTCTAGCCTTAACGTAAAAGCTTGGCATGAAGGTGGTTCCTTCGTAACCCTAGAGACCTAAAACTTCTTTAAGAAAGACTTCTATCCAGAAATATGAAACAGCTCAAAATTGTCCTTTTTTCCCCTCACTTTCCGACGGTGATCCGTTCCATCTTGTTAAAAAAATCCCCGCTAGTGTAGATCGAATAAAGATTAATTTTTGTAAGCAGCTACCGTATTTTTATTTAGCGAGTCAGAGCTATCCAATACTTTCTGCAAAGTGCACGTTTTGACCTACTTTACTTCTGTTTCGTTCTCTTTCGCGGCGATCACTCAGTCATCGCAGGAGCCGGCTCCTGGTCATCCGCAATATGTCTTTTAAAGAGTGCAGCTAAATGTCGTGGGTGTGGGTAAATGTCGTGGGTAAAAAAAAATTATAGAAAAAATAAAAATAAAATAAATAAACAGAAAAAAGTTGTAAATAGATAATTTTATGATATAAAAATCTCCTCGGGTAAATGGTATGGGTATAAAAACAAGCAAAGAAAAAATAAGAGAATTAACAAAATTAAATCGAAAAACGTACACACCGGTCCCCTTCCCCGCGGTCAGGAAAGCAAATAATCGAAGCCTTAGCGCGTGCGACTTGGGTCCCCTTTCACAACATCACTGTATGGGACATGTCAAAGTTGCCGATGAAGATTTATCCACACCTGAGCGATCACTGCGAAAAAAACGAACCAGACGTACAATATGTCGAAACGTGCAATTTGTAGAAAGTTAATGGAATAGTTCTGGCTCGCTGAATGGAAATATAAATAGCTGCTCACCAAATCTTTATTCGATCTACAATTTCAATGATCAGCGGAGATCTGTTATCACGATCGTGGGAAAGGGGAGGGGAAGAGGTCTCTTTAATTGCATACGAAGAAACCACCTTCATGGTCAACCTTTTTAAGTTAAGGCGAAACTGTAAATTCTATTGCCTGAAAAAGGGGTTTTATTTTTAGTTTCTTTTTTTTAGCCGTATGACTTTACACTTGCAAATCAGTGACTTTGTCCATATATTTTCAAGGTTCTTTTTTTTCTAATAATTGTAAACAGGATGGTTTGAAAACACAAGGTGTGTGAGACTAGAGCCCTATTTACACTACAGAAAAAAATGGGCCCGGACCCCTAAAAAAGCTGGCACAGACCAGATATTTTTGCCGTGTAAACCTTCCGTACCGTGTTTTCATGAAACGGATCCGGACTCGCGTTTTTCTGGTTTTGGGGGCAATAAGCGGCTATGGCCACAACAACCGAAAAAAAACTAGTCCGGACCCCTTAAACTGTTCGAAAGCACTGTGTAAACGCATCTTCGTTTCCTACCATCTTCACATGAGCCTGCCGTGCTTTACGATGGTTTCTCGCATGTGTACTATTGCGCTTTTCAATCATAAACCTTGTAAACGGTTAAAAAAAATTGGTCCGGAGCACTTTTTTTCTGCAGTGTAAATAGGACTTAAATGACTACCCATACAGAGATATAGTTTTCTAAATTCTAAATAGTTTTTGTTTTGTGTACAAAATCTTTGCCGTAACGATTGAATATCATTGCTTCAACTGAAACGAGGGTTTTAGCCTCGAATTTGACATCTTTGAGAAAGAACATTTATATCCCCCGTTTTTCTTTTACCTGCTTCAGTTGTTTACAAAGAATACACAGTTTCTCCTATTTTTCGCCTAAATGTGTCCGTTTGTACTAAGAATTCGCTTATTTGCTTTGCGAACGCGGAGAATGGGAGTGAGACTGGTATGTAAGTGGAGATTTTTGTTTCATGAATTTTTCAATTTTTTTCTATTTAATTTGTTAATTTTTATTTTGTTTGCTAATTCTCTTCTTTTCTTCTATACTTTTTTTTTACCCACGACATTTACCCACACCCACGACACTTAGCTGCACTCAGCGTGTATATACTAACAAAATATATGAAAAAGATCTTGATATAATGAAACCTCATTAGAGCGAACACAGTCCCCTGGAACTTCGTTAAATCGAGGGTAAACTGGTCGAGATTGTTCTCCGACCATTAATTTCGTATTTTCTAATGAAAAAACTTAACAGTCTGCCGCTTTATGGACAGGCAAACCATGTTTTCGGTTTGTTCTCCACACAAACCTCATCAGTTGCCAGGTTGGCTTTGTTTAGTTGCTCCAGCTGTATAAATAATTTTGTCATACACAAACTGTTGTTTCAATGGAGTGAAAGTGAACTAATTTATGTTTACTTGGGATGGGGTGGGTTGGGGTGGTTAAGGGATTAACGGGTGGGTCAGTCACTTTGGTACCAAAAGGAACGAATGGGCCATGTTTTTTTTTTCCAGAAGCATATAACCCTCCTTCTGGTTTTTCTTGTGGGAGGCAGTCGTCTTCAAGACGCAGTCCGACTGTAGCTGTGCATTTCTTTAGTGGTTTCAAATTAACAACTAAGGGACCCGGTCAGAAAATCAAACTCGACAGAAAAACGCCAATCAAAATTTCTAGCAACTCTTACCTTCAATCGATGGCATTATAAAAATAGTTTAGTAATGAAGCTTAGATAAGCAATCAAAATCAGGGAATTGAAAGCTGAGGGTTTTTCCCTTCCTCCCTGAGAGTGTACGGTCCCAACAGACCGTTTGCACGATGGCGTCACTTCACCACTACTACCAAAATCCGAATCGTTTTTCTTTTCATATTTAATTCGGTTATCCCAGGGAGGTAGTTTTTTTAAAAAATAAACAGAAGGCCTAATTTGCTCAAGAAAGCAAAACCCTTAAGGATTCTAGTGAGAGTAATAAAATGACGTCATCGTGCAAATGGCTTCCAAGGTTGGTTTATTTGCAGGCACCAGGTTTCACTGTCTTGAACATTTTAATAGAACAGTAACATAGAACTCTTCTTCTTAAACGTTTACAAAAATAGATGCTAAAGGGTCTTCACTTGACCCACGAGACTAAGTGTAAAAAGAAATCTTAAGAGAGAAAATGACAGCATCATTACATCGTCTGCTTCACGGGTTAAATATTAGGGACGTTACGAAACTACGACGGCGATGGGAACGGGAACGTCAAACAAGCAACTGCTTTATTAAGCAAAACAACTCTGCACGTGCATGACGTTTTTTTTTTTGCAAATTTCTAAGCCGTCTCTGCACAACAAGGACGGGAACGGGAACGGCAAGGCGATAAATTCTACCGTGCGCGGTCCCCTCTCTTCAGCACCAACGTAAATTCCCATCTTTTAAGTAACATGGCGACTTGGGATAATCGAGAATCAAGGATAAGAAGTGTATTTTTCAGCGACGTCTTAAGGGACGTCGCCGTTGTTGGATCGTAAGGTCCCTATAGCCATCTAAAGAGCGACTTAATAATCTGTGGGGGAAAATAAATTTGAAACATCTCAGTTATCAATCACATGGCAAATCTAAATTGTAAGTGAAAAAACACCTTCGCCTAATTATTGTCTTTGATTCTGTTTAACAATCCGATGATCAGCAAAGCGTGGTCATCGCCAAAAACCCAACTTCAATGGTTCCTTCTCATCTTGATAAAAACTTTAAACATGTTGCAATACTCGCACTGTCTTCGGCCACGAGTCAATTAACTTGTTGCCTACAGGAAGAACAGTTTGTCAGCCAGTTCTGAAGAAGGTGCCTTGTGAAGACTTTGTCCAACCAAGAAGGCAAGTTTGTGGGCATACTGACACGGTGCAGGAACACGGACGGTACCCTGAAAAAGCGTGGTGAGCATTATTCTATAAGTGCTAAGTCAAAGACCTTTTTATAGTTTGGGGATTTTAACAATTTATTATTTGGCATTCACTTTTTCCCTCAGAGAAACTACTATCGCCGACAAAATTGTTGAGACATAAGGTAAATAAGGTAACTTCAGAGAACAAAAGAATCCACACCCCTCCCCTGTCCCCTACATTCAAAGTTGGAGTGTTTGTTGCTTTCTAAAGGTAGCTCGAACAGCAGCACAACATTGCATGGAGGGAATGGGGGAGGAAAAGCTATATTTTCCCCTTTTGAAGTCAGGAAAACGTCAAAAAGCCCCTTTAGGGCGAAGTGTCAACTCATTTTGTCGGCGATTGTAGCTTGGTCAGCTATTAATAAATTCGAGCGGAAATGTAACACTAAGATAATTTAAAATTCCGTTAGCAAAATACAAAGAACAAACGATCTAGTGTGAAATGTAAACAGGGTCATTTTCACTAACATAATAGGGAGCTTAAGAAAACACGATTGTGGACAATGCACGACAACGGGAAGTAAGACCTTTTCCCTTTTAATATCCCTTGACGCCAACACATTTGTCCACATTTGTATTGCTAAGTATCTTTACTCTTACTGAGACGAACTGCCAAAACAATTGGGCAAAATTGCTGCCCAGGACCGAGTTGTTTAAAGCGGGGTTAAGATAATCCAGGGTTAGTGTGAAATTTTAATTCACATATGAGAGCTTAAAAACAAAATTCAGTTTGATTCTTGTCATCTACAATTTGATGATAGAACACTCTAAAAAGAATAGAGGAAATTATCCGAGAAGGTGCTATTGATGAAGAGGAAAAGACACCTGGGCCGAGTTGTTCGAAGCTAGGTTAAGATAACCAAGGGTCAGTGTGAGATTTGAATTCAGATTTGAAAGCTTAAAAAGCATTTCAGTTTTAATTCTTTTTGTCTACAAGTTGATGATTAGAAGCTCTACAAATAACAGAAAAAATTATCCGAGAGAATCCTTTTGAACACAACAAAAAGAAACCCGGGTTAAATTTAACCCTGGGTTGAGCGCTAATTTAGGCTTTTTAGGTTTTTATTTTCTGAACAAAAATCTACATTTTAGCTAAGAGAATTCAGTGGCATTCAGCTGATTCCTTATATAAAATCTGCATACTATTAGAGACCTTAAGATACCCCGATATCGGTGTACGGGTAAGGGTAGTGTACCCGTACACGTAAAATGTTCATGTGCGTGACTCACTGTGACTATTTCCATTAAGATACCCGAAGAATTAACGCAAAATTAACTCTGTACATGCAAGTCGCTTAATGCATACAAAATCTCCCTCAAATTCTACACTTCATATCTTAACAACAAGCTGCAACAAATAATTCATTCATACATAAGCTTATTGAAATATCATAGAAAGATTTTAAGAAACTTGGCGGGAAGTCCCTCGACCGAAAGCTTGTTATCGCAAACCCCGCCATTTGATCGAGGCACATCACCAAACAATTTCTTTGATTGTCAACTTCAACAGTGACTCCCATGCTAAATTTTTCAATGCTATTTCTTTTGCGAAACTCGAACGTTCGAGCAATTCTCAGAAATCCCTCCAAATACCGCCACAAATTGATATCGTTTCAGAGTTCAACCTGCGCATTTGAGGTCCAAAATCAATACATTTTGAAGCGCTTTCTTTACAGCCAAAATTCAAATTTGGCAAAAATATTTGAACAGACTTGCAATAACATTGCCAAGGAGTCATACAATTTACATTTGTACTTAAAAAAGTCTTAAAAACTTACTCGTTTCTCCATCATGTAGGACTTGCAGCTTTCGTAAATCTTCTACGGGTAAACTGGTGTCTACCCCGGAAAAACGGCTAGTTCTACCGGGCAAGGTCGATGACGTCACCACAAAATGAGAAAAACATGGCGCTACCCGTTACCCGTACACCGATTTCGGGGTATCTTAAGGTCTCTGTTATGTATCCGAAGAGGATCATAATTGTTGCCTTATCTTATTTGCAAAAATGTCAGCAAGCAAGTTAGACCTTTTTTAAAATAGATTTTAGAAAATAAGAACCTGTTTAACAAATTTTAGGTCAACCAGGTTCTTACTGTATTTTAATTATTTCACTTACAGGCCAGTTGTAGTAGAGGTGAGTAAGCTTGTAGGACAAACGCTGGAGATGATCTGGTTTTAATCCTGAATTGTCTTCAATCACATTGAAGTGAGTGGGCGACACTGTTCCCTGACGAACAGACTGACTCACAAGGAAGAAATCATACCTGGACAATAAAATAATTAGAGTAAATGAATAGTGCATTTTCTGTCTATAAAACGCAGCCCTAGTGCCGATTGCTTGTAACCCTTTCATACCTAAGTTGGAGTTGCATGTAGTGAAACAACCATTGAAAGCCGTATCCCATTCAATAGTGAGGGAACAGTTACAACATCCAAAACAAAAAACAGGTATGCAGAGTTCATACAAAAATTGCAACCATTTCTTAAGGACTTTTCAAGGACCACATTCAATTTTTAAGAATCACCTACTTTTCACAGATTGTAAAAAAATGCACATTTCTAGTCAATTCTAACAGGACTCTAAGGGTTGAACTGTCTGCTCCACCAACTTCTCAACTTTTTTCCAGCTCACTTGTCTTAAAATGTTAATTACTGCATAAAACAAAAAAACGCGTTATGAAAATCACCTTTAACGTTTCTGAACTATGATTTATATTCTGTCTTGGACAACCAAAAAGCATTAAAAACACTTTCCAGGACACTACATTCAAAGTTAAAGAAAATTCCAGGACTTTTTAAGGAACAATTGAATTCAAAGACTTTTCAATGACTCCCCCTAAAATACACGCACTTTTCGAGACCATGCAAACCCTGTTATTGGAAAAAAAAAGGAAAGGGACTACCGTGAGGTATTAAAACCAATTCAGCCTGTCAGTTTCCAAACCTTACCTAAGCCATCTGCAACTTCATGACAGGCATGAGATATTGTAATTGGCATTCATGTATGTAATAGCATGCACGTAGTTTACAAGAAAGTCATTGGACAACTGAAAAATGAAGAGTACTCTACGTAACAAGCTCTTTCAATGTGAATATTCATACCATTGAGGGCGAGTGATGTCAGTGTCGACAACAGTTCCTGGGGGCGGGTTGGTAGGGTTTCTACCTTTGATAAACAACCTCGCACTGATCCTTTTTTTAACAATGATGACAGTTAACTTGGGCCTGAAAAAAAAAAAACAAACATGGAATGTAGATTCAGATTTAAGTGCTTACTAATAGTCAAAACTGCTTACCAAAAACCAAAACCCGTCATCTTGAAAATGAAAAAGGTGTTTTCCAAAGTTTTTGCTGTAAGGCCATGCAATATCCTCTATTTTTTAATGGACAGTGTTGGTCTCCTGACTTGAGGTATGATTGGCGCATTAAAAAGGCCACTGTCGATTTGCCAATCACGTTGAAAGAAAATTTACAATTCACTTCCGGTAATTTGTTGACTCTGTTAGGGGCCCAGAACAGGGATATCCGCGCTGCTTCGTAGAGGTCGCTAACCCTGCCAAAATCTACATATGAGACACAGGCTAACCAAAAGGATTATTCTTCAAAAACATCTCCAGGGTGGTGGATTGACCTTTGCATCCTTCAGTACAAGTGTTTTGCATCTCTAGAGTTTTTCTCCTCAAGGAGACAAGGGTAACGTAACCACTGAGTACAAAGATTTTGAATCACCACACTCACGCATAGTCTGCAGCGATGTCCCTAAATGATGATTTCAACTGAGAAACTTCATGCTCAACAACAGTCTGCAGCTGGCCATCACCAACGCCATCACGGTAGATGATGATTCGGTCTGGGAGCTCACGATTAATGTCATTGTAACGTCTCAAGGCCGCTGAGAGAGGAAATCATGCAAGAAAGCAAAGGAAGAATTAGATAACTTTTTGAGGTATTTGTTGGATTCTTCATCAGGGATGTCACCAAGATTTCAACTTGCAGGGTAAATACAACAAGTAGGTGGGGAATCAAACAGCTAGGATTTCTTTTGGTTCTGTTTTTCTTCTATTTTTCTATGAAAGTAGCCAGGGGCCACACTCATAGTGGCTGGGAGAAGTCAGCATAATTCTTAAATCATACCTAGCTTCATCTAATATTGTTTAAAATTCCTTCTGCCTTTCCCATTTCCCCTGCCCTACACTTCGTCAAAAAAGACTGCATTTTCCTCCCTCCCTGCATAAAGTTGTTGGATCACAGGTTTTTGGCCGGTTCTTAGATAGTGTAAAGTATTCATTATTTAAGTGCAACTCTCTTTCCAAAACTACAAATAACTATATCTTATAAAATGGCTATGGAACAAGAGAATTACCACGCATGTTTACCACCAAGCCATCAATCAGCTCCATGCCAGTGTGCTGGAAACTCACCCTGGAGTAATATCTAGAAAATAAAACAATGCGAGTTAAAATGAATTTGAATGTCAGTACTTGGATAGGTTCAATTATTCTAGACAACGGAGAAGTAACTGCTGGACTCAAAATTAACTTTATTCAGGCATCAGATGGCGACCAGAGAAAAAATTCTGGTCACCACATCTACCTTTTGGGACACAAGTTTATGGCTTCAAGGTAGTATGGCAGTTTCATCAGAAAAAAAGCTTGTATTAAATGATGGAGTATAGCGTAATAGCTAGCATAGTCTTTTATTTGCTTGTTCTATATTGGCACATGGACAAAGTTAATCTAGTCTTTTGGCAATGATAGTCTAATATTTTTGGAGGTTTCTCTGTAGCTCAGTTTGTTTTTATAGTTGAACCTTCACTTGACTTACGGACACCGTCTGTAAGTGGACACCTCCTGATAGCGGACACTAAAGTGCCGGCAATTTCTCTCTTCAACACTACAATTTTAACGTCCCACAAGCGGACACGGACACCTATTCGAGGTCCACAGGGTCTAAAATAACCACTACAATCCACTATACTTTATTTTCATACACATCAATTTGCCATGCATCTCCGCCCGTAAACAGACAGTAAACAATATCAAGAAAATCTGTAACAAAATCACACACTGACCTAGTCAAAAGCAGTGTTTTGAGCTTACAGTTATATGAAGGTGACATTGAAGTAGTCATTTCTATTCTAAAACGGGCTTTTTTTATTCACTGCAGTACAGAAAGTTTTTTTATAGCCTGTGTACAGACCCCCCCTCCCCTCAGGAAAAATCGGAGAGGGGGCGTCTGTGATTCACTGTCACTAATCGTGTATGGGAACAGTTTTGCATAAATCAAAAAATAACAATAATAATTTCCGCCGACCAAAACTTCCTTAGCTCATGTTTCATGTCATTTCAGTTCTCAAAATGTCGGTGCATACGACTCATTTCCATTAAGAAATTGAGAGAGTGAGACATTTTTAAATTTGGTTCACTCTATATCAAGCATAAAAAATGTTCTTACAAGCCCTTGTAGATCGTTTTCACTGTCACGCAATAAACAGAGCACAAAAAAATAAACTGGAAACCATCCAGTGGAAGAAATGTTACAAAAGACTGATATGTAAACAATTTGTCCAAGTCTCAGGTCTATGTGACCCACAGTTTCTGAGTTATTTGCCAAAACATTTCACGCACCATTGCAGAGCTTTGTATGGAGACGCCATATTTGTGTACAGTTTTGCTACACAAATATGGCCACTGGAAATCAACAAAAACATCTGCAGTTCACTTTTACAATAAAAGCTTTTTCTTTTCACTTTTCAATTTTGAAAGAGCATGACGTGATAGAAGCAACTGTGAAAAAATGTTTGGAAAAGCTCAATTAACATCTTGAAATGTACTTATTTTTCTAAAAATAGTAACAAACTGGTGGGAAATTCAAAAATATTAGTGTGGCTAATAGCATGATTTGTAGTGATATTTGTATGTGTAATCAAATGGTGACGAGTGAAATCAGGGAATAATTTCACGCACGTTTTGTCCAAATCCTTATAATTTCCCAAGCCTTGATTTGGACAAAACGCAAGTGAAATTATTCCCTAATTTCACGAGTATACCATTTGATTACATATTAATATGATAGGTGACGAAATTATACGAAATTTCACCAGCCGTTAGGCGAGTGAAATACGAGACAATTTTGAAATATCACAAGTGGCATTTATGCCAAATATCACGTACAAATCATGCCATCATTTGATAATACTACTACCCGCAAAAGGTTTTGTAATTTTAACATGTAGGTATTTCAAATTAAGCTGAAATACCACTGCTCTAAGTCAATCAAATTGCAGAAAGTCTCAAGTTGTAGTATAAACTCTTTAACCAATTGAGTTTTAAAAAAATAATTTTCACATTCTATTCTATCGCATCATGCTTTTTAAATGTGATGGATAATACAATCACAAGTGGTCTAAAAGACATGTTCTGGTGCATTGTATGCCCTCTAGTGCACCAGTTTTTTTTCCACCTCCCATAAGCAGACATGTACCCTTGGTCCTGAGGAGGCTCAACTGTACATTGTTAGTCCTGCCTATCTATGCCCCCTTAATAAAACTTTGTTTGTGCCTTGTTTGAGTTACTGGATAACGCCACTTTGTTTTAGCACCAGAAAATGAATTCCTATTATGAATGGAGATGCAAGTCAAGGGAATATCTTACCAAAACATAAGGTGACACCAGTTGGAGATCAGGTCCTAAGAATAAGGTTACCAGTGCTCAATTTTTGGTCAAATTAATGACCAGTGAATTAAAATTTTGAGCCCTGAACTACCCCCTTCCACCAAATTTAAAAAACACGATGAGTGCCCACTTCAAGTTAGCACTACATAAGCCCACAATAAAAATAAGCACACTTGGCTAATCTTAACAGTGATGGTAACTTGAAGGTCCCCACAGAAACACTACAGTAGTGAGTAGTGTGCCATTGTTTCAAAGTAACACCTACTTTGTTAAGGTTTGGTTCATGCTGGCTACAAAGCCTCCAACTGAGCGGCCTTTGGTCGACGAATCATGATAACAATCAATTCCAATCACCATGGTCTTTTTCAACTGAAGCAAAGGGAATGCAATGTTATTTACATCTAACTCATTGCAGGGTTCTAGATATGCAATGTGATCAAAAGTAGTTACACAAGCACTTGTGCCACCATTTTGGGTGACACAGAAGACAGGGCACCCTGCAGCAGGCACAGCCTCCTTTTGTCTTTCAGGCTCTGCCTGAATTACATCAAACCTTTGAGATTGGCACAGCCTAGACGTCTGGACTAGCAAATCTTTCTCTCTCTCAAAGTGCGAGCATCCTTTTATTGATAAAGCGATGGTCATACCCAAGCCTGCTGTAACAAGCGCACAGCCATTAGGCCTGGGTTTTAAACTGTTTTCCAAACAACATGCTATGCATGCTCAATAAAGATCTTACTCGACTCAATGTCTTTCCCAAGTGTGGTAAAATCGATCAAGCAAAAGAAAGGCTCTGCCAGCAGAATGAAGACAAGCCAATCTAAGATACGTGCAGAAAGTCCCCAATCTACTCTATTAATTCAGTTGATAAAACCAAACTTGTGAATCCTATAAATATGCATGTGTACCCACTTCAGATTCCAGGCCATCATGCGGATTTTAAGTGCGCTGTTTAGGTCTTATTTTCGTTTAGCCTGTGTACAGATGCCTCCTTCCAGCCTCTCTCTGACTGTTTTTGAGGAGAGGGCCAGGGGCGTCTGCACACAGGCTTGCAAACTCCAACCCTCCAAGTTGCGACCGTTTTGGCCGCCATGGTGCCTTAAATTTTGAGCTGGCCACTTGATTTGTAAAAAAGTCTCCCTAAACCAAAAGAGTTGGTTGCCAAATGGCGCCCGAGCAACAACTTTAACTTGGAGGGTTGAACTAGGGTTTGATAATTTTTAACACTTGAATAGGATAACACCACCAGCAAACTAGGAATCCTCTTTTCACCACACTTATAACCTACTTTATTGACTGTTTTATCTTGACAATAACTTTAAACACAATTGAGCAGCCTTAGCACTGAAGAGACAGTGACAATCAAAAAGTTAAAATTCAGGAACCAATCACACAAAAAATTTCTACTGAAAGACAATTTCAGGAGTTTTAACATGATTTAAGGTGTCATGGATACAATATTGCAAATAACAGCAAAAATAAGTGTCCACTACAGGCTAGTTATCACCTGCGACAGAATCTCAAGAGCTTTGATAAGAAGTGCAAGGCACTATGATTAAAGGGACTATGTCATGCTATTTACTACCTTTTCAAAAAGCTAAAACCTTTATCGCATCAATTGTGTTCTAAAAATACTGGTCCAGTTTTGTTAGTTTAAGACTATATTTAGGTATTGAAACTGTTTCCTGTCGTCCGTTTCAACGGATGGCAAGGATTAACATGGATTGAAACTTGGAAAACTTGGGCCAAACTTTTCAAGTTTTAAGGCTCTGCTATAAATCTGATTATAGTTACTGTTCTCTGATGAAATTTGTTTGACATCTTCATCATGACCTTACAGTAGCATCTTGTGTATGGGTAAAGGAGCTAAGTAATGACTTCCGCACAAAAATGATCAAAAGCAGCAATATCCTTGTGACATAGCCCCTTTAAGTACAAAATCAAGACACTGTAGTCATAACTGTACTTACTGGGATTTCAACTGCCCAAGCTTCTCCACCGAGCTTGCAGTTAAGCTGAATGCCAATCTTGGTGCAGACACTCATTAACATTTGCTTTTTGGAAATTGTTCGACCAACAATAACTTGAGAAGGCACTAAACATTATAACAGGAATTGTATAAAAGAAAGATTAAACCTTACCAGAAACAAAGGAACTACCAATGACACAGGAAAACGATACAGATGCTATGAGCAGAACCATTTTAATTTGAAATGAGAAAATTCCGTTTTTCTAACCGATCACAAGGTTTCATAAATAATAGGGCGCTTTAGCCATGACGGCAGCAACATTGACTAAAACGACAAAAAAGCAATACACTGTTCAGTGGTGGAAATAATTTTTCTTACTTACTGCGCTTTTCACAAACATGCGAATTCTGAAGTTCAAAAGCCAACTGGCGATTGCGTTTCTCGCTGCTGTCAATCATCTTAATGGACCTCTTAGGACACAAAACCTTACAACAGGTTCAAAAGGTCATGGTTTCTGATTTGTGAATGGTGGATTTCAATCCGTTTTGTGTGTTTCTGTGTTTCAAGGTTCGTTGCTTGTAATCGTAATTATGATTGACAGCAGCGAAAAACGCAACTGTGAAGACGGCTTTGGAACTTTAGAGTTCGCATGTTTGTGAAAAGCGCAGTAAAAGGACATATGTCCTTTCAAATCTTAATTCTGAAAGGACATATTCAAAATTGGTTGTTCATCAATTAGCATACCGTAGTTATTCAAAGAAGCCCTGCGGCGCTTAATAAATTTTTCACGCCTCAAAAAGAATTTTTTTTAACTATGATATTGTTAATTTCTGTATTTAACAGAATTAATATCTTGATTTTGAGTATAATGGGGCAATGGTGCTTTACTTTTTTGTCCCAAACATGGTGCTTATTTAAGGGCGGTGCTAATTCAAGTAAATACTGTCATGCTCTCACACTTGTTAGCAACAAAGACGTTCCAACAATGTCCCTAAAAAGTTCAGGTATGTAAATGTCTTGAAAGGATAAAAATGAGATAGAAATCTACTCGCAGTTACAACACTTTTAAATCCCACTTTCTCCAATCCTTTAACTTAATTTTCACGTCACGTTATGTTTGCGACACTGGGAACTTTATGATCCAACAATCCAGCAGGGAAAATGTTGCTTAAAAAATTAATGTCCCTTCTTCCAGTCTTAATCGCGATAATTCCTACCCGTCTACTTTATCAAAAATAGGCACCCCCCCTCCCGGATTTTAATTCCTAGGACCCCTATCCCAGTTCAGAAAGAGAAATGAAATTTCATTGTCGCTTGTTTACATCCTTCATAAAATGTAAAACTAGGCAATTTCATGTTGTTTTCATGCATTGTCCTCATCACTTTAATTTTTCATGAAAGTGCTACAAACATTTTATGTAACAAGGTATGGAGAAAAGTCAAGTACTTTTCAAGGGCTTTTCAAGATGACTAGTACAACTTTCAAGACTGTACGAACCGTGACAATTGAGCCCTGTTTAAAAGCTATCTTTCTGTTGAACTCTGTCTCACCTGGCATTTCCACACAGCAGAGCTTCTTTATGGCATCATAACGGTCCTTTCGATTTGATGTCAAAATAGTTACAGCTATCTGTAATGAAGGACTGTAATTGTCTTTAATGGCTTGCAAGTAATTATCTGTTCTGTCATTCTCCAACCTTATTCTACAAAGAAACAGCAGAATCATTACGTCACCATCTTAATATAATTGGATGTCAATGTCAAGAGGCTAGGGAAATGCCTCTAGTGCAGCCTCTAATCCACTGCTTTAAAAGGACACAGTCAGCTGATGCATTAGCATATCAAAAAGAATGAGAATGAAAGTGAGAAGCGCATCCTTTGGATTATGTAAGCACAAACCTTGTGAAGTCGAACTAACTGCACAAAATTGTGATTATAAACTGACCACCCACATAGCTGTCATGGAATCAAATGCCAACCAGCAGCAGACTAAAAAAAAGTGACTTACTCGATGGCAGGTGCAACTCTCATTCCCATTGGCCCACACACTTTCATTAAAGTGCTTCCAAAGTCTTTGGCATTTCCAGTATCCCTCGAAGAAAATACCAGTAACCAATTCTCAAGGTTGACTGAGCTGTGGAGTGGCATTCCTCTCATTTCCCTTGACCAATCTGCCGTCTTGGGGTCATAAGAATACTAGATGAAGAAATAAAACAGATATGTCATAATTCTACATAGTGATGTAATGATAACCCCTTCAACAAAAGTGCCCAACACCAACCATTTACAATGATAGTTTCACAGTAAACAAAAGCACCAAAACAAGGATATTATGACATTTACCTGTGTATAATGCGCACCCTAAACTTTACGGTCATTTTGGAAAAAAAAACTTAAGACAAAGAAAGGAAAAATAGCTACACAAAACTCTGGCTGCCTATCCTCTTCTTTTTCGCTGGTTTCTACATCTTAAAAAAACAATTATCATCATTCCATGCAAATGTTTCTTCCAGGGTGCAAAGAAAGTCATTTTCGCTAGCATTTACCAGCCCAAACGTTATTTCAACTAGCCCCCCAAATTTTTGATAGCAGAATTGATTTCACAGTTCTTCTGTACGTTGAATTTCTCAAAATACTTCACTTACCCGTCAGGCAAGTTAAGAACAGAACTCACTAGCACGATAGCAAAATCCAATAGCCCTGGGCTATTGGACACTACTTTCTTTGCATGCTGTCTTCCCTTTGGCCGAGAGCCCGCCTTGTGACCTGCAACTAACCGCCTACAAATAATGGTCTGCAAATGCGCAATATCATCCAACTGTGTTTGGCCGCAAATAATATTCTGCTCATGCGAAAATAAAACCACCCTTTTCTCCTTGCAATCGCTCTTGCTTGAAAATGGCAGATCACTTCCCTTCCTGAAGATATTCATTAAAAAACCACAGGAAACATTGGACAAATCCCACTTGGGTCGAACTTGGTTCTAACCTGGGAAATAATAATTCCCAACTTTTAAAGTTGGGTTATTCTTGGGACAAAGTTGGGTTTTAGTTTAAGAGTTACATGCTCCACTTGTAATTCCCAATATATGATACCCAAATTAGACCCAAAATTAGCTTCTTCAGCTTATTACATTGGGGATAACTTGGGTTTACATAAATTAATTTGCACCTTCTTTGGGACTATTTCAAGGAAAACACATTTTTTATATGTCAAAATTGGGACATGCTCACCCCAACATTAACTGTTTTGTTGTGTACTCAGTTATTCTTGGGTCAAAGTTGGGTATATTTTAAGAGTAATATAGGAAAATACATGGCCACGCGGAGATAAGAAATTTCTCTTCGAGTGTTGACGTGATTTATTACAAAGCCATAGCAGTGGTGATATTTTCACATGTGAAGATAACATGTTATTTTCGCATGTGAAGATATCAAGTTTTCCCGCGAAAGCTCACCTGGTATTTCATTGGTGCTTATATAATAAAATTTCATCTCTTGTAATTCCCAATGTATGTTTCCCAAAGTACTCCCAAAACTAGCTTCTTCAGCTGATAAAATTGGGGATAACTTCGGTTCATAAAAATTAAATCACACCTACTTTAGGACTATTTCGTGCAGACACAGTTTTTATGGCTGAAATTGGGACATGCTCACCCCAGGATTAACTGTTTTGTGGTGTGCAGTTATTTTTGTAATTTGTGTTAAAGAAAAGAAAGACAGAAAAAGATGCACCAACATAAGATTTTTTCCCCATATAACAAAAATTCATGTTGAGTGGGATAAACTCTTCTTACTTACTCTAAAAGTAGGTCTGTTTATATTAAGAAACAGTCAGCTCAATTAAAGAACAACATCCTCGTTTTAAGAAGGAAAAATTAATTGATTTAGAAACGTTTTTAAGATGCCGAAAATGGTTTTAAGACAAAGCTTGAATTAAGTGTAAGCAGGGTTGTCATTAAGAGCCGGGGGCCAGGGATTTTCCCCGGCTACTAAGAGAGTGGCCCCCGGCTACTTTTATTGGAAAATAGAAGAAAAATAGAACCAAAAAAAAAAACCCTAGCCATTCTTACTGAAGTCCTGGCGAAAACTCGTTCAAAAATAAAATTTGATTTTAAAATAACTACTGGCATGGATTTTATACCTGTGTGCATTTGAAACACAAAGGTTGTAAAATTACCAACAAATTTTGAAAAAGTTTCAGTTAAAGGTATTTCGGATGAAAAAGATCTAAGAATAATTTATGGACCAATCACAAAGCAACAATTCAGCTTAAGCTGACCTCTCGGGAAACAGACAATTATAATGCCTTTCTCTGATTGGTGCCTTTTGATCCTGAAACATAAGCTTTTGAACATTTCAGTGACCGTTTGAGTATGAACACCTTCCAATTTCCATAGTACGCAGTGTTCAGCCAGAATTAATGCATATATACCTTCTTTGGACTTTAAAGAGAACAGTTTATCTCTGTGCATTTGTTATATTCTGCAACTACTCACTAAACTGGATTTCAGTAAGAGTTCATGCATCTAGCTTTGGACTTTGACTTAAGAACAGTTTATCTTTGTGACTTTCTTAAGCGTAAGACTTGTATTTTCTTCAACTACATGTACTTTCCCCTTGCAGTAGTAATATTGTTTTTAGCTTTAGCTAGAATAGAATCAAATCAGAGAATCAAACTCATTTGTGAAAAGGATTCCAAAGTTTGTCTGTAAATTTACACTGTCAGAAATACCACATTATGTATTGCAAGTGTTTCCAGTTATGTAAATAAAAGAATGACATTTTTATATCAAATTCAGGTTGGTTTGTATTAGTTCAGTTTTAGTTTGATGTGACAACTAAATAAATTACTGCCATTTAAGCCTGTCCTTTGGGAGGAACTTAACAGCGGTTGGAACAAAGAATAGAAGACCCAATTGTGGGACTGTATGAGGCTAAAAGGTCCTTGTTTTTTTTCCCAATTCTGACCCTATTGGGACCACTTGGATACGACTTTGCGACAAACATTGGTTCAGGTAAACACTTCTATGGGACTAAATGTGGTTTAACTTGGGGTAAATATATCCCAAACAAGAACGCTCTAAGTAGCGTCGAGTCTTGCTTGCTTGGAGATAAGTTTTGTTGTCAAAGGCGCCGGTGCTGTTATAATACTTTTTCGTTTGGAATACAAAACGAGTGTTATATGTCATAATGTAAATACTCAAAAAGTAAAAATTACAAGGAGAGACAGGCCGCACATCTTAGCCTCAAACCGGTGTGAAACCTTTGAAAACCTTCTACAAAAAATACTGCTTCACTGAGGAGTACTCTTTCAGGGATTTTACACTCAAAAAATTGAACGATGATTTTTATCGGTATCAGGGGCCCATGACTCTGTCAGTATAAATATACAAAGCTTCTTTGTACCGGACCAAGATACGGCTTGGTACAGTATATGTTCAGCACAGGAAAAATGTGTAAGTTCAACAGAACCTTATACAACACACAGTTAATTCAGTTCATGCGTATTCCTGCTGAATTTGTTGTCCGTTTTACAAGAGATCAATATCACATAAAAGCAATTACATTTTCCATAGCTGCTTAGTAACTACTTTTTATATCTCCGTACAGTCTCAAAGTACAATGTTTAGAGTTGTACACAGCATGCATTTTAGATAGATAGATGAGAACTTTATTTTAGCATGATAAAAAGATCAGCATTGCTGGTGGGGCCGTGCATACAACAATTACAAGAAAAGTAAGGAGTACGGAAAGCAAATGTACAATTAAAAATTAAAAACTCTTAAAGTTTTTTCTTTTATTACATTATCACTGGGATAAAGGGTTTCTTTTTCCAGGACAATTTCACTTTCTCGTCAAAACAGTCACTGACTCAGACAGACTCGGATTAGTTTACTTGAATTTAGTGTCCAGTACAGCAAACAGGATTATGTTCTGTGAAATTTATCTACAGTCTGCGACCCACATCACTACTGATCCACGATTTATTTATTTCTTTTATTTTCAAGTTCTTTTCAACCGATCCTTGATCCTGATTTTTCAGCAAACCTTGAAGTTTTGCTTATTAAGATTATTCCTTTTTTTTTCGACCACTGAAGTGATCAGTTGTTCCAAAATAATCAACACATTTAAGCGATAGAATTCTTGGACCAACCCGTTCCGGAAAAGCTTGATATGGGATTTCTATTCTATGGACATGAAGTGCGGCAAATAGAGTGCGCAGATAGTCAAGTTCAAAGCTACCCGTATATAACACATCCGTGACATATGTAACGTTAGGGCGGATTTCCACTGACGCGTTTTTGGCTCTGCACGTTAACGCACGTAAATTTTAATCACGTAAATAAAATAGAGGTAAGATATAAAGTGTTGAGATTAAACGTCAAGTTGAGCGAGTTTCTACTTTTACGCTTACATAATTGTACGTGCGGCCTTTCATACATTGCCTCTATTTTATTTGCGAACGCAAATTTTAGGCACGTACGCACGTAAAAATTACGTGACAGTGGATTCTTGATACCTCAAGTATTTATAAACTGCAATCCGACTTCACATCTTAACAACTGCGAAAATCTATCAATTAAATAGATAAAACAAAGTGAATCTATTTAACCGTAGATTTCCAGTAATTGAGACAATATTCTGAGAAACGTAACGCCTTAAAACACCACAAAATAGGATTTCCCTGCTACAATATTTTCCCATCGTACTTGAGGATATTTCCTTTTTAATCAGTGCCCACATGTCGTGCACAATTACACGAAAATCAAGGGCCTCTATTCAAGGAAAATTACATCATTGCCAAACTTACATGCGTCATTTCAGTCATCGCCAAAAATATACCGCATGCTCATCATGAGACTCATTCGCATACAGTGAAAGTCGCCACGATTCTTATCCCCACATTCCACGGTCTTTGCTAGGAACGCATGGCCTACAAACTACAGGTCCCACCGACAAAAAAAAGAAACGACTGCATTTTTAGAGTCTCGCTCTGCTAAAGCAAGCTCGACTAATTAGACCCTTTATACTCCTACTTGAGAAATTTCTGCAATTTGATTGGCTTAGAGCAGTGGTATTATAGCTTAATTTGAAATACCTACATGTGAAAATTACAAACCTTTTGCGGGTAGTAGAATAAACAAATAATAGCATGATTTGTAAGTGATATTTGTCGTAAATACCACTCGTGATATTTCAAAATTGTCTCAAATTTCACTCACCTAACGGCTCGTGAAAATACGTATAACAATTTCGAAATATCGCTCGTGGTATTTATGCCAAATATCACTACAAATCATGCTATTACCTATACATATTTGGGTCAAATATGGGTTTATATTGAGGATTTAACAATTCCTATTTCAACACTGGTTGGGAACAACTTGGGAGTTGTTCAGATTTCCCAACTTGAGGTATTATTTTGGGAAATGAACATTTCCCAAGTTTAATTCCATACTAGACCCAAGTTAAGCCCAAGTTAGAACCAATATAACCCCAATAACCCCAATTTCAAGATACTGAGATTTCTCTTATTTTTCCTGTGAACAAATTCAGTGATCAAATTTTGAAACACGTCTAGGTGAATAAAAGTGTGCATCATACACAGATAAATGTGGTATATCAATCAAAATACTCCTAAAACAAAGCAAAACTATTATCTAATGAAATAAATTTGTTTTTCACTCCCAGTGGTAGATTAACATAAAAGAACTGTTATCTTAACTCTATGAGGTGTCCTTTAGTTGTTTTTGGTCCATCTGGACCCATGTATATTATTCTTCCTGGACGGCAAAGGGTTAATGACCAAAAATTTGGAAAAAGGATTTTTTTTATCTGTGTGATATATTTGTGTTTTTGATATAAGCTTAACATCAGCAAAAGGACAGTAAAACAAACATCTGGATAAATTTCAAGGGACTTGAAACAAGGTACTTATGATGTGGCCAACACTGCCACTTGATAAAATTGGTTTTCAGATTGGCCTTCAACATTCACACCTCTCTATATTTCAGCACAACAAAAAATGTGTTGTATTTGTCTCAACACTATTATTTAATACAAACAGACATAGCAGATGTGGAAAGGTGTCGTGCTTTGACTGCTTCTTCAACATGTTTGATTGTATGCACAACAAAGGAGTTTAAGTAAACTCACATTTCTGTCCTTCTGGAAAATTTTTTCAGGGGGAAGAACTCGCCCATTCAAAGTCAGCGTCTCTTTCTCAAACTAGAAAACAAAACAAAGATGTATACAGGACGCATAAGAAATAAGAAAGTTAACTGGCAATAACCAATGACTGGGAAGAGCTGGTAGAGATGCATTTATAAAGATTTTGAGAGCTGCTTTTTTAATTAATTGCATAGCAAGAGTGTAGCACAAAATGGTGAATGAACAAAGAAATTGAACTATAAGCTGAACAAGACTAACTTTAAATTAAACAACTAAAGAGTAATGACGTCATAAAAAATTACATTTTTGAAATTATGGGATTCGTCGGGATATTCTGAAAGAAATAAATCCAAGAGGCCTACTTGCCAAAAACTAGCATTGTGGGGCAAATTGTCTCTTAGATATTAGCCCAGGTATGCTCTGATGACTCCTTTCCTTCAGAAAATCCTGACGAACCTCATAATTTCCCAAATTTAATTCTTATGAGATCACTTCCGCACTCTATTTTTTTTAAAAGAACATTTTTTGCTTTGATCACAATGCAAACAATAACAAGTGACAACATTCAACACAAGTGGAAGATGTTTGTTAACGGTGTAAAGTGCAGGAGGAACATGCCTATTAAACTGGAAATATTTTTATTTGTTGGGTAAGATATAAAGATGACCACTGGAAGTAGGACTATGTTGCAAATTTTCCACATAATAATTATTTTTAACCTATCTTCCATTGGAGTACCATGGTATTGTGACATCATTGTCCAAGACTGCTGCCTGAGAAATTTTTTGGGTGCCCGAGCCACATTTCCAGGAGCTTTTTGATTGATAAACTTCAAATTTATTAGGACTTAGATAGTAGCATAGTCAAGGTTCAGCTAACATTCAAGGACATATCTCCTTTTTTCTGTGTGTAAATTTCTTTTCCTCAACTCGATTCATGTGTCCCCAAACTCAGTTTGTTCGAGCAGTTTCAAAAGCACAGAATAAGCAGGGAATTTTAGGCGACCATGCGTGCTCCTTGTTTAAACTTTTAATTGCCTGTGAGCAAATCATAGGCATCTCTGGTGACTGGGCACCCATTAGGCAGTAGCCTTGCTGTCCCTTGATATTGATTTGCATCACAACAACCGATTGATATTATAATTAACTTTAGGCTATGTTTCATCCAGATCAAGCTGTTTACATACAGGAGTTCCAAAGATGGAAGTTATGCACCTAAAAATACCAGGTTGAGCAACCTTAAGACATTACATAAAAACACTTTACCTCAAGGTTCCATCCCGCCAATTCAGCAGCTGATTGAGTATTTCTGTAAAAACATAGCAAATTTGAATGACTAAGTATTTCATGAGATTCTCTGTACTACAAGCTGTGTTCTTGCAGCAGTCGGTTGCTCAAAAGATACTTTAGCCTATAGGTGAGTAGCAGATGTTACTCTTCACACAGTTACCTTTCTTTTAATTTGTATTGCTTCCCTTCAGTGCAACAAAGTTCTAACAGTTTTTTTTAAGGAGATGCTGCACAAGAACTTTGAAAACAATAATCAAAAATCAATCAAAATTCAATTCATTCAGAGTATTTTGCTGCTTTTGATCCCCCTGCGAATTCTTTATAATGAGCAATCATTGACCAAATTTAGCAGACCCTATGGGATAATCTATTAAACAATTATTCCTCGAGCCCGAATGGGCTACCGAATGGGCTATTGACTCAGAGGCCATGAGGGCTCGAGGAATAATTGTTTTAGTAAAATCCAACTAGTTGGTCAAAAATATCGAGAATAAAAACATTCTAGCTAGTTCAAAGCTAGATTTAATCCTTTTTTGTCCCCAAAAAGCCCGTACTTTTCGCTACAAGGGGGCTATAACATATAGCCTAGTAGCAGCTCAACAAATCAGAATGCAGCATTGATATTAGACCAATGGTTGGATTTTACTTAAACATAATACTAACAGATTGACAGGATTAATGCCAGAAAAAGGGACAGCAATGAAGATGCCCAGGGTATGGCAAGAACAGCAAAAAAACAACTTGACGATCATCTCTGCTACTGTATTTGAAGAAGATCCAATTTAACAGAATTAACAACAAGTGCTAGTCTTATCTTGCAGTGTTGCCAGATGGACACGCACCGGGATCACACCATGTTCAACTGCATTTTACCATTGTGGCCCTGGTTGTTCAAACGTTGGATAGTGCTATCCACCGGATAAATCACTATAAAGTAGACAAGTATTAGGGAAGCCAATTGTGTTATCCACTGAATAGATTTTTATCCAGTGGATAGTGCTATCCAATGTTTGAACAACCGGGACCTGGCATTTTGGCTTTGTTGGGCAGTTTAGTGAGAATTGATTACTCAGCCTTGGCATTTCAAAACCTTGGGGACTCAGTTTATAGCACTGTTCTAATTTGAAAGACTTCTGCTTTTCTTTAAGTAAGTGAGGGCCTGTTTATATGAAGTGAGCCAGTCCAGTTAGCTTATGCCTATTCTCTTGTTTTCTGGGTTCAAGCAACCAGAATATCGGCAAGCCGGCCCAGCCCACTTTCTAATATAAACACAACAAAAATTTTTTAAGGAATCAAGGCATCAGCTGAACTTGCCTGGTAAAGTGGGCCAGCCCGGCTAACTGGTTAGGCTAACAGAGGTGAACTAGAGAGCCCAGTTGCAGATTGAAGACTGCAAACACTTCCCCAGATTTATAACTTGGGCAACACTGGGCACCCAAGTAATATTAAAAACACATACCACTGGATGTGCAATGGTAGATTTTTCTGAAAAACCTACCTGCAAATGTCACCCATGAATGTCAAGAGCGAATCATTGCGAGTCTTGGGATCAACGCGGGTATGCACTGCCAGATCTTTCATCAAGCTGAAGTCAGAGCGCATCTCATCCGTAAGTCCTGCGTGTGTGACATGAAGCGGGTTAGTAGTTTTACTTTCACTGGAGTGGTAACAGATGCAATCAAGATTATTACAAAGCCATTTTTTCAATAAGAGACACTACATCATAAGATACATCCCAATAAATGAGATGCAAGTAAATTAATGATCAGAAAAATTAATCTGAAACACCCACTGATACATAACAACAAAGATTGTTTTTGCCACAATAACTTGTGCCATCAGTTACTACGGTCAGTTCACCTATATCAACTAAAGTGAAAAAGTCACATAAGGAACAAATTAATGAAAGAAATTGCAAGCATCAAAAGAAAAGTGCTGTTTTCCAAAGCCATTAATACTGCCCATTTTTTATGCAGAAAGACAAAAAGTACCATCATGAATTTCATACCCTTCCTGTTTTAGGACTAAAATTTATTGTATAACATACCTGTTAAAAAGCATAACTCAGGAACAAGTAATACCTCCCCTTCAGGTATTCTTTGCTGTTTCTGTCCAGGCTATTTGAAAACCAAAACAGTGCTAGTCAGTTGTCTAACATCCAACAGAAACATTGAAAAAAACAAAAACAAAGATTTTCCAGATTTTAGTCTAAAAGCTCCTGTAGTGGATACTGCTACCCAAGATTTTGCTGTTACATTGTATTCATATTTTTTCACACTTCCAATTCATTTTGGAATTACCGTAAAATTCCGAAAATAAGCCCCTCCATGTATAAGCCCCCCACACTTGTTATGCAAAACACCCTCCGTTAAAGAACCCCTCCGAATATAAGCCCCCCCAGGGCTTGTACTTGGAAATTGCCCTCAAATACAAACTAAAATAAAGCTAAAACGGTCAATTTACTTCCATCTATAAGGCTAGCCCAATCGATTTTGAAACGCAAATTTCCCTCCATGGATAAGCCCCTGTGAATAAAAGCCTCTCCAAAAATAAGCCCCTCAAAAAGGGCCTTTGAAAATTATAAGCCCGGTGCCTTATTTTCGGAATTTTACGGTAATCGCCCCACACTGCCTCAATTGCAATCTACTCAGTACTATTACCATTGTAGCCTGCGTGGCAGGCGTTTGAAAGGGAAGGGAAAGGGAGTTTCGAGAAAGGGAGTTTTAGGCGCGAGAGAAACGCGAGGGGTGCGCGAGGAAGGAGGGAGGGAAACGCCTGCCAGGAAACCATTGTTTTTCTCGTTATTAACATCTACCAGGCGAATGTTAAAATCCTGATTGGTCAAAATTTGATAAGATCTAAATAGCGTGTTCTAATTGGTCACATACATGTCATTCAGTAACTTGAGTGTTACCATTCACAACTAAACATATGTCGTTAGTAAAGCGTGTTGAGATTTCTCTATGGGAATTCATCAGTAGAAGGCATCAATTTCAGCTTCAAAGGAGAATAGAAAAAAACAGTTAAAGGACCGTATNGAGGAAGGAGGGAGGGAAACGCCTGCCAGGAAACCATTGTTTTTCTCGTTATTAACATCTACCAGGCGAATGTTAAAATCCTGATTGGTCAAAATTTGATAAGATCTAAATAGCGTGTTCTAATTGGTCACATACATGTCATTCAGTAACTTGAGTGTTACCATTCACAACTAAACATATGTCGTTAGTAAAGCGTGTTGAGATTTCTCTATGGGAATTCATCAGTAGAAGGCATCAATTTCAGCTTCAAAGGAGAATAGAAAAAAACAGTTAAAGGACCGTATGAAGGAAAAGCCTGTCAGCAGATGAGGTTTACTGACTGGTTCTGAAAAGTATTATCTCCCAACGGCTTGTCAGTTTTACTTGCCTGAAGAAATAAACGAAAAATCATGCTGCCTGTGTGCTTGTCTGCTGTTTGACCCGCGTTATCAACGGCAAGATAATTGAACACGAAGCGATCTATAACTTTTGGTAATTTTTGGTCGAGAACAGGAACTTACTTTAATAATAAATTGTTGCCTTCTGGCAGATCTTCGAAGTTCCAGTTCATCCTGATAGAAATTCAAAGAGTGCGTGACGGCAAAGTGTTTAAATTTTTCTTAGACAAACATTGCATTGAAAGTTGCGAAGAGCCACTACATTTCTTATTAAATAGTTTTCCCGTCCGATTCCTTCATCAACAACTTGTACTCAGCACTCGGCACGCGCCATTGCAACTTTCAAGGAAGATTCCTTCGATGGACGACCACATTTGAACTTTTTTACAGTACCTTTACTTTAGATTGCTTTAAGAAAACAAAAGGAAAACAGTACAAGAAATACGTCTGGAATACGTGCATCGCGGCCAGACTTATTTGACAGCTAGTCATTCACAGTTTCGTTATTTTTGTTATTTTTTTAATTAATAGTAGGCGGGATGGCGAAAACAATGGCTTTCTTGCAGGCATTCCCCTTCTCCCTCCTCCCTTGCGCGTGGTCTCGCGCCCTAATTCCCTTCCCCCTCCCTTTCGAACGCCTGCCACGCAGGCTATTACCATTGATAAAAAAATGAAGCATAAAGCACTTACCATCTTCTTCAGCTTACTGACTAGAAGAGGCTGCTCATGATCCGTGATTTCTTTGTCATAGGCCTTTAAGACAACAACAAACAAGTAAGCAAAAACTTCTAACAATGTAGGAAAACATTTCGACAGATATGAGGAAAGATCCTACTGCCAACATTTTTTATCTGTTGCTGGGAATGTTGACCAGTTAAAAAAATTTTGTAATAGCTTTGTAATATTTGGCTATGTTTTTTTCTACCTCAATGAAAAAAATGTTGGCTCTTAAAAATCATAAACCATGAACGATGAGGCTTCAAGGATTTACAGTGCAGGCCAAAGCTAAGCGAACAAAAATATACGCATAATGGCATTGGGAAATACCAGTCCATGTGTCAGTGCACATTAAGACTCATTAGATTGTTTGCGCCATCTCTTTGTTAATAGCCTGGGACCCACTCCACAGTGGGGAAAAAAGGCAAATTAAAGAAAGACTATCGTCGACTCGTGGGAACATTGTTTTGGTTTTCCCACAGTAAATTGTAGGAAATGATAGAAATTCAGATTATTTATCTATATATTTAATATACTATCTTTTCTCTGTAAACACAATACTTTTCTTGCTGTTTATTGCACTTTTTTAAATAACAGTTATGTATTAATTTTAGGTATATATTTATAGAAAACCAACAAAACAAATAAGCAAAAAAAGACCAAACAAACAGAAACTAGGCAAAAAAAAAAAGAAAGAAAGAAAGGAGATGAGCAGGACTTCAACCCGGCGCCTTCGGCTCGTTGCCACTTTACGTAATCACTACACCACTAAGGCTGATTACGTCACCCTGCCAAAACTTTCTTATTTGATGCCTTTTCCATGGAAAATCCACTGGCAAACGCCATTTAAAGATGATCAAGACGCATAAAACGGTGCTATTGACAGTTAAAAAAACAACAACAACAACAGTGTAAGCGCATCTCATGGCAATGAATGAATGAAAGAACACACATTGTGTGCTTCACAAAGCCGATACCTTGTGTGCAAAGTACGACACAAAACATGTTTTCTTATCTCGATTTCCGCTGTTACTTTGAAGCAAATGGTCAAAATCACATCCATTTTTGGCTCATGCAGGTTATTACCCCTGCAGGCATTTCGCCCAGAAGGCGAAATCCCGAGGAGGCACTACTCTAGTAACTCGCGCATATATTAAGGAAAGTACTTACAGTTGAAATATACAGTCATACAGTCAATATAGAAAAAATCTCGATTTGCTTGAACAGGGGCCGCGAGGAATCAGTAGGTAATGATGATGTTTCTATTGTTTGCGCCCGCAAGTACGAAATGGTTTAACTGTGTATATATAAACACTTGGAGAGTTATATTTCTTGACTGCCAGGGCCATGTTTGACAAATAAATTTAGCTGCATAACGTACAGCGTGCAAAGAAAGTAGTGTCCGACAGCCCGGGGCTAGTGGATTTTGTTATCGGGCTAGTTAATTCTGTTTTTAACTTGCCCGACGGGCAAGTGATGATTTTTGAGGAATTCGAATAACAGAAGAACTGTGAAATCAATTCTGCTCGTCAAAAAGCTTTTGGGGCTAGCGGAAATGACGTTTGGGCTAGTAACTGCTAGCTTCAGCTTGCCCGAAGGGCAAGCTGTAAAAATGATTTTCTTTGCACGCTGACGTATCTCCTAGTTTAGCTTTTCTCAAACATGGGTTATTTTTATACATAAACTATTAGATAGTGTAGCATAATTCAGCCACCAGACTAACAAATGACTACATACCTTTCGATAGTACTCTATAAAGCTCTTTTCAACCTCTTGGCCTTTTTCTGTGCACTTGAACGTGCCAGTTGGATGTTTATCCCACTTGATGTCATCAACACGGTATGTTTTGTTGTTGTACCTAAAAAGGATAAAGACAGCAGAATTAATTACAGTGCTAAGACAAAGAGATTATCATCAGAAACCATCATAATTCAAGAGGAGTTACACTACTTTAGAAACAATTGCAATTGACTTNTCTTGACTGCCAGGGCCATGTTTGACAAATAAATTTAGCTGCATAACGTACAGCGTGCAAAGAAAGTAGTGTCCGACAGCCCGGGGCTAGTGGATTTTGTTATCGGGCTAGTTAATTCTGTTTTTAACTTGCCCGACGGGCAAGTGATGATTTTTGAGGAATTCGAATAACAGAAGAACTGTGAAATCAATTCTGCTCGTCAAAAAGCTTTTGGGGCTAGCGGAAATGACGTTTGGGCTAGTAACTGCTAGCTTCAGCTTGCCCGAAGGGCAAGCTGTAAAAATGATTTTCTTTGCACGCTGACGTATCTCCTAGTTTAGCTTTTCTCAAACATGGGTTATTTTTATACATAAACTATTAGATAGTGTAGCATAATTCAGCCACCAGACTAACAAATGACTACATACCTTTCGATAGTACTCTATAAAGCTCTTTTCAACCTCTTGGCCTTTTTCTGTGCACTTGAACGTGCCAGTTGGATGTTTATCCCACTTGATGTCATCAACACGGTATGTTTTGTTGTTGTACCTAAAAAGGATAAAGACAGCAGAATTAATTACAGTGCTAAGACAAAGAGATTATCATCAGAAACCATCATAATTCAAGAGGAGTTACACTACTTTAGAAACAATTGCAATTGACTTCCAGTAACTTGAACTCTTGCTAACTTGAAGCTTGTGCTTACTCAAACAAAAGTTGATTTCCGCTGGATTTTCTTTCATACATTTGCTGAAATTTTTTTTTCTGAGACTCGAACCCTCAATAACTTGAACCTGTCGCTAACTCGAAGTAATTTCCCTTCAGATCATTTGTACATAGGATTTTAAAATTTTAAAATCCAGTAACAGTGCTGAAGGTAATTTAAATTGGGCCTAAACACTACTTGCTGTCAATTTCTAAGCCATCACCAAAAAAAATTCAAACCATAGAGACTTGGAAAACCTTCAGCGAAAGTTTTATTTTTAAGCAATGAAAAACTAAGCTTTTAGCAAGGAAAGGAATTTCTATGCTTTGCACTCTGTCTATCTATTAGCATACAGAAAATACTGGTTTTGATCAATCGGTCATGTACCAGTATAATTTATATCAATGAGAAATTTCAACTCACAGTCAACAAGCAACAGTGAAATGATTCATAACTAACTTGCTAAACAAAGGACAACTTTGAGGCCATTTAAGGTGGCTGAACACAGTTCGCTAGGTTGTGAATCGTCACTGTGCATTGAAAGAATGTGTTCCATGATGGTAGCAAGCCATCCTCGGAGACCCAGGGGCATTAAGTCGGGTTGGGAAAAAAGGCGTGAGGAAAGTTTTCAAGTACGGGCAAAAGAGCCCCTGGGTACCGACTCTCACCGAACTATTTCCAAAAATTCAAGTGGATGCCGGCTCCTGATTGGGCACAAAAAATGCTTTGTATTATTGTGCACAATCGGCGAAGAGTTTCTCCTGAGTTCTTTTCGTGAGTTCGTACACGACGGCTATTGTCCGGTTCATTCACTAAGCTTATGTGTGCAATGGAAACTTTTATTTCCTACTTTCCTGACCAGAAACGAAGGAACTACCGATGAGTTGATAAAACGTTTGGGATACTATCAGCAGAAGCAATTCAATTTGCCCCTAGAATATTCTGTTTTTGACAGATCACAATGTATCATAAATAATAGGAAGTTTAAGACGCGGTGCCAACGAGAAAGTCAAATAAGGAATAGCTTCACAAGGCAAAACAACAACTTTGCACGTGCATCACGCTTTTTTGTACATTTCTTTGCCGTCAACTGCACGACTACCCGTGAAAATGCCTAATTTCATGTTTTGTGAAGGACGTAAACAAGCAATGACAAAATTCATTCTCTTCATGAACGTGGATATGGTTGATAGAAATTGAGCTCCAGAAGAGTTCACTTGCATTTGACAAAGTAAGCGAGTTGGAATAATCACGATAGAGACTGAAAAAAAATGTGAATTCACTTTTCCATGCGACGTTTTTGCGGCTGTGAGCTGTCGTGGTATCTTTTGAAAACTCCCTAATATTTACAGAAGACGTGACCAATTCAAGCGTGAATACCTGTTGTAAGCTCAAGGTTGTATTTTTGGAAAAGCGTCTTTAGTTCTTGGGCAGACAGTATTTTGAAATCAGATGGGGATTTTAATATGTCCAACTGAAAGTTTCCTGTTTGCGTGCATTTCTTTGGAGCATGAACCAGACAAGCCGTGATCGAGACAATAGCCGTCGTGTACCAACTCACGAAAAGAACTCAGGAGAAACTATTCGCCCATTGGGCCAAAAAATACAAAGCATTTTTTGTGCCCAATCAGGAGCTGGCATCTGCTTGAATTTTTGGAAATAGTTAGGTGAAAGTCAGTACCCAGGGGCTCTTTTGCACGTACTTGAAAACTTTCATCCTGCCTTTTCTCCCGAACTGACTGACTGCCCCTGGGTCCCCGAGGATGGTATCAAGCTCAAACTTGGCACAGACAATAGAATAATGACATTTTGTTTATTAGGTTGAATGTAAGATTTCAATCATTGCCATGGCAACACAAGCCTAAACTTGTGAATTCAGTAGGTTTATGGAAAATCCAGTCACTAGATTTTCTTATGAAATTGCTCATAGGTTACAATGAGTATGTAATGCTCATTTTATAAAAATAACTTAACTGAATAGTAACAAACAACACTTGAAATTTGATTGTGTCAAAAAATCGTCTGTTCAACTTTAATTTTCAGGTTTTCAATGATATTGACAAAAATTTTGCCACATTTCATCAAATTCTAATTAGTACATTTTTAGATATCGTTGTTTCTTTACAATGTCTACAAAAGTCCCATTGTGTGCTTATCTACTCATGAAAAAGATGTTAACAGTAGAGGGATAAAGCATTTCAAGGGGCAAAAACTCTTCAGTTTTTAATTTTTCTTTAGATCACATCGGTTTTGCACTAGCAGAAACAATTGCCACGGTTTTCATTAAGAATTCTAGTAGCAGGAGAAAGGTGTAACGTTAAAGGGGAATATTTTGAAAGAGGCTCCATGTCTGAAAATAAAGTCATAGGCTACGGAACTTCAGGAGGGAATTCTTTGATCTGTGATGCCTAATGCACACCCTGAATTGCGTCTGTGAAATTTCTCAGCATACGCACAACTTCATGGCAGAGAAACTGTGTTCAGCCATCTTAATGAACATATTTCATTTTATCAAAGACCGAATTTATCATCCACATCCGAAGTTGTATCTGCTTCACCGTCCTGTACATCATTCTCATGTTTCTCGAAAGTTCAGGCAACTTTTTAGGCTCAAAATCAAATAATAAAAAAAGATTCTTCTATTTAAAGAATATAACTGCACAACGCAGTTAATAAACCAGTTCATTCTGTTTCACTTACTGACAGTTTTGTCATAATTTTTGCCTTAGCAACTACTGAAACTTTGTTCTTTTATGTTAACAACAATAGCCTTCCGGCAGTCCTTTGGAAAACTTGCACATGTACTCACAATGACAGAAAATTAAAGCAAACAAAAGAAAACCAGATACAATTGCTTGAATATGAACTGAAGATTTGAAAGAAATGATTCTGCAAGCAAAAGGCGATTCAGATGTCACAATGTAGCCTGCGAGCAAGCTATTTCTAAGGCTAGTTGCTGCATCATGGAGAGTGACAAAGGGTCTTCATAAAATAACTCATGATCAATACCGTGTCAAGACAATTTGGCCAACAACTCTCTTGGTGGCTTCATTGTAGAAATCTTTTTTGGTATTGTACAGTTCGTAGAGGTAATCTAAGACGGTGCTCTGTCTCAGTACTTTGTGTGAAACGTCAGCAGACAGAAGAATATCTGTTTCATACTGCAAGATTGAGGTAGTATAACCTGGCCACAACTCCAACCTAAAGTAAGTGTCAAAAATCATTACATCAGTAGACATCTTCAGATTCATGCTGCATTAATACCAAACACGTGGTTTAATTTAAACCATTGTCCCTGGAAATCGGCTGAAAAAATTATTTAAAGATAAAACAGTACTTTGCCGGTGATCTGTCATGTTAGGAGGAGAATTATCCAAAAGGTTGTTTACAGGTAGGCACTACACAGTTTGTTTCCAATACCAAATAACAGCTTCCATGGTTTCGCAATGGGGAAATTACAGCAGCATTTGAAACTGCCCCCTGAGACCCTTTAACCACCAATGGTTGGTTTTATGGCCAAGCAGACATTGTTCTGTCACACCAGTGGACAGAAACATGCCAAATGAAGAAGCCAAGAATGAAGTTTATTAAGAAAAACTGAATGGCACCCAGCATATGAATTCTTCAAAAAAATTAGATTTTTTCATCACCCAGGAGCAAAAGCAAGGCATAACGGGCCACTGGGCACTGCCAGAGCAGAACCTTGGAAGAGGCTTTTTTTTCACTGGGAATAATATTATTGGGCTCTAATTTACATATGGAAAACAATTAATTTCAAGTGGCAGGAAAATAAGCGAAAGTAGACAGCACTGAGGTCCAGAGGCTTCTTAACAGGTACAGGGTCTGGAGCCAGCAAGGCCTCACAGGGGAACAGGGGTAGCACCCTGAGAGCAAAATGGACTTCAGGGTTTTGGACTAGCTGAAATGGGCTCTCCTGAAAAAAATTTGCAAAGGTATGTGTTTTTGAATGAAAATTATTATCAATCAGTAATCTGAGTTGCAATAGAAGTGTCCTGGGGTCAATTTAATAAAACCTTTACAAGTGTAATTTATAAGCACAGCTATTGTTTTCAGACTCTAAAATAATGGCTACACTTGTGAATTACACTTGTAAATGTTTTATTAAATCAACCCCTGATGACAAATTTTATCACATATACAGTGACTTTGTTACCTCTGCATCCTGCATCCCTGACACATTAAAATACCCAAAGATGCAACATATTCATGGCATGCAAAGAACAATCGATCAATTTGAACATTTTTAGTACAATTCCCTGTTTGTGTGATTTCTGTGGCTGTTGTTTAAAGATGCATGTTTACTTTAGGACTATTATTTTATTTTAGTAAACTGTAATAAGAGTTTTGGTGTCTGTGTCCAGATTAACTGTTAAATAAAGGTACAAGCATATGCAATTTAGGACTCCTCAAGGCTGCAAATAAATTTTTTTTCATAAGCAGGTCATTTGTCAGGTCAGAGACCAGACCTGACCTGACAAGGAAACAGTCTGGTCGGACAAAAAAAATTCCTAGTGAAAGAGCAAAATTAAGAATTCAACAAAACAACCTATTTCATTGCTTTAATTGCACAATATTTATCACAGACAGTAGCTGTAAAAGTTGCATCAGTTCACTGATCAGTCTGAAAACAAAAATTAAACAAAAATTTAATTCTGATTTACTTTTCGATAGCAGATTATTATTTTTTGATTGTCAATGTGTGTGTTTAGCCAAATAACAGAACAATGTTTTGCCAAAAGTGTCATTAAAGTATGACAATTAAAAGTTTAATTTGGATCAGAAGTGCCCGGTCAGAGTGACAGACCAGACTAAAATTTCGCCGGTCAAAACGTCAAATTTACCGGACAATTATCCGATGACCGACTGTAACTTGCAGCCTTGCTCCTTGTTTTTTGAACTGGGACTGGTGATTTTTCACAAGAGTCTCAGGACACACCAAAACTATTTGTAACAAAATCACTACATATACATATTGCTATGTCAAGATATAGCTAACCAGAGATCAGGCTCTATTTTCGTTTCGCTTTGAAAATTACATTCCGGTGGGCAAGACGAAACGAAAGGCCCAATTTCAGCAGTAGCCGTTAGAGAGAATGTATGAGAACCGCTCAAATTGGGCCTGATCTCAGGTTAAGATATAGCTTGAAGATTGTTCCCTACCAACAGCCTCAAAAGACACGAGAATGGGCCTGGGCGAGGCTCAAGTTAAGCTTTTCCAGAAATGTGCTTTTTTCTCCCTGGTGACAGGTGCAGTCATTTATAAGAGGGTCAAACTAGTGATTTCACTAAAATTTTGGTGTTTTAGATATGTGGTCACTAACAAGAAGATTTGAATGTACTATCACTTACTTGAATTTGTCAATCATGATAGGTCTTGAAACATGATAAAAGTTCCTGCCCACCAGCTGCATACCAATGTTGTTTTGAATTCTAAAAACAAGAAAAATAGAGTGATACAATGATTTACAATGTTATTTCTTAATTTAGTACATGAGATTATATTTTGATAATAGTCAGTTGTTTGACCTGTTACAGTTGAACCTCTCCACAATGGCCACCTTGGGGACACAAGAAAGTGGCCATCATGGGGATACCCAGGAGAGAATTACAGTACTGTTTTTAAGGCATATTACTAGCTAGCAGCATAAATTTGGGTCAGAGTTATGCCAGGCTTTAATTCAAGAGTCTGGGGCACCTTTGTTACTCAGTGGTTTCAATGAAAATTGAAGTAGCAAGCAGGTTTTAATAGAGTAACTGACTGTATAAACAAGGGGCCGTTGGTCCCCTTTTACTAGGGGGGCGGGGAGGGGGTCCGGGCATGTTCTAACCTAGAAAATTTTGAAATTTCAAAGCCTTAAAATGCGATTTTCAGCGTTCTGGGGAATAAATTTGAGGACAAAAGAGTGTGTTTTTTATTCAAGAAAAAGTAGCTTTCAATTTATCAATCACACAATCAATTCCTACAAGCAATGAGCAATTGATGAAAACTAAATTACGTACTTTTACACGTAAACAAATTTTATATTTTTTATTAACGGTTTTATAACGATGTGTAATCTAAAAAGGCGTTTGATACGCTTGGCATTTTGAGTACTCCTGCAAGCGATGTTTATGAACGGCTGAAAACAAACGGCAAAGCAATGAAAATTACACTTTTGAGACTACCAAAAATCAATAAAGAAAAATAATTCGATAGAACATTTACAGAGACAACAATTTTCATTCACGAAAACAAATGAGTATTTAAGTGTGTCTAAGAATCCTCAAGTCTTTACTAGCAAGCTTAAAGTTTATGTTTTAAGCCGCCGGTTTCCCGGTGTTGGCTGTTTTCAAAGATGAACTCACGTCAAGAAAATCGCTCAAAGCTTTCTTTCTACAGCCAAAATTATAACTAAATATTCTTCGGAAAGTTTTTTCTTTCTATTTACGGTGAATTAATATCGACTAAAGGCTTTTTAAAGTTCTGTAAGTTTAAGCTTATATCAAACCTCATACGAGGTCAGATCAGTGTCTCAGTCAAATCTTAATACAAACGTGCATAAACTAGCTTCATAAACTGCACCGCTGGACTTCATGAAATTAGATTTAAATACAATAATTACTCAGGCTTACCATATTTCGAGATGCAGCCCCTGAAAGCTATCAAGTAAGACAAGGATCACTTGAGCCTTTATAATTCTCGTACGCATCCAGCAAGGTGAAAAACAAAAACGATGCCACCCGAAATCGGATTATCGGCTTTGACAAGCGACGCATTTTTCAACCAAAAACCCAATAAACAAACCAGCCATGAATAAGAAAACACATCTTGATAGCAGCTGTATTTCATTTGGTACATCCAGTGGAAAAAGACAGTTAAAAACATCACAAGTTGACTCAAAACTCTGTCAACTTCAGCTGTCAAACTAAACAACTTTCAAGATGCTGCATAAATTTTATGCATGAACTCACCTGTCAAATTTTAACCAATCAGAGCATAAAAATTGGACGTGGAGCGTGACTAACACGTGACCATGGTAAGGAAAGGTCTTCCCCGCCTGTATTTTAAAAAAACTGGCTGAATTTTTGCGTCTGAGGTCAGTTTGAAACCAAAATCGTAATAGTGCGGGGTGATACTGACATAAACACAACATATTTGTTGTGAATTTAACACAAAAGTAAACGTGAGCCTGCAATCATTTGAAAACGAGTAAATTGTCAGCGGATAACTTCACAAAATACTCGGCCTTGATGGGTCGACACCTGAGCCCCCGATACGGTCAGGTGATAGTGGTCAGCGGATACCCTGTTTTGACAGCTGTCAATTGATGACAACATTGATGCGCAATCAGCTTTCTCCTGGGCTCCCAAAGTAGCTAGAAAGTGTGAGAGTAAACATTGGTATACCTGTGGTGCGGACAGACGGTCGGTCGGTCGGTCGGTCGCTCGGTCACGTGATTACCAAATTTTCTGGGATGGGTAGATTTCCTTAGCTATGGGGCTCCGCCCACGCGTGCGCTTTGCGCACGCGTGAAGCTCCGCTAAAACAAATTTGTGCAGATTTTGTTCTTTAATAACCCAAATTATTTTTTTTTCGCAATTCCTTAAGTTTGCTGAACTGTATGTGTATTCTATTTCCTGAACCTTGGGAGTGTGAAAAGGATTTAAGCTTCACTTTATACCTTTAGAGACTTCAGACACCGCCGTACGATGATACTCAAGGTAGAACAGACCTTAAAACACGCGAAAACCGCAGAAAGGAACTCTACAAGATGTGAATGCATTTTTCACCAACTTGCTGTCAAAAATGTGAACGTCAATGTAGTAAAAACGATCTACTGCCAGCGTAATTCAATATTCCTTAGGCAAAAAAAAAAAAAAAAAGTATTTATTATTTGACCGGCCAGAATCGGGGTTTGTCCGGGCTGAAAAATATTTGGATGGTCATCATGACCAGCGACCTGCTGTCTGTTATTTTCAGCCCTGATGACTGAAATATAGCGATCACATGACAAAAGCATGATGTAAAACCAGTGGGCCTTTATGAAAACACATAATTACGGTTTCATTCAGATTTTATGATATATTTTTTTGTTTACAACGTTATTTAAACTAGTTGCTTCTTTCCAGAAAAAAGTAAACGACCTCTATGAGCAAAGTAGCCAATGCGTTTGGTCGGCCGTTGGTGCTTATCAAAACCCCTGGTTACTACTACCAGGGCTCGACATTGCGACTGTATCGGTCGCATTTGGGACTAAGTTTTCTCCCTTTATGACTTAAGCTTCTTCAGCGGCTGCAACTTTGCGACCAGTTTTCACCTTAATTAATAAAGAAATAAAAAATTTGACAATCTTGTGTCCTACTTGTTGTGCAGATTTGAAAATGGAAGGCAAAATCCTGCTCAAGTTCCAAACTACACAATGTTACATGATTAGCTCAACCTTACGGTTCTGTTATAAACAGGTAGGTACTTCATGTATGAGGACTGATTTCTACAACACAAAAACTGAACATCATTTTTGACATAAAAACATTTAGACTTTTTTTAGGAAAACATTATAACAATAGTACTGTGCAACAAAATTGCAAGCCCGGAAACAAGATAGATAACAATTATAAAGGGTGTCAGAATTTAAGATGGTTGGCAGTTTGCTGGACTTGTGCACATACGCCGTGTTTGATTGCTGTGAATTGCTGAAAACAAACATGGGGGCTTTTTGGTGGAACATGTGTTCATTCAAAAGACTTCACAAGGATTTCGATATCTTTCTGTTTTGGCTTGATTTAACCTTGTGTGTCCTTAACTTGTGGCCAGCTAGAAGATTTTGACACGTTAATAAAGTGACATTGTGACATGCAGTAGAAGGGACATGGATCTGCATGGGCGGTTACGGTTGGTTCAGGGGCGAATGGGTTAAAGAGATTGAAATATGAGCTGAAATAGCTGCCATGAATCTTTCAAAAATGTTTTTGCAAGCCTCCAAAAATTACCACAAAATGTACAACAACACAAAAAAAACACATAATATAAGCTAAATGATAGATGATGGATGTAAGAGCTGTTCTCCCTGCACATCATAACCATTTAATTTTACAATTCTCTCTTAGTTATTTTAGATTATCATTATAGTATAACATATTATGCGTAGTTTAAATATTTTTTACTTTTATATTTTATCGGTAATTCCAATAATTTAATTATGAATTGTGTCCCCAAATTAGTATGGGATTGTTCCCAAGCTATACGGCTCCGACACATTAATAAAGCTTTCTACTCTATAGATAACGCTGAATGAATAAAATCAGACATCGCCAACTGTACCATGCGTAGCAAGATATAAAATGCTTAACTTGCATTGTTGTAGATGCAAGTAAATGTTACATATAATTTGAAACCTCTTGCTTTTTGCACACATCTCGACTTAACATACAACAACGGCCTAACATTTCTTGAGGCAAAACGCTGGGAAAAGTCATGATTTGGATACCAAAAGTTATTCTAAGACTATTATACTTTGATATCCTTTACAGACAAGAAACTTCATTGAAAAGCCGGAGTGAAAGTCACAGAAGCGAATTTCAAGACAAGTGCTTGCAGAGATCATGTTAACACAGAAATGAGGCATTCTTACGCAAACAAAATGCAAAAAATGCATCATCAAAATTTTAATGCATCCCAGGATGCAAGATGTTGACTTACAGAACTCACTCCACTCACGTTGAATCTTGAATAGAGTTTGTTGTTTGAGCGACGTGTAAAAAAATTTTGAACAAAGCCAATTCACATTGTGGCTGCCATATTGGATTTAACTACGCAAAGGGGCCTGGAAACAATTTACACATCTGGGAAACTTTAATGAGCTCCTGCCATGTTTGTTCATTGTTTGATTGACTGTGCTGGTCGAGTACCCACTTAAATGTGCCCGTAACATGGCAATGAAATGTGAAAAGGGGGGAAGACAATCAGTTTTTGGACAAATGGCTGAAATAGTTTGGATGGCTGCAAACAAGAATCTTAGGCGATGACTTATTGATGATTTGTAAGGATTACACAAAAGCTGGAAAGAAGAAGGCGTTCACGACTGGATGCAAAAATTTCCAAAGATAGGCACTTGTTCATCACGAGTCAGGTGGATCACAAAAGTTTGGCAAAAGTGTTGCTTCAGCAACATCTCAAAACCACAAGTGACTATGCTAGCTTATGTTTTCAAACAAAAAAAAGACGATAAAGCTTAGGTAACAGTAATTTGGCAGTCACTCTTTCTCATAACTACAACAAAAAGAATTTCTTAGGGGAGGGTCACCAATTTGACTGGACATGTGGGTCTGAGGACCCAGATTGAAAAATCCTAGTGCCATCCTGTTGTTTGTTTACTTTTTATCCACAGAAATTCTCTACCCACAGTCGACAAGACGCATTAAGTTTTGGTTTTTAGACACCCGTGTGGGCTACTTGTCTAAAATTTTAACCGCCTGCAGGATTATTGTAGGCACCTCTGGTGAATGGGCACCCATTAGGCAGCAGCCTTGTTGCGTAAACCTCTTTTCCAAATATCTTGCATATGAATTATTGAACAGTCCTGTTTCCTGGCAAGACTTTTCGTGCATTCATATTTTTTCATTTCCCAGATTCTGGACTTTCTGTACTGAATGTTTTGCATTTTATCATTTTGATTGTGTAACAGTGAAAACAAATAATTGATTTTCATTTATCAATCTTACAAGTACATAAGGTTTTACATCCCCTTACCAATAACTCTTATTACCCACCCCTCCCCTGCTTCCAGCACGCTCCCCTAATTTTGAATCACTGCTAGTTTTAGCAGCAAAACTTGAACATTATTTTTCACTATATACTAACAAAAACTGACCTGCGAAAAATGATGTTGAACAACTGCATCATGTTTGGGGATCCCACAGGAACCTCATTTGTGTACGTGATTGTCATCTGCACAGGATCACCATTCAGTTTGGTTAGATTCAGTACAGTCTCAACCTCTGGAAGGCGGATGGGGAGAAACAGCATCATTCCATCAAAGGCGTGGACTGAACCAATCACATCTTTCTGGCTTTTCAAAAGGCCTACACGCACTCTCTTAGAATCTTGTACAGGCTGGTAGCTGACATTGTACTGGTATACACCAAAGTTTGTTTTAGTCTTGAGCTTAAAGTGATTTGTCAGCAAGGTTACCGGTCCACCAGACAAACCCTTCTTATCTGAAATATGGGCTGGCTTTGAGGCTACATCACAGTCTGGGTCCTCCCTCAATCGACGCCGATCGCGCGATGGCCTTTGTTCACTGACGCTCATCCCTGCCATGGCCTGAGTTGGTGGTGCGGGAGCTGGTTTTTGCTCTTGTGTTACAGGTGGTCTCTGTGGAACAGGAGCCGGAGCTTGAGCTGCTTGCGCTGGCGGAGGACCTCGCGATCTTCCTCTTCCTCCTGGGGGAGCCTGCTCCTGCTGCGACACATCTCCGGGTCTTCGGGCCTGATCTCCACCGCGACCGCGGCCGCGGCTTCTTCCCCTTGCTCGACCCGTCATTTTCCTCTGCTGCTAACTACCCGCAAAAAGAACAAACCCTGCAAAGCAAAACAAGCACCAATCAAGCCTAACTCAAAGCATTTGACATACTGCAAAAAGTTGTTCTTTTTCAAGCAAACCCAGGACTTATGCATCGGTCAAATCGAAGCTTCAACATGCCCCCCCCCCACCCCCCGGGCATTTGACACCTTTGCCGTCCCGGGGAGGAGGGAATTTGATTATCAGAGTCTTCCAGGGGGTGGGGAATTAGTCATGGTGTAGTAATCTCAATAGGTGGGATCTTTTTTTTATAGAACGCTTTGTATGTTGCATGACAAAGAAAGGCTGAGCATTCAGTGACCTTGTAGCAGCGATTTCCACCGCTTTGCACGAGACTTTTGTTCGTAGTAAATACGCTAACGGTGTTTCTCAGTTTTTGTTATATTTATAAATATTTTGTTGGACAACTGAAGGTGTTTCCGCGGTCCGTTTCTGTCATTTTTGTGCCTGTGAAATGTCCCCGGGGTGGGGGCATTTGATCACCTGAATGGACCCTAGTGTGGGGCATTTGAATGGCATTTTGGCCCGAGTAGGGGGGAATTTGAACAATAATTTTCCAGAGAGTCAAATGCCCGCGGGGTTGCCCGGGGGGGGGGGGGGGGCGGTTTGAAGCTTCGTTTTGCCCGATCCTTGGGCAAAGGGAAAATTTTGCCCTCTTAAAGGGCAACCCGCTTCCCGGGTGTGGGAGGTTTCTACATAGAACTACACACAGGAAATGTGCAAAAAAAAAAAGCAAAATATTACCAAAGTGTTTGCCGCCGTTGGTTTTTGTCAGTGTGGTGCCTTTGAGAGGTGCCCGGGGGGGGGGCATTTTGTCACCGGTATGGACCCTGGGGTGGGGGATTTGAATGGCATTTTGGCCGGGGTAGGGGGGAATTCGAACCATAATTTTCCAGAGATGCAAATGCCCGGGGGGTTGCCCGGGGGGTGGGGGGGGCATGTTGAAGCTTCGATTTGACCGATACCTTAGCAAACGACAAATGTTTCACGCTTCAATGGCAACCAGCTTCACGTGGTTGTGGAGTATCATACATATGATCAACAGCTGAGAATTGTCAAAAAATGAAAGCATACTATTACACTGCTTTCGTAGTTTTCAAAATATAACCTCAAACTTCACAGTGGAATAACGGGGACAATCACTGTAGCCTGCATAATTTGACCTACTAGGCCATTCTTGTTTATTGAAAGCCAGCTCGTCGAGGAATTATGCAAACGGAACGGCGTCACACAGGGTCAAACACATAAACAAAGGATCTTAGGCGGGCAGAATAAGCCGAACTGAGTACATGGAGAGTCGAAAAAAGAGACTAGGGCCGTCCAAATTCGGGGTTAGGTATGAAAACCAACGTGCTTCATGACAGAGCGAACGTACACTCGCCTCGTGGTTTCTTATCTGAGTCGACGTTCTGGATTATCATGAAATTCAGGCGTTCTCATGAGTTCTCATGACTTCTGAGGAAATATCTTTTTCAATTGCTCACCTGTCGCCTCTCAAACAGTTACGATGTAAATCTGGCCAAAAATTGCCTTGATTCGTGGATGAAAAACAACCCAAACGGACAAACTCACCTAGTCTCTGGATCGCTTCTTGTTTCCCATTGAAAGCATGGACTGCGAAAGACAAGATGCAGTCGTGATGGTCACGTGTCATTTCTTCTTGATCATGATTGGTTCTGTTCTGAGAAGATCCGGGAGATTTTGTGACACCTTGAAGTGACAAAGATTCGCTTTGAAATCATCATCTCACAAGCTTCTCACACGTTTTTTCCGACGAGATATTTAAATCTTTTTTTTAATCAACCGATATTTTTCATTCTTACGGTACAGCTACGTTCTGAGCATTTGAAAGCTAACGTGTTTGGTATGTTGTTTAAGTAAGTTTAAAGCCGTGTTCATGATCATGTCATGATTGACAGTGTATTCTTTGAGAAGTTTTAATTGTTATTACAATTAGACAAAAGCTCCTTGTCTCCCAAATAATGCACGCAAATGCGCAACCATTCAATTACATAAAGTCACTTCTAGCAAAACAAAACTTTTAAAGTGTGTTTTGAAATCGTTCAAAGAGAAAGCGAAAAGAAAAAGGGATAAATAACATCTCGTCTGAGGCGCCTTCTTTTCTTGAGCTTTGGGTTTCAAATTTCATTCCAGGGTGTGAAAGATTTCCCGCCATTTTTCCGGGGCGCGACCCGCGCGAAATGATTTTCCACGTGCTCTCAATGGCGCTTTGAGTAAGCCTCCAGACAGGGGCACCCAACGAGAATATAGTTCAAAACCCCTTAAACATAGCATTGTTAAACTATTTTAGTATTTAAACGGTAGATACAGGCATATTTTTATCCCCTAAAAATTTTTCATCTGTTCAGATTTCCTAGCTCAAAGTCTAGTGATCCGAAAAGTTATTGTGTTGACTTCTAAGAAGTGGCTTCAGTCGGTGACCTCACAGGTTTTTACACCAAGTATGGGCCTTTTCACGGTGATGTGGTAGAATAAAATGCCAAAAATTAGGTCTTCATGAACTGTTTTTGATGAAATGGAAATATAAGACTTCAGCCCAAAATAAACGTCAAACTTCACACCGTTATGCCAGACATAAAAGTAATTTGCTTATGCATTAAGGACATGGGCAGTTTGTCAACTTTTGCAGACCCGAGCCACAAGTAAAAATTATGTGACAGACTCTTCTTATGGAGAAGGCAGGGACCTTTCGCCGGCTTCGAGTGCTCTCGAAAAATTGCATTTCTGACTCACAATATAATATATCCGGCTTCTTGTTTTTCACGCTATTCAAACCGTATGTAAAGTAGGTTGAATATGACAGAACAAAAGGAGATTAACCTAGGATCATATGAAACAAATTCGTGATATTATATTCCGAAGCAAGAAAAGACGTTTTTGAAAGACGGACGTCAATCGCAAGTGGACTTTTTTCAATCTTGGGCAGTAGTTTTGCCAAAATTTCACGCAAATTGTCTCTTCAAGAATGAAGGCTCTTGGAAATACAATCCTGGTAGTGTCAAGGCCAATAAAAATTTAAAAGGTTCCACTTCCGGTTGCCGTGAGTAGCTCCGATTACTGCTGGATCACGAAAAGCCAGTCAGGCCATGCAAACGAAAGTCGCCTGGCCTGAAACGGAATAATTTGGAGGTTAGGGTCTCCGAGCTGCTATATCTCTTGTATCGGGTAGTCAAGTTTGTTTTCCATGGTAATTTCAAGAAAGGAATTTTCAAGAAAATTTACACGGATTCAGTAATAACAAATTAGAACGAACGTTGCCTTCAACGAAGGCTTTTTAGGGGTCGTAGAAGCGCCGGCCACATCGGGCGGGTCACAATAATTTATAGTATGTTGGTGATTTCGGCGTACGTACGTGTGAAGAATCGTACAAAATGTAAGACAAGGGTATTTCTTTTTTAAAATCTTGCACACACGGATCCTTGGTTTTTACGACTGTTTTGGAGCTCTTTTATTGATCTCTTGATCATAACCAGATACATTTTCTTGTTTTAGTATAGCCGAGCCAAACCCTTGCTGGAAAACTTTTTTCTGTATAACTTGATCCCATTTATCTTAACAATGTCACGAAGGTTACAAAAGCATGCTGTATGTGATTAGAAAGTACGGGCGTCCAAATAGAAAAGAGAGAAACAAAACCAAAAAAAGGAAAACAATCACCTGAACGTGCATTGTATGTTGAAACGGATACTAGACCATGCAAAGAACTACATTCATTGATTGAAAAACTATTGTTCTGGGTTCATATTGACACAGCTGATTAACAATATTAATTGAAAAGGGGGGCTTTTATAATGGTGGAATCAGTTTTAAACATCGCCAACTTTTGGCCGGTTGGGTACATGGGTGTTTCAGAACACGGTTTAAAAGATTTCGGGACCAGACTGCTTGATACATTGAGTGAAGATCCCGAGCTTCCTTTGAAGTCCAAGACAAAGAAAAATGGACTCTGGCGCCATTGTCTGTGAGGTGACAAAATCGATTGTTCCGGCAACAGAGATTCGGCTGCTTGCTAGCGCCGCTAAAGTTCACCGCTGCGTGTGCTTGTTCACCGTAACTGGACAGCAGAAAATAGGCCCGGAATGAAGTGGACTGGACAGCTAAACTGAGGAAATCTACGCGCGTTCGGTTGCTCAGGGGGGTAGCGTGAGGTCACGGAAAGAAAGTTTGGACCTCCGAAGGTACTGCAAACTAGGGGGAGCTGAGGGCATGCTCCTCCAGAAAATTTTTCAGATTTATGGGGTCAGAAAGTCTTATTCTATTGTGTCAATTTGAATCAATTTGTTTGTCTTGTTTTAGAATAGTTATTGACTTTCTATTATTTTCCCTTATATTCTTCTTTTTTCAGTGTTTTAGCATGACAACGCTAACCGTGATAATAAAGTCTGCGTTCGATTTATTTTGACTACCTTATTACATGACGTTTTCACAACACGTTTATTTTATTTTTACGTTGCGCAAGTTTGGTTTTGCGAAATTTCTGCACTTTGAATCACCTTAATTTCGCGCTCTTCAGTAAGTCAAGACACCATTTTTTGTGAACGACTTCATCAGCACCAATGCCACATTGCATCAGAGGGTCCATATAAGAACAGAAACAACAAAGAAGTTTTTGTAACGATGGCCCAGGAATTAAGTCTTTTCGTAATACGGTGTTGGAGTATGAGCCACTCGCCAGACTCGCAGATTGGTCTATCCTATAGTGGTTTGATTTTTGCCTGTGTACAGACGCTCCCCCCCCCCACTCCCCTCAGAAAAAAAATCGGGAAGAGAGAAGTCGTCTCCCTCGCCGATTCTTTCTGAGGGGAGTGAGGGAAGGGGGGGGGGCGTCTGTACATAGGCTATTTGATTTTAACTTTTCGTTGAGAGTCCCAGGCTCACTGTCATTGGCAAAAATTGGGAACTTGCACATTTTTATATATACTTGACGAGCAAGCAACCAAGGACTTTTTTGAAAGTCGACTTCAAAGCCCTCGCTAAAAATAACCCCATGTCAGACTGCTGACAATGTCAAAACCACCGGACATAATATCAAGTGGGATCATTTTGAAATTAAGGGCCGAGTAAATCAGATTAATTGGATTGTCACTGACTGTTAAAAAAAGATGAGATCAAGAACTTGAGCTGCAGCTTTTAATGTCAGGCATCAGCAGTGAAAAGCTTAAGGCTCATTGCCGTTGATTTGAATGTTACGATTTTTCTTAATCTCAGTTCCAGAGCCCAAATCACTTTTTTACTGTTTTTGTCATAATCTGGAACAGTCACTTTTGAAATGTACGTCGACAACGAAACTCCAAGTTGATATGAAAATGCGTAAGTTAACAATGTTTACCACGGAATGACGGTATTTTTTAAAAAGGTATTTCTTCAAGCCCAACCCTAAGCGTTCCCTTCATGGGTATAAAAAATTGGTTTCCATCCTGAGAATCGAAGTGAGACCAAAATCCGTTATGAGACGACGAGCAGCGGGGCTCGGGTTTTTATAAAAATGTGATGGAGAGAGGAATCAGAGAAATTCCCACCTTCGTAAAGTTTAAATTGCACCTAACTTTCGGAAAAATGATAGTGCCCTTGTAACTTTGAAGAGGCTCAAAGTTCTCCAGTTTGACCGAACAAACACTAAATTTATAACGTCGCTTAGAATAGATGGCTAGAGATCCAAACGTTCTGGATAGCAAAAAAGCGTTTCAAGGCCGTGATCCGATGGGGAAACCGCAGTTTTGTGCCCCTTTAAACGCACGTCTTCCATCTCTAATACGTTTCCAGTTTTTCCAAACTGAGAATTGGAGAGGTGGAGGTTTATACGGTACCAGTTTACAATTCGACAATTGTTCACTTCTTTGTCAGTTATTTTCTAACTGATCTGTTATTCTTTGGTTTGGGAAAAATGGAAAATAAATCGCCCCAGGGTTCCGGAATCCGAAATCCTGGGCTTTGAAATCTGGACACAGCTCAAGGAATCCGGAATCCCTCTAACGATTGGAACCAGAGTCCAAGTTCCACTGACAACGAATCTCTCACATGGGGCGGATTATATCAAATGACTCGTACAACTAATAAGAGGACAAAAATAATGAGCAGATAAAATGATCAGTAAACTATTAAATTAAAAGTACACAGAAAAATAAAATCTGCTGGGCAGATTAAAAAACATCTTTAATGTCAATTCAATCAGTTCAAGTTCTGAATACAAAACAGTGCATTTATAAAAAATATAATCAGAAGTACAAATCGTTTAGATTTACTTTCATCTCAAAAGCTTAACAAAACGTTTTCTTTCTTTCTTGCCCAGTGAAGGTCAGACGAAGTGATACTTCAAGTTTTGTACTTTTTTCAAAGGGCGTGATGTCTTCGAAGTTGCATCCTGACAGCTCCAATCTCCTTGACCACTTCATCAAGCCGGCTTTCGAGATAAGCCTGAAGAAAAGAAGACTAAGGGTCAGCCCGAGAGTCAGCCCGAGGGTCAGCCCGAGAGTCAGCCCGAGAGTCAGCAGGAATAATCAAAACGATATCGATATAAACCTTGTACAAAGGAAATAGAGAGCCTTTTTTACTCAATCTGGGAGACTCCGAAAACCTCGCCTATCATCTTACGCGCTCAAGAGATCTCAAGAACACTCCCTCTCAATTCTCCCCTGGGAAGGATTTCCTTATATGGCCTATACAGGGATGTGCCGCTTGACAGGGGATGGTTTTTCTCTTCTCTGTCCGTCCTAAACAGGGTATATAATTTCGTGCCATCCGGTCATAAACAATGCATGAAATTTGTTTGTACTAAAAGCAATGACTACATGCATAACGTGAATTTGCTGTACTGTAACTGCCAATAATGGCTATAAAACAACACGGCGTGCATTTTGTCCTTTGTCCTAAACAGGGTAACAAAATAGAGGATGTTGTCCTAAACAGGGTATGAATTTAAAGAATTTTTTGTCCTAAACAGGGTCAGGATTTCAAACCTATATCCAAATATTAGTCGAGTACACCCCCCCCCCCCCCCCCTCCTTATCGCATCCCCCTTCCCATCCCCCTGTCACACCAAAAATTTTTTTTAGAATAATTCCCTCTCAACACGGGACAAAAGGACGACAGACTTCGCACGACCGCTGAAAAGACACACAAAAAAACACCCTCCCAACACCCCCCCCCCCCCCCGTCCATTCTTGTTGCATAGCACCTAACGCTCTCCTGAAACACAGGAAATTTTTTTTAAAAGTAGTCCCTTTACAAAGGGCATAAAAGATGCGAGCATTGGTGCGACAAGAGCAAAATACGCAAATGAAACACACTCGTCACACCAGCTTGATTGAAGCTCTCCAGATATTTATTTTAACAGTTGCTTCCGGAGCGGTTTTTTTGCAACACCTGCTCAGACTCAGGAAGCAGGTGTCAGGAAGTAGAGACTCGAAGTGCAAGATAAAGGCTGAGATAACATCGTCAGTAAATGCAAAGGGGAAGTAAGATATCTTTTTTCCCGTCACGTAGCCTTTGCAAGCAAGGCTCTGGGTCAGTGTAGACGAGCAGCAGCGAAAATAAAAAGCGAGAGAGAAAAAAAACGGCGAAACCCCGTTTCTCCTCATCCCACACGCGGTTTTCGCGTAAACAGGAGCATCAGGGCTCCAGGGATTTCCCGGCGCAAGTCGATCCGCTTTATAACCGACGGTATCTTGGCCAGAGTATGACGTTTGGGTTCTATCAAGAGCAAGATGTCGTGTTTATGTCTTGCAAAGCTAACTTTTACGTAGTACGATTTATATTCACTTTGTTGTTATCAATCCAAACAGTGTACAACATCAGGGCCAGGCTTGCACAGTTTTAGAAATCGCTTTCGCTGTCTAAATCTTACCCGGGGGTACTCCCTCATTCCGGGTGGTTTCAACAGAAGCACCCCAACGACGGTGTTCTAAATGCTTTGAAAGCACTCTTTAGTCTATCCAGAGAACTTTTAGATCTTTAGAAATGTATTCTAAGTGGCGCTAAATAAATTATATCTGTTCGGTCATCCTTGGACAAATTGAGTCTTTTCGAAATTACAAGGGCTTCAGTATTATTTTCCCGAAAATTTTAGGTGCAATTTAAAGTTTTGCGAAATTAATAATTTTCCTGATTCCTCTCTTCATCGCATTTTCGATTCCGAAAATTTTAGGTTTCCTTTCTCTACGAAAAATAACTTAACCTGGGGAGTGAAATGGGAAAAATGAAACCTCAGAAAATCGCATTTATTAGATAAGCTTTGAAAATTGTACATGAATGGAACGGTCATCTAGAACTTTTTAGCCTTCCTCAAACTATAGAGAAATATAGGCAATTTTTGCTTCTCCGAACAGATATTTGACAGAAAACAGTCGTTGAGTGCCCCCGTTTCAAACAAACAAACAAAACACAAAAATGTCCCAAATAAGTAGAAACAAAGATCTCTGCAGATTGTTTCATAGCATAAACGTGCGCAAACTTTCACGCAGTGATTCGAAAACCTCGTATGAATAAACCTCGAAGAAAAACAAAGCATGTTCACAATACCTTGTCCTCCTTTGATCGTTTCGTCATTTTCTGCGTTGGAATTCGGCTGAGAGTAGACTCAAGCTGCAGTATTAACAGAGACATTACGTTAATATAGCCTGAGACCAGGCTTCGCAGTGGGGGAGAAAAGGCGAAAAAAAAAAATTCCCAGTCAACCGCTTTTTTTTTTTGGCTGTTTCACCCCGTTTTTAGCCTTTTTCCCCACTGAGGAGCCTGGTTCCAGGCTATTACATGAAGAGGATATTACCCAGGAGGGGCCAATTCCTATATTAGCCTTACGGGGAGGCTCTTCCCCGCGGAGGGGGTAATTTTTCTTAAGTTCAGGCTGCAGGTATAGGATAGGAATTTCACCACTTGATGTGAAAAGGAAAACAAGGCTCTTATTTCAAACATTTTCGAATATGCGCAATTAGACGTCGTGATAATGACACAAAAACTTCCTGTTTTGGCTTTTTGTTCGATGCTTATTAAAAAGATAGGCTAGTCAAAACAGTTAAATGGATGCAGTGTTGTATTGTATGTATGTGAAAGAGGAACCATTTGTCAATAGAAGCTATACAAAAGGGATACCTTTTCGGTCCAAAGGGCAAGGGGTTGGACCTCGGATCGGAGCTTCCCTGTATAAAACTTTGTTGAGTGCTCCCTTATATAGTGTGCTGAAGATATGATCCCTGTATAGGAGTTTTCAATTTTGAGTGGCAAAAACAATGTTTCACTAACGAGAGTCAAGAAAATAAAAGAAATGTAGTAAAAAAAATTCATTAACTCTTTCTTTTTGATGGTGGGTAAAGAAAAAAAATTGTAAGAAAATTCAAATTTCCTTTTTTTACATCCTAAGAAATATTATATACAAACGTGCTGCGAAAGGTTTCAGCCGAAGCGTAACAGCATAGGATTTCTCTCACAGATTCTAAAGTTATCCTGACAAAAGTATCACGCCACAACCTACGGTGGCCCATTGAGGACAAGCTATCTACATTTTTATATCGCGCGATATAAAAATGTAGGTAGCGTGTCCTCTATGGGCCACCGTAAACAACTTGGTCTAAGATGGAGAGGGTTAAATCACAAAAAAAAAACAGCACTTGCTCGTTTTCTTTCCTCTGTAAGCATTGAAAATTTTCTTTCCATTAAATGCATGTCATTTTCACTCTCTTCAGTGTGATCCTTGCTGCCGGCCTAAGTCACAACAAAAATTTAACACACAACAAAGGTATTCACAATCTTAAAAAAAGGCTTGGTTACGCAATATATATGCACGCTAATGAGGTTCACGTTATACTGAACCGAGTGGTTAGAGTGCTGGACTTGCAATTTGGAGGCCCTGAATTCAAGTCCTACTCTGACCGCTAGGTTAACCCTGTTAAGTTTGATTTAGATTATTTGTTTCAGACATTTGCTCGGCCCCACTAGCATAAGTGCTATAAATACTGCCGAGGGTAAATGACGGAATTATTTATTATTTTTTATGACTGGCATCAAAAGTGTCCCTGGAAAGCCTTCCCCTTTGCGACGCTATCACTGGTTTTCCCGCAAAATGACGTCTGAGAAACGAGCGCAGAAATTCCATACTGACGACGCATCACTACCCAGATCTAAGAAGTGCTTTCAATCAGAGGCACCACCCAGATATGGGGAGTGACGCCTCATCAGTTTGGAATTTCTACACTCGTTTAACAGACGTCTATTCGCGGGAATTTAGTGGTGGCGTCGCTAAATGTCGACCGTTTTCGCAGGCTACTTTCGCGTCTCCCGGAGAGCTTGCTCGCAGGGTATGTTAAATCATCCTTGCATGCGCATTATCTTGTTACTGGTAACTTTAATAGCTGATTTGAAGGCCTTCATTGGGATCAGGGGGTTCCGCTATGTTCCGCTGGTCCTTGCTTGATCTAACTAAAGAAGCAACGTTCTCCACTCGCCCCCCACGGCCCCCTCCCCACTCACTAAAATGGATATCTAGAGTTGGTCCCTGTCATTTCCACTCACGTTCTTGTATTCACTCTCCTCTCGGACATCTACAGTTGGTCACAGTCGGTCCCATCTTTTACTTTTCAGATGGACACCTCTCTAACAAGGACACTTAAAGCTATCCTATGAACATTTGCCTCCAGGAAGAGAGACGTCGTCTCTTGTCTCTTTCTCGTTGTTTTTTTTTCCTGAGGGGGAGGGGCGGAGGTCAGGCGCGTGTGCACAAGCTCACTTAGTGCCGCTCCCGTGGGTGTCCGATGTACAGAGTTTTGATTGTACCTATTCTAAAGGCTCACCTGGCTGTTTTTCGTGCCCAGGTCCTTCTCGGCGATATTGTATGTAACTGCTGTAAAAAGAACGATTCTAGTGTTATTACACTTGTACCCCCATAGGTCAGATTAATGAATTGATTATTTGAAAATTGACTCCCTTAGCCTTTGCCGCTACTACTATCAAATTCCTGCATGCATAATTACCAACTTATTTTGGTCTGGGGCTTCTCTTTATTTTCTCATATTGAAAAGAATTCGGACTTTTGAGTGAATAAAATTCCGATGAAGACTTTTATATCAAATTTAAGAAAAAAGCTGAGCTGCTAAAATATCTAACCACGTTGCGTGCAAATTCACCACTCATTACCGACATTACTCATGCAGGGATACAGAAAAGAAGCGATAACGGCAATAACCAATTCATTAATAGAGTCTGTAAGGACACGCTTCACCAGGCAAGAATGTAAAACAAGGCTCAAAACCTTCAGCTTTCCTGCTAGAAACTATCCATATAAATCCAGTCTTTATAAAGGCCTCTACTTTGATAGCCTCATACATTCCCGTAGTTCCCTCGAAAACTATACCCGATTCCAGACCAAAATGGGCAAAGTCTATAGCCATTTCAAGACCAAAACGGTGCAAAAACCATACCCTTTGGGACGGCATATACCTATATGGCTTATATCCCCCCGGGAAAGGTATAAATAGCCAAGGGCAAGGACATTTTTAGATAAACACCACGGCTTCACCTTATATACAAATTTTAAAGTTCAAAAGTTGAAAGAGCTGCTTTACTTCAGCAATTTGTGCCATTTTCAGCTCTTTTTAGGCAACATCAAATGAATTATCAGGCATCCAATACTGCCAGATTGCTGGGTGACAAAAACGTTTATGAGCCCATTACATTTCGAGTGTTTAATAACGAATTTCTTCCGAAACTACTTGGTATATTGGGTTAAAAAGTTTCAGAGATAAGTAATATTGTTATGCTTTTTCAATATTCAGAGATGTTATTTTAAAAGCTTTATCCGAAAATGATAAGCCTGTGATAAAGAAACAAAAAATGTAAATAAGAAACCGCAAAATGAGTTAAAAATACATCTTCCTATAAATATAACCGTACCCTGATTCCCGCTTCAGATAGTGAAGCACGGGTAAAAAACACAGAGCGAGTGAAAATGAAAAGTGGTGGCCCGGTTTTTTTTGGTTAATCTCATTTCGCCCATGCTCCACTAGCTGAAATTCAGATAGTGGAACAAGGAAGTCATTTGTTCTTCTTTCTTTTAATTCTGATGTGTTGGTTAAAGCATTACAGAAAGAAAGAAAAAGCAGCCTGCAAGCAGGCTCACTTGTGCTAGTTCAGGAAAAATGTTGGTAGCAGAGCTGCCATTGCACGAGAAAAAAGTGGCCCTGGCGCCATAATTTTCCCCGAACTTGTGCAAAACAAAAAGATAATGGACCTTAACAACGGCAAACCCAACCTCTAGCCCAGGGTAGATGGGGTTGCCTCAAGCCCAAGTTGGTGTTTTACTGACACCCAGAAAGAATCGATACAGGTCACCACCACCCACTTTGTTTATCCTTGGTCCTTCTTGGTTCAGAAATTGTCCTTTCATAATCTTCTACTGCTAACAGTCTCGCATCGTGTGCACCAGTAAACTCTGACTCTGGAAAACCGCCAGCGGCTTCACCGCCAGCGGCTTCATCGCCAGCTGCTAGAAAACTAGACTCTGTTTGGGCGGGTTCACCATAGAGGCGGCGGGTCCTTCCGGTGTGAGTGCGAATCATTTCTTCACCTGATTTAGTATCTTCAAAGACCACGTCAAACCTTTATGCGCAAAGATAAAACAACACAAGAAATGAAAGAATCGGTAGCCAAAATAATGATGGCGATGCTGATGATGACGACGATGATGATGCTGATCAGCACTATCATCTATTACTACTTGGTAAGCAGTGTGCAAAGAAAGTCAGTTTTAGCTAGAATGTACTAACCCAAGAGTCATTAAAAATTTTTTTTGATGAGCAGAATTGATGACAGTTCTTCTGTAATTTGAATTTCCCCCCAAAACTTCACTTAACTTAAGAACAGAATTCACAAGCCCGTTAGCAAAATCCACTAATCCTGGGCTACCGGACACACCTTTCTTTTCACGGTGACTTCCTCCTGATCCCCTTCCCATTTCTACTTAGGGACGGACCATTAGAAAACTTATGAGGGAGGGGGGGGAGCGGGCGACGTACAAAAAAAATATTTGCGCAAGGGAAAATTAAATGAAAAAAATTCATGCACGCCAATTAATCCTAAAAAATATTCATGCTATGGCCTAAAAAAAATTCATACAAGGAATTTGATAACGAAAAAAAATTCCGGCGGCTCGAAAATTCCCCTCCCCCCCCCATAAAATTTCTAATGGTCCGTCCCTTAGGCTCGTCTATAACCAATCACAAAGCAAAACAATAAAGACCAACCAAACATGCACATTGTACTCTATTTCAATGATTTTCATTTCCAACCTAGTAAGAAGATCAGTTTTCTTGACTACCATTCCTCCTGCAACAGTATAAGGTGCTGGCATTGCAGTGTCCGGACTTTCTTTACTTGTGACAGGTTTTGTTTGACCACTTTTACCCTGACTGGAGGGGGTTGAGGACTTGAGTCTTGATGAATTGAAATATAAGAATCAGCTTAACAATAATGTTATAATTTATAGCCTACCCAGAAAACAGACCTCATCTTAAATAAGTTTTGTTTTGCCAACACAGGTCATAGGATAGTAATTTAGAGATTATTGTTTCTTTCAATTTTTACTTAATTTATGGCATAATAATGTAGGCACCTCCATTAAATGGTCACCTAACGAGGCACCATATGGCTGTGCACTATAAACCAATGTTGCTGGCAGTAGGGACCACAGTCTGGTCTTGTAATAATACATAATTCTTCCTGTCACCACCTACTTTTCTTAATTTACCCAGATTAAGATTTCAAGATCACTTCGTACCTAAGCATTATTTTTTTAGCTTAGCCTGAGTTTGTGACTTAAGGAGACAGCTGAAATTCAGGCTATCTTTAGCTCTGCTTGTACCATATTTTAAATTTACGATAAAGCTACAGAGTAAAATACTTCAACCGGCCTGCACATTTTTAAGCAGGAACAACCAGAAAAAAAATATAATATTAAAACTCAAACATAAATACCCATTAGATGTCAAATCTTGCTTTTTGGTAGGGCATGATGGAATTTTCAAAACATCTGGTACAGCTGGACTGCCAGAATGTATTGGCGAAGTGGCATGTGGATGACAGCTTGCTGCCAATTCAGAGCTCAGTACATCTCTTGGAATTTCTGGGCTTGTATAGGATGAAGCAAGTTGGCTCTGGTCTGCTCTCTGAATATCTCGCTTTTTTATGGGAGTGGATTGTTCCCAAGTTTTCCGTCCAGTAAATAGTTTATTTTTACCCGTGGACTGTTCAATGTGACTTAATAAAAAAAAACCAAGAAAAAAAAACAATTGTTTAATCATGGTTGTATTTACTTCGCCGGCTACAATCTTTCACAAGGAGAAACTGTCAACTGGTCATTAAACTTAGCTGGGCTTGGTAGAAAAAAGAATTTGTGACGGTTAGGGAGCTTAAGCATCCTTGATGACAACGACAACATCAGAAAACTATTGGTTTCATGTCAGCAAAACAACAGCACCACCAGTGCACTACACTTTTTAGTACATTTCTTTAACGTCCACTGCTACACTATGATGTGAAACCTCCTTTCACATTTTTTAGGTGGATCTAAATAGGCACAACTAAGTTTGAAAGGACATAAATTCATTCTTTAGCAACGTTTTCACTGCTGTCATTGTCATCAATGCTTGAGCTACCTGTTATAACTAAACACATAAAAGACCTTTTGACTATGCCCAGGGACAGTTAAGAAACATAAGATTACAGAGCTCTGCATTGTTTCAAAAATCTTGCTTAGAGGCTTGGAAGAATGTATTTTGAAATTTTTGGTCTGCCACAAGAAAATTTAGAAGAGTTTTTGAGTGTTAACAAGCAGGTATAATTTGAAGTGAAACAAAGGCACTGACCTTAATTTTACGTTGTCAAGACAAACAAAAAAGGAAGTAGACATTTGAAGGATTGTTTGCTTGGTACAGAGCATGTACTAAGGTCTTTTGGAAAGGAGCTGCATTGACAGCAGTTTTCTCTAAAACTAAAGCAGTTATCCTGGACAAAATGTTCTGACATCTAACATCTGATAATATTACTAGTGAGCCACAGTGATAAGACAAAACTTTGTCACACTAATCACTGGGTTTGGTAGACACACTATATTCGCCTCCATGTGCTGTTCAAAATTGTAACATATCTAAAATTATTTTGCAGCTTAATTCTGGTTTAGGTAACCTATCTAATATCTGAGTTTCCTGGTTCAAAAATACCTGTGAAACACATTTCTCAGCATCCAGACCCCCACCACTAAAAGGGCGGGTCATTTGGATGCTGTCTACATCTGAGCCCAGTTGTTCGAAAGGTAGGTAACACTATCCAGTGGATTACGCAATTGATTTCCCTAACACTTATCTGCTGGATAGCAATTTATCCGGTGGATAGCGCTATCCAAATTTTGAACAACAGGAGCCTGTATTTTTCAGGAACCTCTGTCTACTTAAAATGGAAAAAAAAACTGTTAATTAGCTACTCATCCACTGCTCGTACAAGTATTGAAACCATTATTATAAATAGATTTAATATGCAAACCTATTTTCTTGGACGTAACTATGCTCCTTTGCTACATCCTCCTTAGTATTACCTCTTGAAACTAGTTTTGATATGGTCCTGAAAGCAAGAGAAAACAACGAATAACATACAAATAACTATAGGAAAGAAACCCATCTGGTAAATTGTTCTACAATTCATTATTTTGCTGCACTACAACTTTAGGTCATAGATGGTCGAATTTACCTTTGGAAGATCCAGTTCTGAGAGTGTAGGAGTATCTCGACATTATTAGGTCATGCAAAGTAGTAGGTGCAACATTATTATTATTATTATTATTAGCTTAAGCAACAATGACAGTGACGATGACGGCAGTGAAAACATCGCTAAAAAATTAATTTGCATCCTTTCAAACTTTATTGCATCTATTTGGACACGCTCAATTTACCAAATAAAGGCTACCTTTCCTGGAGTTGAATTCTTAAGGACTTTATACAGGTTCAAAAAGAGAAAGGAAAATTCATTGTGAGTCGTATGTTCACAGCCTCCATAAAACATTGGTTTCATGTCATAGTCGTGCAGTGGACATCAAAGAAATGTATTAAAAGGTGTGATGCACATGCAGAGCTGTTGTTTCGCTCATAAAACCAATTGTTTTTTGACACTGTCGGGATTGTGGTTGCTTCAGCTTCATATTGACTAATAAAAATGGCAAGTATAAAAGTTATTAGTCAGTTATTATTTACAGATAACAGTGGCAGGTATCTGTAAATATTTGTGCGAGTTAAATTAAAATGACTTGACTTGACTGTTTGTTTTTTCTACTAACCATTCCAACAATGAAAATAAAAATGCCCTCATTTGTTTCTAAGTTCTTTCCCTTGTCAGTTTTGCACGACGTGGGAGTCATTCAATACCTTCCAATAATATAATAAAGAGCTTTAAATTCTGAGACGAGGACAACTACGAGTACGAGATTTTCTCAATACTGATTATTGCTCACGTGTGAACCAGCATCATTTTGGCAGGAAAACATGATAGCCATCCTCATTCTACTATGGGTTTTAGCGAGAATGTTGTAGTGGCGGGAACAAGTCATCAAATGTAAGAAGTTTTATCCTTTTGCTATTGGAAGAGGGCTTAACCTCCTTCAGTATAAATAATCGTATTAACTTCTTTGGTAAAAAAAAGTAAAATGAAGCTTTCTGGAGAGTCTTTTTGTTAGAACATGCGCAAAATCTTTAAGTTAAATCTCGTAATTGTACTCATTCTCATCCCCAAATCTAAAGCCCTCTATTATCAACAGCGAACTTACTCTCTAAGGTTTGCCATCTCACTTTGTGACAACTCGAGTTTATCATGCATAGACTTTACCGATTCCTGTAAAAAGTAAATAATATTATCAATCACAGCTTTTAACTTTGATATATTAGATATTCTGCTAAGTGCTATAAAATTATTATGGATTAGTGAAGATGATTTTATTCAAATTTCAATTGAACGTCTCAAAGCCTTGCTTTGCTGATCACATCTGCTTCCACACAGGAAATTCCATTCAATTCACAATGATGGTGACGAAAATTTTTGCAAAAAACTGGGAAAACAAAATAGTTGAATTAGATGCTACAAAAAAAGACAATTACAAAATTGCTTGGCAAAAGTTAAGCAAAAAAACATTTCATGTGCTAACCCTTTGCCATCTTGCGAGTGTCAAGTTTCAAGATTACTATGACATTTAAAATGCAATTAAATGCAATAAACAACAAAGAACACCATCTCACGTTATTTAATACAATTCTTTGTTATCTCCTTCCCTCTCAGAATCTTAATAAAACAACACCGAGAGTCAAACCTCTTCTATAGTTCCTAACCCTCCACCTCAGCTCCATGATACCACCATCTCTATATTCCAGACAGTTCTCTTGGTCCCAAGATATCCAGTGCTGTCAACTCTCCCAGATAATCCGGGAGACTCCAGATTTCATTAGGGGGAACGTATCTCCCGGTCTCCAGATTAGAGTATGAAATCTCCTGAATAATCATCAAAGTTTGCCATTTCTTCAGTAGACTCGACTTTCCGACAATAACATTTCAACTATTTTGCTTTGTTTGAGCTATTTTAAAGTTAACATCGAACGTTTCCTCACAAACTCTGGTATGCCATTGTTATATAAGAAATAATATGATTGCTGGGAAGTAAACCAATCAGTTCAAATTTTACAAAGCCAGCAACATCTTTTACGCGCACTTTGTGGTCATTGCAAATTTGTGACGATTGGAGTCAACAAGTATTTTTTGCACGAATGATGTCATGTGTCGTACATTATGACATCATCTATCACCCCTTTCCAATCAATTCTCCATATTTGAAGACATGGGGGGTTGACAGCCCTGGATACTTAACTTCAAACATAAACAGTACCTCTACAATACAGGCACCTCTCAATCACAGACAGTTGTATTAATAGTCCCAAAGATACCAAGCTTTATAAAAACCTTCCCTCTATATAACAGACACCTCTATAACGTAGCCAATTGACTCTCACCCCTGGATGTCCATTATTATCTAAAAGATTTGACTTTAATCGCAAGCCTAAAGTTAACTTAAAATACTCTAAAACCTACCTGTGCTTCTTGGTGATCTTTAACTAAAACATCATATTCTATTAACATCTGTTTAAAAAAAGTAAAAAAAGGGAATAGTTTAGTTGCTGTGGTTTAATATCCTACTTAGTTTAAATTTTATTTCACTGTCTTGTTTTGGAGAATTGTTATGTACGGTAATAAGATTGTAACAGTTGAAATTTAAACTAAAAATAAATTTAAAATATTTATCGAACCACAACAGAGTTTACATAACAACAAACATGTGAACTGAAGAGCACTTTTTTCCATTCCAAAAAAGTACTAGTACCAGCACAGCTGCTAGTGGTGAGTTGAAACGTCTGGCTCTCTGTGCCCTTAAAAACAAAAATCTAAATACCACTAGCTAGTAAAGTCATGTTTTACCAGTCATGAGTTTTCCTTTCCATTAATTCAATGACTGTCCCTATATTTTTCACTGATTTTAACAATCAATATTTAATTAACCTTATTTTTTGAACAAAAGTATTTATAACCATTTTTTAATAGGTTTGCACAAAAAGTTCCAAAATAGTCTTAAGATCTTGATTTGTTCACTGTTGTTTTGTATAAGTTTCTGCTATTTTTACCAAACCTGAGGTTGCAAATTGTAAGTGAGCTAAGATGATGCTGGGCAGTAAAACATCACCTCAGAAACAATGAACTGACATAGACATTAAATTTTAGCTAACTACAGACCCTTTTATTGGGTCAATCTTTTATAGTTGTGACAACAAGAATTCCTATAATCACAAGTTATTTGTGATTTAATGGGTCTTTACATTGGCCAGTTTACAACACAGGCAGCCCAGACTCTATAAGGGAGTTTGTTGGAATTTGAATTTTATACAAAAATGCACATGAAAAGCGGCAAACATCAATGATAAAAACAACAGTGCTGCAGTTTATGTTGGAAGCACCCTGAAAGTGCACAATCCTTTGTTTTCTGTTGGCAAATTGTTACGGAATAAATTAATGCAACGTTTTTATACGTTTTTATTGGTCAATACAATCAAAATGATAGGAATTCTTTTGAACGTTGTGCACTTTCAGGTCCACAAAAACATATAACAAAGGAGTCTGACGGGTTTCATAACCATTCCACTCAATTAACTATGATGAAAATAAGCAAAATACGATCTAACTTACAATTTTTGAAAGAATTTGCAATAAAAATGACTCAAGTTGTGTTGTGTGTCTGTTCACTTCTAGAACCATTTGGAAGCCGTATTATCGAGTTAAATATTTCAAATTGCACTATGTCTTACAATAAGCAAAACTGATCATTGCCTGCGTGCAGATGTCTCCTATTTCCTTTGTTGCACGCGGAAAAGGGACTCCCTTTTCCGCGTGCAACAAAGGAAATAGGAGACGTCTGCACGCAGGCAAAACTGATCAGTGACAATTCAAAATCCGGTCTGGCACCCAAGATATTGACATTGAAAATTAATCAAGGAACTAAATTTGGAACACTAAAAATGCCCATGTTTATTTTATTTGATGTGGTTATTTTATTTTTTAATTAATGGGAAAATAAAACAAAACATTTGGATCAAGCACAACTTCCAATGAGCAATATCGGAAACAATCTCCTTCCCTCAAATAATCACTCCCTTTTGGTGCGGAAAAAAAAATCAATTAACACACCTGGCCATTATTTGAGAAAATACGGTAAGTGAGCTGCTTGGTCGCAGCAAAAATCAACTCTGATTGCAGTTTTTAGGACTTACTCTTTGAAGAAGCTCCTTATCTCTTTTGCTATGTTTCTCAGCTTCTGTTTTTTCCTGCAAAAAGATTGTAAAGGAGCAATTAATTTACTTTATGTGAAATACAATTTATTGAACCTCCACCAACAGCCACCTCTAAACAAAGGCCAATTTTTTTCAGCAACTGATGAAAGGGTCAAGAATGGTCATGAGATTTAATCTGTGTGGTGTGTTGATGATTTATCAGAGCAATTGTATTTTGCATGTGTGTTATTTATACTGCTGCGGTAAGCATAACTTGTCTACAATACTTATAGCAAAATGTTGAGAACCCCGGTTGTTTTGTCACATTAGCATTTTGATTCAAAACGTTCTTCAAGGTTTTGTGTATTTTATCTCCATATTTATATATGACTGGAATACCACTATGGGATACAGTAAGCATGAACTTTTTGTTTTATTTTATTTTATTGCAAGTAAAAAACAACGAAGAAAAAAGATTACACAGACTAAATTGGAAGAAAAAAAATTACATGGAATAAATAAAATAGATTCCATGTAATTTTTTTAAATAAATAAAAAGTAGTAAATTTACACATTTACAGGGCAGTAATTACAAGCATGAACGAAGAAACAATTGCACTCCCTAAAAAAAATTTGTCATATTACACCCCTCCCTCCCCATAACGGCCACTTTCTTCTGTCTCCAAGTCAGCCATTGTGGAGAGGTTTAACTGTAATAAAAACTGGTGTTTCCACTCACTAATAAAGCTAGTAATAAATTGAAACAACACCGGAACAATAAAAAGTCTTAACTTAATTGATTTTGCCAGTGTGTAGTTTTGAATGTTTGACATTTTGTAAAATGTATTTGTACTGGTACTTACCGGTAATACTCTTGCTTAGAATGTCAGCTGTATGCAGTATCATGCTCCAATCACTTGTCACATATAAACTTACTTGTTATATAGATATTATTAAAATTGTCAACACTGTATGCTTTCAAATGAAATTCCTTCAATGTCAAGCGCTTTTTAAATCAATACACTGTACGTATGTTAATTTTTTTAAACATTCCTCAAAAAGTCAAGCATACATCCCAAAATCAAGCTTCGTGAGAGTACTTGCCCACACCAACATGCCCATGTCATTGAATCCCAGAGGTGCCAGCCATTTATGTGGCTTGAGGTTAGTTTATTATTGATTCGTGCTCTTGGGTTTTCTCTGGGTACTCCAGTTGTAGTTATACTCTAGTTATAATCCAGTTTTTTAAGAGTATTTTTTCCTCCAAATTCAAATTCTATCAGGATATTTCAAAGGGGCAGACTATTAAAAAAAAATGACACAGTTGCTCCAGTAATTATTTAACTACTAATAATAACCATTCATCAGTAAGATGTCTTAAATGCATGCAATTGCGCATTTGGTTTCGGCTCAATAAAAAATCCCATAGCAATATTGCAGAAATTTTAGGAGAAACCATCCACAATAGGAGCACACTGACAGGAAATATTACTAAGGAAAATGATGCAAAATATAAATTAGCATACATGCTACCACCAAAATCAGTTTTATTACTGTTAATACTTTAAATAAAAAAAATAAGAATACAAGCAAGTGTTTAAGATTTTTTTGACAACTTAAAATACCTTGATTGTTTTTTCCACAAACACAGACAGTTCCCTCATCTCATTTTCCAGCCTGGTAATCAGCTCGTCCTTTGCAGCACACATGGACTTCAACTCTTCATAATTCTGTTTGACCTGAGTGAGCCCTTTGTTCAAAAATTCTAGCTTCATAGCTAAGCTTTCCTTGTTTAAACATGAAAAAAATGTAATTATATCTTAGCAACTGTCCTGACTTCAATAAATACATCCCAACAACCTCATTTTTTCATTGTTTCCCACCTAACCTGAGGCAATTTTCCTTCTAGTCTTTTTTCAGGTTCCTTGACTGGGATGAGAAGGGCAGTGGTGGGGGAAGGCAAAGCGTTCTCATAGAAAATCTGCAAGTAGATTTGTTCCCTATACTGTAGAAATGTATTTTGAATTCAATTCAAATTTTAAAAAGCGGTCTAGACTGATGGTCAGCTGTAGATTGTTTAAAAAAAATTACAGGACTGGTGGAATCAACAAGGGTTCTCATCAATGCACATGTGTGCATATTTTGCACAAAAATGAAAAAACACACATTTCTTTGAACCCAAGCGTCCCAAGGATGCACAATGACTGGTCACTACACCCACACATCTTTGCAACCATCTTAGAAATCCCCATGCCACATGCCTTATCAATACCCCATTTTGTCTACTCAAGGAAAAATTATGTCCACCCAGAAAACACAGTCCTCAACGACGAAAAAAAACACATACTTTGTTTATATGAAACAAAAGAAAAACTGATGTAGATGCTCAAATAGCGTGCCTTCAAGTCCAAATTGCTCAAAGAGTTTTTATTGTTTATGTAAATTTCCACCGATAACCACATGAAAATGCAAAACATGTCTTGAGACATACAGATGTTTGGCAAAACCATCCCAACGATTTGTACATGATCCAACTTCTTTTCCGCGATGGGCCTTAGATCTCCGTCGATTGGGAAAAAGGTCATGTAACATGTGGAAGACACATCAAGTATGACTATACTTTGAAAGCTTAAGTAAAAATGGCTCTGTTTATAGCAAAGGAAGAAATTGCAGGCCGCAAATTCCCCCTTTCTGCACTCTTATAATACATACACATGGTCTGGCACCCTTTAAAAGCAAAAAGGACCCTCAATTTCCTAGGACTGGAGGTCCTTCAGACCTATTCTTAACACTCAAAACAAGTGGGAACTCTTTGATTATGGTGTTGAAATCCACTGTGCTGGCATTCACACTCTGATACTTTCCAAAAATCCATGGCCCCTAGCCCTTAATAACAACCTAGAATTGTGCTTCAATTATTAATTAACAGCATCCCTAACAAAAAACCACTTCATTCGATTGTCAATGTATTTAGCACAAAAGTATTATTATTGGGTAAACTTTTTAAAATTTCCTACTGGAGAGGGGACTGCCACTTTATTTTATGTGGTCATCTCAGCCACACCAAGGTCTAGCCATTTGAGGTCAAAGGCAGTTCCTTCATTTCTTAGTTATTTGAAGACCCTGAGTATTGACTGGCCCTGGGAATTGAACCGCCCAACTGACAAAGTTAGTCCTTCTGCAGTCATAGTAGGCTTTTTAAAAGTGAAGGGAGGCAGTAAAATTAATTTCAACTCTAGTTACTAACATTGAGGTTGGCCAAGCAGCCCCAAATTAACTTCTTTGCTCATGCTTGCAAACAGCTTAGAAAGGACAAGTATTTGTATTTCCTTTTTGTAGAGGAGATTTGTTTTTAGGGTTTTCAACCTTGCAATGCAAGAGAGCACTTTGAACAATCAGCCCTTGAAGAAATATTTGGACATTAAATTCACATCTGAAAAAGGCATTCAGAACATACCTTTTCTCTTTTTGATGTGTTAATTGCCTCCTCAAAGTCTCTAAATTTCCTACACATTTACAAAAACAATGATTAGTTTTTATGAACAGGTTGACTGTTGTTGTCCAGGTGAGTGTAGTTCTGAATAAGACTAGTTTTAATGACTGTGACCTGACATTTCAGTTGCCTGTCAATCAAAGTCAGATCTATTTGTGTATAATTGTGATTTTTTAATATAATAATATTCAACTAATTATTTGGAGCAAGGGTGGTGCTGTGGTCAAGCCCAGGTTTGACTCCTGGCATCTACGCCATATGTGGATTGAGTTAGTTGTTGGTTCTCTCCCTTGCTTTGAGAGGGTTTTCTCCAGGTACTATGGTTTTCCCCTCTCCTTAAAAGCCAAACACTTCCAAATTCCAATTCAATCCGGAATGCACAGAAAAGTTTCAACGAGTTCTTAAGAGCTCCGACCTAAGAGCTCCGTTGGTTAACAAATTACAAACAAAATACAACAAATTACAATTACAACTCTGACAACAGGTTGATGTTGCGGGCCTAATTTAATCCACAGTTTAATTTTTTTCTAGCTTTTGGATGTGATAATGAATATGCATTGATGAATTTGAGATAAAGGTTAGGGTTAGAATATTTATTTGAATCTCAACATCAACCCCACTTGCAACTCAAATTATTACAACTTTACATCAGTGTTCATCTTTGTTCACTGCATTCTTTTGGCACTTCCTCTGCTCCAAGATACAGCTTATATTATAAAACAAATTTTATATTTGGCATGAGTTGAGAAATTTTAAAAATATAATATAATAAGGATCCAATCTATGGCATTTTTTCAAATGCTTTCTATGACCTTACTTGCCAGAGCTAGAGGAAGTTTGAACTTACTGATATTATTTTGTTGAAACACAGCCCTTAACATCTCCTGCCATTTTGCAAAAATCAATTTAGGTCAAGCAAACCCACCAAGATTCCATTCCTGCATAAGTAATGAACAGTGAATTCCAATGCAAGGTAGTTGTGAAATAATTATTTCTACCAGCTCAGTCTTCTTGAATTTGATGTAGATTTCTTCAAAGCAGTTGCACCCACTCAAAGATTTTTCAATCCGACCAATTACAGAGAGGTTTTCGTAAAAAATCCACTGCTCATTACACATGCAGGAATGCAGATTTGAATTGATGCTGGTTGCCACAATGACTAATGGGTTTAATTTTCTAATAATAAATTCATAAATGGAATCTATGGGGTGCACTTGACCTAGCGTGACTGTATGCCTTACTTTTTGTATTGCTCCAAAGTTCTTTGGCATTGTCCAATCTGGGCCTCAAGCTTTTGATTATCCACTACGCAAGATTTGTATTGTGATTCCAGAAGCTTTTTGGACTCTTCCACCTCCTGATGCTTATTCTCAGACTTCTGGTTAAGTTCTTCAAGTTGACGACAAGCTCCGATTGCTTTCTCATTACTTGCAGCAAGCTCCACAACCTTTGCTTCAAGACCTCGACAATTTTCTTGTAAGTGAGATTTCTCTTTCTCATTTGCCTGTGAAACCTGTTCCAGATATAAGCAGCGGACCTCAAGATTCTGATTAATTTGTCGTAACTGTGCACAGCTACTATCAAGGTCATGGTTGGATTGTTCCAGCCTGGCTGATTTATTTTTCATCTGTTCACAAACTTGTTCTAGAACGTTACACCTTGCTTCCAATTTATGATTAGCAGCTTCAAGAATCTTGACAGGCAATGCATCTTGCAGAGCTGACAGGTTATTTCCCACACCATTCAAATGGTCGCGAATCTTGTCTATTTCAGATTCAAAGTGTGCTGTTATATCCTTGAGTTGTCTTGCATGTTTCTCACCAAATTTCTGGTGGCCACTTAAAGGAGATCAATTTTAAAAATATAGTTATTGCCAAATCTAAAATAGGTTAACACATACTAAGAATAACCTTTTCAACAAAGATGGTTTACTGGCAGTTAACCTACAATAAATATTATCTTGTATCTCCAAAGTAGTAAAAATAATGCTTTGTACGTAAACAATAAGAGAGTTTAAGCTTCACATATAGCCTGTGTGGCAGGCATTTGAAAGGGAAGGAAAGGGGACTCCAAGGCGTGCGAAATGCAAAAGGTGTGCAAGAGTGTGGTCTAGTTCCCAAATTCCCTTCCCCTTCTATTTCGAATCCCTGCCATGCAGGCTACAAGAAAGATGAGCATGAGCAAAAAGAATATGCAGTGGAACCTCAATATGACAAACCCCAACTCCATGGAATAATAAATGATTTTCTTCGCCCCACTAATAATAAAATATATTAAAAAGAACCTTGATATAACAAAGCACTGTTATAGTGAACAAATTTCCCCAGTCCCTCAACACTTCGTTATATTGAGGTTTCCCTGTAGGAGGATAAGGGTAGAAACTGGGTAGGTAAGAAATAGTTCTCTCAAGAAACAGAGATTCAATTTCACTCCCTCTATTTTTCTTATTTTCAGTTGCATAATTTTGCTCTTTGCACTGACACATTTACCCCGTTGAGCATTCAATGACCATTTGTATATGTTGCAGTTAATCTTTGTTTTACTTTTGTTTCAAGTTCATTAGCATACATTATCATACCCCAAAACAATAACAAAATAAAAAAATTAACTGCGACATTATCTTCACTAATACACCTTGTTTTCCCTCAAAAATTTTGCATAACCTTTGTTTTTAATTTGTCGTTGGTTTCACAGTTGTCCCAAGAGAAATTAAAGACTGTCAATACATTGTACTTATGCAAAATTTGGGTAGGGTAAACCAGATGTTTTATGGGAGATGTGCAAGTGGCCAATGGAATAAAATATGTTACTAAAATAGGCAGACAGAGAGAGAGAGAGTACTGTGTAAGATCTAACTCAGGTTAAGTTAATTATAACCTTATTAATTTACTTACCTCATTTGCAAAGGTGTTGATGAATTCCACCCTAAGCTACCTGAATAGGACTGTGCCAATGTGTATGCTTTCCCTCCAACGGCTGAATCACTTTGCAAAGGAAAGGACATACCAGTAGCTGAAGAATCCTTAATACCAGCATGGTGTTTCATGCTTGAAATTATCTCATCCAAAGTATCATGGGTTGGCTGTGTGCTCAACTTCTGCTGGATTTTATCTAAATTTTTTCGAGCCGAGTCATCACCTCCTCTGTTCATTGAAAACCTCTGTGTAACAATTTCATCAGAAGAATCCACTTGGAACACTGGTGGACGATTCACACCCTCGGAAATCTGTTTGCCTGGAAATTTGCCATCATCTGAAGAGGATGACTGTAGGGAGACCACAGAGCCACTTCCATCGGAATCCAGCCGCCGTGGAGTTTGTCCTTTACTCCTGTCACCACCCTTAAATTTAGTGCGCTGCATCAGAGAGAAACTTACATTTAGACGAGCGCCTTCTCAATTCGGTGGTTTGGATCGTTAAGAAACCTTCTCCATATCACACGTTTTCTAGTTTTTTTCTATGGACAGAAAAAATACGTATTTGCATTTGTACGTATTTATCTCAGTATGTAGCATCGACATCTGTTCGTTTTGAGTTTTGACTGTTGACGTACTAAATCTGCTACGTGAAAATGACGTCGCTAATTGAAGTTCCACGCGCAACCAAAGACCTTCGATTTCCTTCGCAGACGGGAACTGCATTATAAAAAGTTCCACTTTAAAACAATTGTTGCAAAGTTGCATCCAGAAGTCCACCATATTCGCACTGTTCTTTTAGGCATTTTTCATCATTCTCATTCCACCAGCTACAGTCATGAAGCACGATTTACGGACAGATTTTCAGTTCTTCGCTGTTATCTTTCTCTAGAGGTCTTTTCCAAGCCATGGTTTTGTTTAGAATAAACTGCCTTTATGGCTTATTTTCTAACAAAGAAAAAAGCAGACATACAAGATAAAAATTAAAAACCGCGCTAACACTGCTCTCGCGGGCGGCCATCTTGCACTGAATGAAGGTTTAAAGCGCATGCTTAAGACAGATAACAGCTGACGGTTTCTCGCTTCTTTCAACATGGCGGCGATGTAGAAGCGATTCTTAGCGATGTGTTTTGTAGGCTTACACGTACGAAGGAATGAACAATTTTGAAATTTTTAATTTCAGAATGCCTGTTATTGATACCTTTCGAACGCAGATGAGTAAACAGAGCAATGATTGTTTCGGCAGCTAGAATATGTCAGAGTTTCACCTTGACAATTTCTCGCCTTTCAGCTCTTTCTCCTAAAACTGGTCAGTTTGTCATAGCGGCATCGAGCTGTTGGCGATTGCACAAAACTGCTTATTTTGCTCGATTTTACCATGAAGTGCATCTAACTGAAGACGAAATGGAGGAGAGCTTTATCAAGGGTTGGGGAAAAGGAGGGCAGAAAGTGAATAAGAGCAGTAACTGTGTTCATCTGAAACATAAACCTACTGGTATCATTATTAAGGTACGACTACATACTTTTTAGTAAAAAATTTATTTATAATCTGTACATAATTCTATGATATGCTATAATTATGCTCTTTATATGTTGTCCTATTTTATCTTAATTAAATTCATTTATTAATTTATTTGTTTTTATTACTGTTTTTCTCCTAAATTTATGATATTTTTCCTCACTATCTTTCGAGTGTTGTTTGAGTGTTGCAACCCTATAAAATGTAATTTACTTATTGTAACTACTCAGCTTGTTTAGTTTTTTTTTAGTATTCTGAGTAATTTTTTTGCCTGATCTATGTTAATCTATGCTGTTCTTGTAAATGTTGTAAGTTGGCAAAATAAATTTATCAACAAGCAGGGTGGCACAAATACTCTGTGAATTGACACTACCGCCTGATGAAGATCTGCAGTACGTGGTCAAAACATCACGATCAATGTCTATTTGACAATCATAAGACAAACAATAAACGAAACCCTTTATACACATTATCTACAATGAACAATATCTTTCATAACAAAATCACTGTTCTCATATGTGAACAAAGGCCCTATCTGATATGGTTTTTGTGCTGGCGCAATAGCTATCTGCCTTAGTGTGAACATGGCCTAAATTTGGGGACCTCGGTGGCACTTGCTGGTAGCCCCATCCTCAGTGAACCATTGTTTGATCTTTTTCTTTTCTCTTTTTAATAGTGCCATGAAAGTAGATCCCTTGCAAGAAATAGAGTGATTGCCAGAGAAATCTTGAGACAGAAACTCGATTTTCTTTACAATGGCAAGGAAAGTGAACTTGCTCAAGCTGTTGCTAAGAAAAAGAAAAAGAAAGCAAATTATGCAAGAAAAAGGAGACTACGTGAGGAAGCTATTGCTACTGGCTTGCAAAATGTGAAAGATGGACCAGCAGATTCATGTGATGTTTAAAAATAAGAGTAAAGAAATTATTGCCTTTGTGAATGATCATTGAACATTTTCCATAACCACTGCAAGCTTACCCAGCTGAATATCTCAGGGTGTGACAGATGCAAACTAAATGCCTTTGCGAGGCAGTCCTTCTGTCATTAATTGTCTCCATAACTACAACAACCTTATTCACACAGGCGCGGATCCACACCGGTTGTCACCGTTTTACGGAAATTGGTCAGATTTTTCTTAAACAGACATATTTTTGATAAATAAAAACTTTCCAAGGTGAATGAAACTGGCCAATATCCTTTCTGAGTGACTCGGAACCCCGAGAAAGGAGACTTTAGGGAGTTAAAATCTAAAACATTTACTGGGGAAGCATGCCTCTGGACCCCCAAGAAGCTTGCGTTTTCGGCGCTCGTTGAGAAAATCGGTCAGCATTTATCCTAGATCCGCGCCTGTCACAGGTCCTCTCTTCATCATGAGTTGAAGAGAGAAGGTCATTCAGAATAAGGTTTATAAGCGGTTAACCATCTTGCACCAACCTTTTTATGATCACTGCACTTCAAGGATGGCATCATGTAGTCTTATCAACAGTTTTGACAACTGTGCTTCATCACATGACCAGCATGTTAGAAATGTGGATCATTGCGAGGATGCCCAGGATATCCAGAAACTTTACTTTCCAGTAAAGTCATGCCCTAGACAGAGTTATGCCCCCATGACTGGTAAATCTGCACTTCCCAGCCATGAGCCCCAAAGTCAGTATTAACCAGGAACCTGTCACACTGGCCAGTCAGAGGAAAAAATAAAGGTGCTTGGGGTTGGGACAAACGCAACATACAAAAAACTTAAGCCCAGTGGCCACCATGAAATGCAGTGCATAATACTTTGAAAAAGTATAATATCATTTAAGTGTATGACTAGTAGAGTTATTTCTTCACTAAGAAACGGTCCAGATAAGAACGATAGCAACAACGGCAATGAACATGATGGAATGCAAAAAAGGTGCTAACTTTTCTATTACTTACTTACTTCTGATTGGCTTAAACAGCAAAAGTTAACAAAACTTCATAAAGCGGTACATATATTCATCCTTACTTTCCAACCATCTTCCAAATAACAAAATCTGGTCTCAGTTTGAAAAACCGGATCATTACTTAATAGGCCATTTGCATGATGGCATCATTTTACTACTACCACCAGAATCCTTCAGGGTTTTCCTTTCTTGTGCAAATTAACCCATTTGCTCCTGGAGATTTTGCCGAAAAACAAGTTTTGAAGCTAGTCGAGTGGTTTTCTGGTCACTGTTGTGCTATAAAGAGCTAAAACTTACCCCAAACCGGTTTACAGGTCATACACTTCATGGCCTTCTGATCCAGATGCAAAATATCAGCTTGCGAAGTTCAGGCATGCGCAGAAAGCAAAATTTCGACATAGTTTTTGGGTTTTCTTGCCTCATTTTTTTTTTCTCTTGCTGGGCATTTAGTAGGCTTCATTTTGGTGGGAATAGTTTTTAGGAAAGCTTTTAGGATCTTAGGATTAGGTGAAAGGAAAGGTAGGTTGGCAATGGAACAAGATTTTCATGGAGATTTCAGGTCAATGTTACATGGTTTTTTGCCTCTTTCTCCGGTGTCCTTGACTGAATTGTGCTCATTCTGGTATGGTTTGAAAGATCTGTTCACTCTGCACAAGTTAGCGGAAAAAGTTGTCCTTGACTGTTAAAACTGATGACGTCAAAAAGGGTAGAAAGGACGTGTATCCGCACGGGCGGTTACGGGCGGTTCAGGGGCGAATGGGTTAAACCTCACTGGGATAACCAAATTTAAATATGAAATAAAAACTGTAATGATGTCTTGTCAGTAGTAAAAACCCGTCATTGTGCAAATTACCTATTCACGGGGGGGGGGTGGGGGTGAGTGAGCATATGATGAAAGGGGGGGGGAGAATTGTTGGAAATTTTGAATTAAACCCCTAACAGAGACTGATCTGGGCTTTTTTCGACCCCTAAAAAAGACCATGTTTTAAAACACAGACAAAAGAGAAAACATGGATTATATGACTTGAGTAAATAAAAACATTAAAAATATACATATCAAATATAAAAACTATTACATTTTTAAGTTTTTTTCGTGTGCAACCCTAAACGAGACCTGCACGGCTATGTATGATGGCTTTTTGCCCAGAACACCCTAAGTGAGACCAAAATCCAAAATTTACACCCCTAAGTGAGATGACAAGCATCCCCTCCCATTTCATATGTGGAGTGCCCCCCCTCCCAGGCCTATTTATGCCTTTAGGAGATTTACAGATTTCATATGGATTGAAATACTGTATTTTAAGTCATGCAAAAATACTGGACTTGTTATGCACAAATTATTCTGTTGGTTAAAGGGGCTTTGTCATGAGGATATTGCTCTTCAAATTTTATCTGGGAGCACAAACCATAACAATCTTTTTGGTTGGCCCAATTTTTTCAAGTTTCAAATCCACACCCATCCTTGTGGTCTGTTTGCAACAGACAACAGGAAACAATTTCATTGACTAGAATTTAATAAACTAGATGGATTATAAACTGCTTCAAATAGTCTGATTGCAGTAATTGTATAGTAGAGGTCATAGAAACAAAGCCTGGAAGATAAAATCCATTACATCAAAGCAAAGAGCAAGATTGTAGTTACACAAAAGCTAATTGAAGTTCTGTTTCTTATTCTGCAACTAGGCAGCTAAGTGTAAGTAAGGAGGCAGGTAATCCTAGTTCAGAAACACACTGTTTAAATTCCGTTGGTAGCTCAATACGTCGAGAGGGCTTCTTGATAAGGTTCACTAGAAAGAGTTTGTTAGTAAACTGGTCTTGTAAAGTCTGTCATTGATTGAACTGAAACAAAAATCTTTTATGGTAGGTCTACAGATGAACAACGTGTGCATTTGGTATGAAGATTTCGGGTGTAAGAAGTGCCAGAACTCATTCTTGTGATCACCGAGTTTTATACACTGAATACAGGTGACACAGATTTCTTCGCTTAACATGTGCTCTGGTTTAGTCCAATGACCTATTTTACGCATACTCTTACATCTTGCACTCACACTGAAGATGCCAGAGGGTGATTTGTGCCAGAAAGAAAAACCAAGCCCATTTTAAAACTTGACTATTCCAATGGAAATGCCCTAGCAATTACAGATTTGGAATTCAATATATTATTGATTTTAAAAAAGGTTTTTGCTTTTTAAAAGAATCTCAAATAGCGTAACATAGCCCTTTTAACACCTATCAAAAACCCCTGGATAAACATAAAATAATGTCCCCTTATGTCAAACATGTCCCCAATCAGTCTCCAGAAGATGTGATGTAACAAAAGCAACTGTGTTAAATATTGGCTAAATATTAAAGTACTATTGTTTTATTTTTTATTTTCTATCACCATAACTTTTTTAAAAATCTATTTACAGCATTAATAACCTTAAAATAGGTTATACTCTATTGCAGTAAAGTAGATATAAAGAAAAAGATCATAAAAGTTGGAGTAGAGAAAAAACAATGAGACTAGTCAGTTGACATAATTTGCGGTATAAGTTAAATATCATTGGTTTTTGATTTTTTCCCCTTTTCTGCTGCTGATGAATGCTTTAAGCCTTCTTCTGTACTCTCTGAACTAATTTAACACACATTAGCAGTGTCTTCCAATCAGGATAGTATAATTTTATTAATCCTTTCTTAGACTATTTGATCTAGCAGAGAAGCAATAATTTAAAAGTCACATATTGGACAATAACGAAATCCTGTGGTTGGAAATGCTGACTGTAAAAATCAAATTAATGCAAATGGCATCTGACTTACTTCGTTTTCGCTCGATAAGGATATTCCTCGTGAGAATTTTTAGATGTTAAGAAGAATGTCTGGGGTTGTAAAGCTCCAAAGAATAATTCCTAAAAGTAACTGTGCTGTTTCTGAGTGATAAATATTCCTGAAAGGGGAAAAATACCTTGCATATTGGTGCAAACAAAAGAAGCAGCCACTTACAGTTTTGTATTTCACATATGAACTTTTGCGCTTGCAGCGTGTAAATCAACATTTGCTTCTTCAAAAGAGGCTGCCCTCAGAAAAGTTTGAGGAATTTTGACTCCAATAAATAACGTCTGGTCTGGAAAAATGAATGTCGTTTCTAAAACATTAGCGGGCCGCGCTGATCTAAAACATATCAACAACTTGAACCTTTGGTGGTTTGCTTTCCTAGATGATGACTGACAAACTTTAAATGTTGGAGGTGAAACACGCAATCAGAACAAGTTTTTTTTTGTCTCATGTCCACACATAAATGCAAGCAACTGTAGTATGAAAGAAATTAAAAGTTAATGTAACATTGTGGTATGTCCTGACAACATTCCTGGCTTGTCTGACAAAATACGTGTACTGACTTGTGTTCTTTTTAAAGAGAATTAATTTGCAGCCTTTCCAACCTTTTTTAAAGCTTAAATAGGAAAGCTTTTTTGTGTTATCACAACACTTCTCAGACTTGCGTGAACACAGCTCCATGTACCCACACAAAAAACTGAACTGGTACACAAACCAGTGACCAAGTCCCCTAGTATTCAAATGGTATTGTACAGAACCTGATGATTTCAATATGGTAGAAATCACTGGTACAGTATTTTGTTGATTTATTTGTTCCAGTCTCTGATGACTTATTACCATTTTAGCAGCTGTTATGCCATAACTTTTTTTCATGAGAGATATTGTCAGTCCTATTGTCTTGCACATCTATCAGTTTCTACGAGGCATTCCCTCACCAGCACCCGTGCATGCATAATGCCTGAAAGACAAACATACATGTAAATGCTTTGAAACAAAGGACTGGACTATTGCTTATGATATCCGTACACTTTCCTCCTTCCCCTTGAAGACTTTTCTGCTTACCCCTAAAGATTACATATAATATTGCAATCCCTGAAAATCCGTAAAATATTGGTCTATTGCTGGGAAATTTGTGACTGCAACATTTTTCATTGATTGCACAGTCCAAAAGTGCCGTTCTACACATTTTAATGTGCGAATTTTCGTTTCAAGTAATGTATTCCTTTGTAATAGCGCCAGGATTCGAATTATTAAGACTTGACACCGCGACAACACGCACCAGTTTATGGTTTTAGTATTGATATAAAATTATTGACATTAAAATTAATAGAGTGCTGTAAAGTTATTTGTTGTAAATAGATTATAAAATTAATATGAAAGGATGTTCCTCAAAATTAATAATATCAACAGAAATTTGATTCGCTATAAACCTAAAAACATTGATTCCCGTCGATAGCTCCCAAGTTTCACTATGTAATTCAGGCTTGATACAGCAATGAAGAAATGCATGCATAAAATTGAGAACATGCCTTACCCCTGTCCTTGACAGATGGGCCAATCTGCCTTTTTTCCAGTAATATCCTCTGTGTAATTATATTCTGATAGGGAACTGCGTGCGTGTCAAAAGCCCAGGAATAGCCCCGGGGTGGCAAATGCCCAGCCCCTGGGCAGTGCAAAATTTGCAGATGCCCCACCCCAGGGACAGAAAATGCGGGCAAATACCCCGCAGTAGCCCGGGGGAGGGGGGCGCTGGGCGCAGCTGGAATTGACGGATGCATTAAACCTGGGGGGTGGGGGGGGGAGTCAGATATTATTTACTGCAATTGTGCATCTTTTTTTATATTCTTATAATTTAATATGAATTTTGTAACTTTTGATATGTATTTTATCAAGCGAATAAAGGTTATTACTACTATCGTGCATATTTCCCAAGAAATACTTATAAAAGAATGTTTTGTGTAATCGCCTGTCGGTGACGTCTATCTACCGTTTCTCACCTTTCTTTAACCGCTCCGCGGCATTTTTACTACCAGCATACGTGGGACGAATATCTTTGCCTAACTCCTCAATCACGGCTAAGAGTTCAGAGTATTTTCCAGGGGAATTCTGGCTCGGTGCAACAGAAGATTGAACAGAAGCTGGGGTGGCAGAAGAAGAACCGATGGCTGAAATTCAAAATCTTTTGATCAGTAAAAGAATCAGAAGAGATTTATATCATTCTCGTTTGAATCTCTACCTTGCGCAGGTTGTTGTGCTTTGCTCTCCATTTAGGAAAATCTAATTTTTTATCTTTAAAGCTTGAACAATGGTCAAATGTTCTTTGTGAATCAAAATGGCGTCGTGTTACTCCGGGCGCGAAGAATGCTGGGAGTTCCTTATATTTCTGACCAGCAGGGGTGGGGGAGGGAAGAAGGGTCTATGAAAAATTAAACTTTACGCCTTGTTCACACGTCCCGTGTCTGTCTTTCATTTGAACATTTTCTCCGTTTTCAAAAAAAAAAAAAAAATGGCGAAAGCAAAGGAAAGTTCCCGTCCGCACGCATCGCTTTCGAATAGTTTGAAATATGTACCCCGATTACAGTGGCCCCTGATGTTCGGGTCAAAGGGATCCATGAACACTAGGTTCAAGAGGAAGGAGGGTGTGAGAAGGCCTTAGAGCGTTTTCGCGGGAGGCTAATCCATCGAAATCCAACACTGGACCAACATGTTTTATACGTCTACAAGATTATTCTCTCTTGCCGTCAGGAACGGGGGGGGGGGGGGGGGGGGGGGGGGGCCTCTTCTTCCCCCCCCCCCCCCCCCCCTTTTCTCCCCAATAACCTTTTTTTTCCCCCCTTCCTCTCCACAGTTTTGGGGACACCCCCCCACCATAAGGAACTAAAACCAAAGAAACAATTTTTCCTTTCTCAAATCCCCCCCTCTTTTTTTATAACAACCCCCACCCATTCTTTTGCTGCTAAGTATCAAACCGTCACCGTGGATGCGGCGATGGGTGAGGGGGAGAAAAAGGTGTGAAAAGAAGATGGGAAGGGGGGGGGGGGGGGGGGGAGTCGTGGGGGGGGGTTTGGCGCGGGCACACAACACCACCAAAACAAAACCTCTATAAATATTTTTTAGTACTCCATATGTTTTCCGCGCTCGGGCGGGGGGGGGGGGGGGGGGGGGGGGGGGGGGGGCGTGACCTGATCTCCCACTCCCGCTCCTCCGAACTTCTCCCCGAATACCGTTCTATTTCCCGCGTTCCGTGCCAAGCTTTTGGCGAATCCCGCTTCCAGAATAGCAGTCAACCAAGTCAAGACATTTTGCGTTTCCTAAATCCCGCACTGTATTTCTATCAAACCCCAGGTCCCTAGAATAACCTACAAGACATAAAACAAGACCCTAAAGCATGCTATACAGTCGGCCGGTTATAAGGTCTACCATTAAATAAACAAGACGTCTGTGTTATTTAAGGTGGGGTAAAAACTATGATCAACCTTACTCGAGATGCATTATATTATACCTATTTCGCAGGCTGAGGCGCTTTGCAACGAATCATCAGATGAAACACAATCGCGATCTTCAGCAGTCCCCTGATTTGTAATTTCTCCTCTCCCAAGTGCTGGTGATATCCTTTCTAGCATTCGCTGCATGCGAGAAATGGCTGCAATCGGTTGAGGACACGAATCTAAAGGCATTTGATCCGCGTAATCACCAATTTGCTTGTTGTTTTCCGCTTCTTTGTCTGCTTCAGTCTTAGAAAGCTCCATGCCGAAGGGCGCTGTAATGCCATCATTCGATTTATTCATTGCATCATTCGTTTTAATCATCAGTGGAGAAACTTGCAAGGTGGCTGTGTTTTGAGTTGAGTAGCCTCGGGAACAAGACGAGCCTTTAGGAGGTCCAGCTCCCTCCGGTGAAAGCATAGTTTGGTCATAAGCTGGTTCTAATTTTCGAGTCGCATTGGCAATGGGTGTGGCCCATGTTTCATTCCATGATGGCTGCCTGACACAGTGTTTGCTGTTGTTTGGGAGAGAGGCTGTTATAAGCCTGTCACAAAGCTCACTTATCAGGTTTAAAGAGTTTGTTGAATATTGGATATCAATTCCAGGGTCTGATTCTGATTCCAATGTCGAATCGAAGGCAACTTCATTTTTTATTGCTCCTTCAATAACTGTGCCATCAAAACGTTCTTCAAAGGATGCAACTTCTTGTTCATTTGTGGACGATAGTGTCCCAACTGATATATATTCGATTCTATCCCTCGTCAGGCAATCTCCCGAGACAAGTTTACGATTTTTCATATCAACAGCTCTTCGCTCCTCGTTGAATGAAGAAACTAGCTTATCCAGGTCTCGTAAATGTACACTGCTGGTACTTTTAGTACAAAAATCACCCCTAGCCATTCTGTCCAGCTTCTTTTTGTTGTATTGCTATACGACTGAGTGACTCCCGTGTTGGAAAGGAGTGTTTCAATCACACATACTGGTGGACAAAAATAACGGCAAAAGTATAAGTTATCGTATTCACTCATTCATAAAACATTCGTGATCATACAAATTTACCGAGGAAAAATCTGATAGAACTCCCCTTTTCCAAACCAGATCGAGAAAGAAAAGAGCTAATGTTGCAAGTGCGAAAGAGAACAAACGTTGCTTTTAATATTAAGAGGGACAATATTACCCGAATTTTCTGGAGTCTCCGAAGGTCTGTTATATTTTTGTGTAAACTACGTTATAATCAGTATGGCACAGTGACACGTTTATAAACCGGACACGCCCACAGAAACCTCGATCACCAACGACATTAGGGACCTTAAACAACGACGACGGCAGTGAAAACGTCGCTAAAAAAGTGAATTTGCGTTCTTTCAAACTTCATCGCGTCTATATGGACCCGCTCAATATGTCAAATGCAGGCGACTTTTCCTGGAGTTGAATTCTTAAACATTTTATTCAAGTTCAAAAAGAGGAAGGAAAATTCGTCGTCGTATGTCCATGTCCTCCATAAAACGTCACACTAGGAGGTTTCACGTCGAAGTCGTGCAGTGGGCGTCAAAGAAAGGTACTAAAAAGCGTGATGCACGTACAGAGCTGTTGTTTTGATCATTAAACGTCTTGTTGTTTGAAGTTGTCGTCGTCGTCCTCGTATTTGCTTAAGGTTGCTATTCTCGTCCCCTGAGCCCTTCGTTTCTTTTGGGTAACGGGGCTATGGGAACGAGAACGAAACAACGACAACTTGACCAATGACATGCCAGGGATTTGCCAGGGGCAAACTGCATGGGCATCGGAAGTCGGTTTCAGTCTTCTCTTCGCGCTTTTGGAAGGAAAACACAAGGTATATACAAGGTGAACACTTTATATACAAACCACTGTATACAATTACAATTACTCTGCTAACTGACAATCTTTCTCGGCCAACTACGCGAAATACCAGGGATTACCAGAGACGCTAACAAAGCTGTACACTTTCCAGAAAGACACGCTCTGCTAACGTGGTCAAAATATACCGTATTTCCCCGAATAAGCGCCCACCCTCTAATAAGCGCCATCCCTCCGCTGCTGAAGGCCATAATATCAAATAAGCGCCCCTCCCCCCCCCCCCTCACTCTCTTAAATAGGAGGGAAGGGATTCAAGCCAAAACCAGCTTTTATTGCCACTTTATTTCAACTTTTCAGGCGTCGACTACACTGGAATTAGTAAAGGAGAATAGTTTCTTTTCCTTTAAGTCACATCCAGTTATTTCTATATCCATGCGCTTGCAGAGTTCTTAGGTGCGTTATCTTTTCTTTTAATTTTTTCCGATTGCCGAGCTCTGGGTAAATGCTGTGAACTTCCCAGGAACAACTAGACCATTCTCTACTTGGTTTAAAACCAGCGGGCGCTTATTCGAGGAAATACTGTTTGGTCAAAATGACATTTGACCATGTCATAGAGGTATTAATAAGTGTCCAACACTCTTGAGCGTTAATGTTTCTTCTTGAAACCAAACCTGACTGGCTCCGACTTTTGCAACTTTCATGAACTGCCTTCCTGCTAGACTGCCGAATCAAAAATTAATGACAAAAAACAAAAACGAGCGACCTTGCTTTGCTGTTTTATGCGGCATTAGAAATCATGCTGGAAATGGTTTGGGTCATTTCCATTCCCAGTTTTTCACTCAAAGACTTTTCAAGGTAGTTACTTTTAGCTCGCTTGAAACACATATGGTACATCACTACAGAATGTCAAAAAGCTTTTAAAGTCGTGTCAGTCAGCCGGCTGCAAGACCGTATAGAATTTCCGTGCTAGTATAAATACTCCCATTTGAAAAGGGTGATATTGTTTTCTGTATCTTCTTTTGAATCTGGTGACATAGACATTCAAGGTTAGTTTTTTATGTAAATTATATTCCTTGTTGCGCGTAAACCAAATGAAGACGCTTGAAGTATTGAAGAGGTTGTCTGGATTCAGTGATCCGTGGTGAGTCGAATATTTGTGAGCAGTGCTTTGTCAAAGTTCTGCCAAACAAAATGTATTAGCTTCTAATGTAACCAGTAAGGACTATTCAGGGAGAGGACGAATGCGTGTTAAACAAAGGCGAAGAATTCTACTTTGTTTTTTACTATACAGCAAATCCTGTCAAAGGAAAAATAACTGCACGAGCCGATTTAAATATAACCTTACATATAAATGAACGACTGGACTCCATGATAGTCGTCGATCAAACTGGTAACGTTATGATGAAATAAGTCGACTCTTAATGAGAGTTTTTCCCTAAACTTCTGCTAATAGATAGAAAGTTGAAATTTCGAAGCAAAAGAAACTCCTTCAAGCCGACAGAACGTTTCAGGTTATTCATACGACTCGTGACACCTGAAAACACTGAAAACATTTCAGTGACTTTAACTATCTTTTTAGGCCTGGGGTACTTGATAATATTCTTGTTGATTATAAAAGGTAACTTTAAAGAGCTGAATTATTGAATAAAACAACAAAGAATCGGAATTATTTGAAAGAGAAAGCAGACTTACCTCGCTGGCGAGTTAACCTCAGGCAAGTTTCATTTAGAATTTTTATGACAGCTCAACACATGTGATTGACGTTCTCAGTTTTCTATGATTTATATGCGACATGTGTCAATCAGCGTGTTTAATAACATCTCTGAACATTCATCTTTAATTTTCGGCTGTGACCGGCTCCGAAAATACGTAAAGGAATGTTACGCTGGATTAAACTCCTTGCCAGAATGACCTATTTTTGACGTATTACTGAAAAATAATGTCAAAAGGGACCAAATTGCATCTGTACTGTAGTTCCTTGTTTTAAAATCTTTTTCTGGTTGATCGCACAAGGTTATGCAACCGGCTTGAAATGTGAAACCGAAAAAATCACTTAAAATTCAATGAATAGTTATACTAATATTTTTTACTTGAGGCATTGCGTCCCGATCTCCTTTCCAGCGGATCATTTTGAAAGAAAAGAAAAGAAATATCAGAGAGGCAAAAATTCCCCAGAACGTCAACAAAAAACAGCGATTTGAAATCATTTTACCTGCGTAAAAAGTTACATGAAAAAAAACCACACACTCAGTCGTCTTGATTGGCTCCTCTGAGAGGAACTCAGTTTTGTTTGTCCCTGGAAATTTCACGTTTGCTTATTTAGGACTTTTTTAATTTGTGTAAATCATGTGATTACTTATTCTAATTAACATATTCATCTTACCGGGACTAAACGTACATTTCAAGTACTGAAGTAGCGTATGGACGATAAAAAAATTAATGAAAGATTACCAGGCCTTGTTTACCTCCCAAAATTTTGCATAACTATGGTCTTCGATTGTCTCTTGGGACAACTGTAATATCCAATTGGAAACAATGGTTATGTAAAATAGTTCGCGGGGTAAACAAAGTTCATTATGGATGAAGAGGAATGATAATGATTCCGATTACGTCAGTCACAACACAGGAGAAGCTCTAGTATCTCTTCAAGAACTGACGAAAATAAGAATGCTTTCGGAAGTAAAACAAAAGCACAGTATCAAAGCCTAAAATGTAGCAACTAATTATTATGAGCTGGAAGGCACTAGCCTGCGAAAACAGCCTTCTCCTCACTCTTGGCCGCTTGAGACGTTTCGCCGGGAGGCGAGGAGCGAGGAGAGGAGAGAGGGCTGTTCGTAGGGTCAAAGTTTTTGATTAAGAGAAACTGGAGCTACGCGTTTAGCAAGTGGTGCGCATCGTTGGTTGCAACTTTCGAACAGAAGAGGGCGTGGTCGATCACGTGACCTGATAATTTTGATTTCTTTTTTCAAGTTTTTTAAAGGTTAGTTGAACTTACCATCTATTATTCCTGGGGGATTTCTTAAACAATGGTTTTTGGAAACTTTGCATAAAAATAACAAATGACTTAGAACCAGGTCTTAGTCTACTTGAGAACATCCTTAACGCTCCTAGAGTAGGGAATGCAAGGGTTGACGGAGAATGTGACTTGATTCACAAAGATTACCTTAACAAAGTTGATTGATATGCACTCTTCCTGTTACTGACGAAAACTTCCATGCAGTTTCTCATAAGCACGAGACTTTCGCTGCATTACTGTATGCGCAACATTTTGGGACCATAACATCATGAGGTCAGAGAACAACGATTGGGGAGCGAATAATTCACATACGTTAAGTCCTATTACCCTTTTCCTCAAAAAAATAACATAAATACGGCCTAGACCATGAAAAGTCCGCGAACGTTTCATGAGACGACCAAAGTTCATGAAAAGCCGTTCGACGTCTCGTCTGGATGAGTTTGGATCAGGTCCAAAACGCTCTATCCGTCGACTTCAAACGGATAGAACGTCTGAAGGTCGTCTCCGGGACAAACGTCGATCTTCATATGCGACGAACTAAACTAATAAATTAAAAATTTGTACGATAATGTATATTTAACCTCGTTTGGGAGAAAGATTATTAATGACCGGCTAAAATTGCTTTTTTATAGTCTGATTCACTTGATTGGTTCGGCGCGTCCTAATATAAGTTCGACGTATACCCCCGGGAACAAACGATCTTAACTTAGTTTAGGTCGACCCAAATTAGAGTTTAGTTCGTCTCATGAATAGTTCGACGTTTGGCCTAGGCCGGCCTAACCTGGAGTTTGCCAGTGTAAGGATTCATATAGCCTTTTCGATCCGTCTGCACAGATTAGTACTACAATTGAAATAGCAGTGAAAGAACTAGCTGAAAAGTATCAACTTGTCAAAGGTGGGATTATTCGAAGACAAGGTTAGGATTCTGGCACCTGCAGTTTATGCCAATGAAACAAATTGCACCAATGTGAACTTAAGCACTGACAAAGAAATAGATTCTAGAAGTACAAAAATAACAGAAAGATCAGGCGAAGTAGTGGGGGGAGGTTCAACATGCGACGGAAGTCAAGATGACTGTTCAGTCTGTGGCTATTAGTGAGGTCTGTTCACCACAATTATACGAGTACTCAGAAACCGCGATCTCTCTGATAAATGGCTTTTGCACTTTATGCTTTAGTTTCCGCACTAAAATGCTCCACCCCCAATTAAAGCTTCATTTTTCTTATCAAGATGCTCGGTCGCCTCCCCAAAAGTCATATTAAAATGCTGAAGGCTAACAAAAATGTGTAAGCAGTATGACAACAATGTCATAATGTCATTGCTTAATTACCAAAGCAACTCGTAAGACCATAACCACTGAGACAATACTCGACTCGCCCTGACTAATGATAAGACAAGGACTTTGGCATCTGGTGTGGTGGATACTGAGATCAGTGATCATTTGCTGTTTTTTTACTGTCTTACGGTTTTTAGCGCGTAGATCGCGTTCACGAAAAATAGAGAGATTAAGATTCGCAACCTCGTCCCCAGGGCGCTTTTCCCTGGCTTTGGGGGCGGGGCGGGAAAAGGGAAAAGCGCCCTGGGGACGAGGTAAAAGCGCCCTGGGACGAGGTTGTAAGATTCGCGTTTATCGCAAACGGCAAACGTCAGACTCAAGTTACGAATTTCTCAGAATAGAAAATAAGCAGATAAAAACAGTCTTGAACGATTCCTATGGTTAAAACTGGCATAAAACTACTTCTTTTTGTGTAGAAGCAATAAAAAGTAAACGGAAAATAAGGGGAAAACTTGGTCACGTGGTACAAATTCACGTTTGCCGTCTGGCGTAAACGTGAATCTTAATCTCTCTAATATGTCTTCGTAGCCTGAAAAATTTCAACCAAGATAAATTCATGCGGGATATACATATGACACCTTTCTCCATAATGGTTCTGTTTGATGATGTAAATGACAAGCTCTTCGCCTTTGAAAAACTTTACAATCAAAGCATCGGCAGCCGAAAAGTTACCGGGCCTTTATAGGAATGGGCCCCAGATCCGGTCGACAAAGTCGCAAGGACCTATAAGGAACATGATCAGAGTCGTCTATGGCCGCGGAAATCGTAAAACTTAACACATAGGAGTACTTAGACAAAACAGTGTTCATTTTGTTTGCAAAACTAAGATCTTGGGTATATCTAATTTTGTAAAAATAGGAATCAAGTGTACCTCCCTGGTCATTATGGGAGGTTCAAAAAAAGGCCGAAACCGAACCAGCTTCAGGTTGTTATTCAACTGACATGCAAATAGCCCAAAATTTCAACTGACAACTGTTAACAGGGACGTTTACGACGAAACCGGGTTCAAGTTTGTTCTTCACCCGGCCCTTGGGCATTTTATGTTCGTCTAGCCACAAACATGGAAGTCATCAAAACCCAGCGTACCCAACCCAAGGTAGCTATTTCCCTAAGGGGAGCTATAGGGAAAAGGTCTAGTGTAACCGCACCTATTTTTTTTTTGCTAATTTAAACTGTTTGTTTTTTTTTTGTCGACGTTCTCGTTGTCGTCGTCGTTGATTAAGCTCTCCGAAACTGGGAAAGGGATTTTTCTGGCGTCAGCCATCTTAAATTTGGAAACGTTGCTTCTGAAAACAAGCTCATTGCTAAGAAGACTGTCACTGTCAACAAACAAACTACATATATATTTTTTTTTCGCTCGTTCACGTATTCAGCAACCACGGCTTAATATACTGTTTGTGGCAATTTTAATTGTTATGCAACACATTGGGAGTTTAATCCCTATAAATGGGATACAAATATCATTAAACAAATATTTAATCGTTTGTGGTATGCAAAACATCAACGGAATACGGAAAGGTCTAAGAAACTTCCCCGTTAATAACTGCAACACACATTGCTGACAATATGTACACATGTTTCGGCGCATTTTATCTTCTAGCTACAACCTATTTTCCCTTTCTTCCTTTCGGCTTTGGGCTTTTAGGTGGGCCGGAAGCGTCGGTAGAAATACCCATTTTCTTTGCCATTTCTTCGTCTTTTGCTTTTATCTGTTGGTCCACACTGGTTTTGAGCTAAGAAAAAGGCGAAAGTTAAACACAGGTTGTCAGGTTTAGCAAACAGTGACTGGTCTAACGTTTATATCATCGAAAAGACAAGATAATGAACTTTATGAGCCTAACAAAGCCCATCAGCCATCTTTGATTCTTCCAGTTTAAGCGCTAGCCTTTTGGAGGAGGGGAGCAGGTAAACAAAACGGGAATCTATATCCTTTTTGTCCACATTACTAGGATCACAATTTGGTAACATGATTTAGAAAAAAGCTATCAGAATTACCCCATGGAAATAATTTGTTGATTGTAAGGTACTATCAGCCTGGATTATTCCAATTGACATATTTTATCATCTCGTTTCTAGCCAAAAGAAACTTCCAGTGATCGCCCCCGCCGTATTTAAAAGGGAGCATTAGCATCGACGACATGCAGCAACGCCAGCGAAATCAAATGCCACTTTCAAAAGGACTTTTTTCAATAATTTTCTAAGTTTGTCGCTATTTTTCCGATTTGCTTAAAATGTCCTTTGTAAGTGAATTTTCCTGGAATTGAATTCTTGGAGACTGAATCCAAGTATAAAAGTAGGAAGAAAACATGGTCGTGTTGTGTTTACCACCTCCATAAAACGTCCTGTGAGGGAATTTCATGTAGTAGTAGTGCAGTGACGGCAAAGAAATGTACAAAAAAGCTTGCTGCAGGTTAAAAGTTGTTTTTCGCTTATCAAAACTACTTTTTTTTGCCGTTCTCGTTGCCGTCAACGTCGTCGTTGCCAATTTTGAAAGCTCCCTAATTTTAACGGTCCACGGGAAGTGCGAAGCGCGGGCCAGCTCGGGTCAATGATGAGGAGACGAAGAAAAACCCCTTTCTATCTCGCGCTATCGAAAATGTTGGGCTTCAACCTCAAAATTTTTTTCTTTGTTGTCATTCAACACGAAATGAACTTATCGTTACATATTATTTGTGTTTGTAAGGGAGGATTGACTGTATCAAGTTCCCACACAACATCATCTTAGGCCAGATTAAGTCACAAGTTAATTAATACCTGTTGAACTTGTTCAGAAAGTGCGGAGTTAATTATTGCCTTGAGTTCCTTTACCGCTGGGGGATCTGAAAATAAACACAAACATATTAAAATTTATTAACTTATCAAAATCCTTTGAGAAAAAGAAAATCAGCCCGGTTTGTTTGCTAACATATCCAAGTTTAAAACTGATCCCTTAATTTTGACTATCAGTGGCATTTTTGACAGCGAAACAGTCCAACTGGTTCGTGTATTAAGGGTTAAATGGACGTGAGTGGATTATAATAGTTCATCAAATTTCGTTCTGATGATCTAGCTTGATAGGTTTCCCTCACCCGTCCTCCCAATTACAAAAACTATGTTATAACGACTTCTATAAGCAATACAAAGTTTACCTTTTAAACACCCAGTACTAAAGTAATTTGATTTCTCTGCCCATACTACCACTGAATAGTCATTTCTATAGTTTTTTAAAAAAAAAATCTTAAGTATGACGTTTTGCACTTTTAATTTTCCTTTCTCCGTTGTACGTTACTTGTAATTTTATGTAAATATCATCTACGCCAGTTAATTGCCCGTGGTAGTAGCCAACTTGACAGCCTAAGCTCTTTTGGTCACCGTGCACATTTCACCTTTCATGATTTATATAATTTGTTGTTCTATTTTGTTTTTCTTGCTTTTGTAATGTATTGTAATCTATGAAGTAACCTCTTAATGGTGCAAATTAAAAATAAAAAATCTGAAATCTTTGCTAACAGCTACTCTCTCCAACATTGGCCATTTTAAGGTTATGCTAAGGGTTAAGGTTAGACTGAATGAATGTCATATTTCACAAGAATTGTGAAAATACAGGTAAAATTCTGAAAATTTCACGAGTAAGATGTAATTCTGCGAAATTTGACATTCATTTTCTCGGGCACCCATAAGAAATTTTCTTTGGTGTTAATTCAGATGACTAATTACATCTTTAGCCCTTGAGAAATGTATAAAACAATGCAATATGCTTTAAATTATTCTCCACTGGTACAAGGTTTTTGTCCACTGAAAATAAAAATTACTCAGTTTCCTGATGGATTCCCTCTTAATTTTATTGACCTAGTACTCTGAGCCTGTTCTTGTACTGTTTTTAGCCTACAGTACACATAAAGTGCACTTGTTGCGATTTTATAGCCATATTTTAAAAGTGTCTTATGTACTGAAGGGAAATTTTAAGAAGTGTTTTTTTTTTCAATTACTGCACGCGATATCTACATTCCAGTTGTTTTGTTCAATGAGAACAGTTGTTTATAGAAATTCGAATGTGCTGAGCGATGTATTTGTCAGTACGGTCCTCAAGTCATGAAATTTGAGCCTGCCCTGATAATACGGCCACACCGTTACCACCGCCAAATTTTTTTGGCCCATTGGTGACTGTATTAATGGGGTTCCGTACGGTAAATAAGATTATAGATGATGGAAAATTGTTGTTGATTTGTTTTTTGTAATAACATTCTTGGCAGTTCTTTATAGATGCCTAAAAGAAAGAGAAAAAAAATTGCGGCACCATCATATCATTTCCTGCCTGTGCTCTGATCGTCCATGGCTCTTGACCATTAAGCACCTGAAAAATTGATTACTTATATAATTGTAAAAATATAATTCAAACCTTCCTCCTCTTCAGCTACTGCTTCTTCAGTTTTCACTGCTTCGTCAGCAGCCTTTTCAAAATAATAATAAAAAAAATTCATGGAAAGAATAAATTTTCAGCTCTGCGAAAACTATTTTGTCTTGGTCCATATTAATCATCCTTGAATATCTATTTTATCATCTGGGAAACTTCAAAGGATTGCTCTCCTCCTAATCCCATTATGTTTCCTTGCTGTTTTCTGTAGTAAATTTAAAATAGACTTTCAGTTGTGTCCCTTTTCTGTGCCTGCCTTTCGTGTCTTTCAATGCTGAAAGCAGCAATTTATGCTGTTCAAGCCTGAAATTTATTACAGGCTTTCTTTTTGCAGCTGCAAAGTAATGCCTGTGATTAATTTCCACATGTTTAAACTTTCTACCACAATTCAAACACATCAAATTTCATTAAATTCACGATTAAAAATACAAAAGAAAAGCAAGCTTGTGGCCACTGGAAAAGGGTGTATGAAGATAGTGACCAGAAACTTCTGAGTGGGGTCAGATGCCATTGAGAACATTATAGACCATAAAAGCCCTACATGAAGAAGAACAAAAAATATAGGGAATAGAAGGGTAGAAAACACAATGGTAACTTACAGAAATGCCAGTGACATTACAGGAAAATAGTCAAAGGCAAGCCTAATAGATCAAAAATCTTTCTTTAAGAGTACAAGGCTGTGTTCATTAATCCCCCGCCGCCCTCCCCCCCCCCCCCTGATGGCCAACTGTCTGAGTTGACAGTTCATTATTTCACTCTTATTTTCACTTCTCCAGGACAGCCACCTGCCTATAACATGTGGTAAACCATGACAAATTGCAGTCCCAACTGCCAAAATGACCTCTCATTTAAAACAAAACATGTACAAACTGACACACACATTGCACCGTAGCTGCTTTGTTTTATAAACAGTTATGTTCTGAAAATTTTGGTTTCTACTTCATTAATATATTTTGATACTTTTGGTTATGTATTGATATTCCACAAGTATTTATATCATTCTAGTTAAAAATGTTTTACCCATCTCCTCAAACTGGTTACACTGTGCTGCTACCTACCCCTAACAGCACCCTCTCCACAGGCTACTCAATATAATTGTCCCCAAGGTGGCACTGGTAGAGGAGTTGACTCTTTAATATGTAAGTGTATGAAGCTCATGCACTTTGCACCAGAATCTCAAGCCAGCACTTTGCACTTTGCAAGACTGATTTTGAGAAAAAAAATGACTGTAGCTCACTTAGTTTATAAAATTATTGACCAAACAGTGATCTGACCTGCTCAGCCTCTACTGTGCCTTGATTTTCCTCATCACCAACTAAAACAGAGTTTCACAAACAAGTCAATTTGCTGTAACATTATTTATGAAGCATCACATTGGCTGGGATACAGTCTGCTAAATGTACTACGCTTACTTCAGACTACTAAAAGAACGCATGTTTACTACTACTAGCCTAGAACTGAATACCACAAAATCAAAGGTAGCAGTTATTGGCACTGTACAAATATTGACTTATTGATGAACTCATTACAAGCAATTAATTGCCATTAAAAATCTCCTTAATACAGACACCAAAGGAATGAGCCAAGTGTATAATGTCTGCATCCCAAAGCTATACTTTATTGTAGACGTAGAGATTTAATGAATGAAGTTTGGTATTTTTGAGACCTAGAGTACTGTCTATAACAGAGTCTTTGTAAGGAAAGAGTCAACAAACCAGTGGAGGCATCGCAAAATATCAGTTGTTTTCCCAGGCTAAAAAGCACGATGGATGGCTGCCTATAACTCAATTACTAAATTTTTAGTACTTTAAAAATGTAGCCTACAAATGAATAAAACTTGTTGTTACCTTCAGAAGGTTCTGGTGTCTTGGGTAATCCAACATACTCAAAACTGAGATCTAAACGTACCTAATACAAAGGAAATAATAATGTAGATATTATCACAATCATTATGGCAATCCCAAATGAGCACCTGAACATTCAGGAGCTGAAAAATACGTGGTAAAATGACATACATGGCTTGAAATTTGAATGAGTAAATAATAATTTTTTTTGTTGGTAATACATCAATGTTTTTCACTTCTCATTAGGTTTTATATGGTGTGACAACATGACAGGCTGTTTGCTATGGAAATGAATAAAAATATAAAAGCCCTAACCAAAAATCATTTTAACTTTAACATCAGACATCAGTTTTAGGACTAGTAAAAAAAGTCATATTTTTTCCTTACCTTTGGTGTAAATGCATACTTGTACATTTTAAAATGCCTAAAGTACCTGATGTAAAGAGGAAACAAGAATCAATTTGTTTCTGAAAAATAGTTATTAGAGATCTTTAGATTCAAAGACAAGAAAGACTATGAGTGCGAGATTTGACTTAAATGTTTTTCTTATATTCTCAAAAAATAGACCACCTATCGTCTCTATTATTAAAATCATAAGATCAAACAACAACAACAAAATTGCATTTAATGCTTACGTATTAACTGCATAGCTTGTTAATTTCTTTACTTGATCAACAGAGAAGAGAGCAACACTGTACGGAGGCCTCTGGGATAAATTTAAAGGATGCATAGACATATTAATCACATTGTAAAAACAAGTTGTCGTGTTCTGAAAGTTTTAATTATGTTGACTACAAAAATGCTAACCTAGTTATTTCAAAGATGGTAATTAAGCAGCAATTAACTGACCTTCACAGAGTGACATAACAGTAGCTCCTTGAAGTACTTAAACACTGGATCCACATTTCCATATGGGGTATCTGTCAATCAAGAGGCTTATCAAAGGGGCTATTTCACGCTACTTGCATTAATAAATTAATAAGTTCCGACAATTTATAATGGTCCAGCTTTGGTTTTTTGAATATATTACTAAAAGGCATTATTTGAAACTGTTTCCTGCCATATCTGTTGTAATGAATGGTAAGGATGGACACAGACTGAAACTTGAAAAAGAATCACCTACACATTATTATGTTTAGTGCTCCCTGATGAAAAGGTTTATTGTAAATACAGGCACTAAGAAACACCTTAAGCCAAGAATAATTGACCTAAAACAGTATTTTTCTCATGAAGGGAAAACAAAATCAGTGCCATGACAGAGGTTTGGTATCACACACTAATTGCTACTGATAGAATTTCGCAGACATTTCTTTTGAATTTCTTCAAGAATTACTGTTGACTTTTGGCGGGAAATCGCAGCGGTCGGACGTGTATTCATCGTGTCTGCCTAACATTGCCAAAGATGACCCCTCTCTGGCACCTACTCCTATGAAAATACACTATCTGGCTCCCTGACGATGTAATCTACCTTCTTCAATGTAAATGCCTCCCAGAAAGAATAAAAGAGGTGATCGTGGCTCAACCGAAGACGAACCAAGAAATCCGAAGAAATCCAACATGGCGGCCGAGGAAAACATTGATGTTGAAGAACCGATTGAAGCGGGCAAGGAACAAGAAGAGCCTAGCCTTCTTGAAATCAAGGCTCTACTGGTCGACATACAAATCCAAATAGCTGCAGTTCTTAGCGAAAATCGAACGCTGAAGAAGGAAATCGAAGAATTAAAAGAATCTGCCAACTTCTACGAGAAGGAGCTTAAAGATTTGAAAGAGTCCTTGCAAAAGACCAAGGACGAATACAAAGAATTAAAACACATGCTAGCCTCAACAAGGAACGAGCTTAAAACAACAAAGGAGAATCTAGGAAAGCAAAAAGAAGAATCCGATCGACTGTGGGAACACCATGATGATTTGGAACAATACACTCGAAAGAACTCGCTGGAAATCCATGGAATTCCAGAAGATGCGTATCCCAGTACGGAGGCCGCGGTCATCAAGGTTGCTGAAGCCCTAAATATCACCATAGAGCCTGAAGAAATAGAGATTTCACACAAGCTGAATCGGGGCAAATCCATTATAGTGAAATTTTGCAATCATAAAGTGAAATCGAAACTTTACAAAGAACGCACCAAACTAAAGGATGTCAAAATCAAAGATCTATTTCCCAGCTACCCTTCAAATGCACAGGAACGACAACGTATTTTTATAAACGAGAACCTCACGGCTTATAGGCGTAGAATCATGAAAGAAGCGAACAAGAGAAGACAAGAGGGTACTCTACTCAGTGTTTGGTCTTTGGATGGTAAGATTTTTGTTAAGACATCACCCTATGGCTCCCCTGTTAGAATTTTTTCCGAAGAGGACTTAGATCAATTATAAACTGAACAGGCAAAATAATCTACGTTAAGTCTGGAGAGGGACGTCTTATCAACCATTCAAATTTCTCGCTGCCAAAGTAATTTAATTTTACTAACTACAAATTTGTCTATGCTCTGTTCTTTGTTTTTGCGCTACTCTTTTTTATTTATTCAAAGTGTTATTTTGTTTAATTTACCTTTTGTGATCATTTGCTTCAGTCTAATATTATATGCACGTTTTAGTCTTCATTATTTGTTTAAAATATCGAGTACCTTTTGCATCAATCATTTTACACCTAATAGAAAGAATGCAAATCCTTTATTGAGGCGCACATGTTTTTTTCCCGTCGAGACAACGTTTATTACAAAAGACTTGAACAAATCGTGACTTTGAAAATAACTTCATTGAATGTCAGGGGACTTAGGGATGACGCTAAAAGAAGAGAAGTATTTAATTGGCTTCGCGCCAAAAGGCCATCAATATGCATGCTCCAAGAAGTACACTGTATAGAAAAAACAAATCACTTGTGGAAAGCAGAATGGGGCTATCAAGCTTACTTCACCTCTTTTGAAAGCAACAAAGCAGGGGTATGTATTCTTTTTAACAATAATTTTAACCTTCAGCTCCAAAGACTTTACACCGACCCTGCAGGGAGATTTATTATCTGTGACTTAAAAGCTAACGAAAAGCTTTTGACCCTCGCTAACATCTATGCTCCCAACGAGGATAAACCTTCATTCTTTCAAAACTTTTACGATCATCTTTTAAATTTTAATTGTGAAGACATAATAATTGGCGGTGACTTCAACCTTGTTCTTAACATCGAAAATGACAAAAAAGGTGGCATTGCCAAAACTCACCAAAATAGCTTGAAGACCGTTCAAGAAATTTCAGAGAACCTAGATCTTCTCGATGTCTGGAGAATTCACAATCCAGATGACAAAAGGTACACTTGGAGACAACGACAACCTAAGGTTTACTGTAGACTTGATTTCTTTTTAATAAGCCAAAGCGTTATTGGGGACGTCACTAACACCGATATAGTGCCAGGATATAAAACAGACCATTCCATGATTACTTTAGATCTGTCTCTTCATGCAAATAGCAGAGGACCCGGCCTTTGGAAATTAAATACCTCTCTTTTAACCGAAACTGCTTATGTTAATCTTATTAAGACAACGATTAAGGAAGTTCAAGACGAATATGAAAATGATGACATGGTAAACTCTGCTCTATTGTGGGACATGATTAAGCTTAAAATACGGGAAAAATCGCTCAAATACGCAATGAATAAAACTAAGAAAACAAAGGGCCGTGAGGCAGAACTAGAGCATGCAATTTCCAAACTAGAATCGAAAATGGAGAACGGAGACTCTAGCGTAACAGAAAATTCTGAACTTGCAGAACAACTGAATGATCTAAAGAGTGAGTTAGAAAGAATTATTGAGACTCGTACGAAAGGTTCCATATTGAGAGCTAAAATTAAATGGCATAATGAAGGAGAAAAAAATACGAAATATTTCCTCAACCTAGAAAAGAGACACTATAAGCAAGGCATTATAAGCCAACTTAAAGTGGACGAAAATAACTTTATTACTTCGGATCAGGAAATATTAGCAGAAGGGGAATCTTTTTTTATGAATCTATATACATCCAACAGAAATATACACAATTTAATTGACACATATGATTTTTTTAAACACGAAAACGACACCGTCCTGAATGACGAACAACGGAACAACTGTGAAGGCCTGCTAACTGAAAGGGAATGCCTTGCAGCCCTGAAAACCATGGAACAGGGAAAAACCCCTGGATCTGATGGGCTACCTTCAGAATTTTATAGAGTATTTTGGACAAACATATCAAACTTATTGATTAATGCTCTTAATTATGCGCACGAAACGAGTCAGCTTTCCATCACACAAAGAAGAGGAGTAATCAAACTCATTCCCAAGAAAGACGCTGAGCCGTATTTCATTAAAAACTGGAGACCGCTTACTCTTCTCAACTGCGACTACAAAATTGCAGCAAAGGCTGTGGCTAACAGGCTGAAAAAGGTTCTTCCCGATCTCATCAGCTGTGATCAAACTGGCTTTATGAAAGGCAGGTTTATTGGCGAGAACATACGATTAATAGACTATGTTATTCGTTTTACCAAAGAAAAAAATATCCCAGGGCTATTATTATTTCTTGATTTCGAAAAGGCGTTTGACACGATTGAATGGCCTTTTATCATAAATTCTCTTCAATACTTCGGTTTCGGCCCAAGTGTTGTAAACTGGGTCAAATGCCTTTACAGCAACATAGAGAGCTGCTTCTTAAACAACGGCTGGACAAGCAATTTCTTTAAAATTGAAAGAGGGGTCAGGCAGGGGTGCCCGTTGTCTCCATATCTATTTGTTCTTTCAGTCGAAGTCTTAGCCAAGGCTTTTAAAAGAAACAGCAATATCAGAGGAATACACGTTAACCAAGAGGAAATTAAAATAAGTCAATACGCAGACGATACAACCTTAATATTGAATGGTTCACAAACGTCGCTCTCAGCTGCTCTCAACACACTTGACGATTTTGGAGAAGCCTCGGGTCTCAAACTCAACAGTAAAAAAACAGAAGCAATTTGGATCGGAACATATAGTGGAAAAACAGAAATTCTTCTTCCAGAAAGAAATTTCAGATGGCAAACAAACAAAGTAAAATCTTTAGGCGTTTGGTTTACGACAGACCCTGAAAACACTGTACTTCTAAATTATAAGGAAAAACTGGAAAAAATTAACAATATTCTAAGCAACTGGAAATACCGTAGATTAACCTTAAGTGGGAAGATCACTGTTCTGAAAAGCTTAGTAGCTTCTCAAATTGTGTACGTCTTGGCACCCTTGTGCACAAACAAAAAAATAATTAGCGAGATTAACAAGCTCTTTTACTTGTTCCTTTGGAACGGAAAGGGCGATAAAATAAAGCGAGATATTATGATTAACAATTACCCAGCAGGTGGCCTCAAAATGATTGACATACTATCTTTCAATAAAGCGCTAAAAACCACTTGGATAAAAAAGTACCTGGATACAGATAATCAGGGTAAATGGAAACTTTTTCTAGATCTTGAACTGAAAAAGTTTGAGTGTACCCTACCGTTCACAAGCAACCTTAATAAGATAGACATAGCTAATATCTTCAAAACGCAAGACAGTTTCTTAAAGGAAATTCTCCTAATCTGGTCAGAAATCAATTTTGAAGAGAGGATAACATCAGAGAGCCAGCTTTCAGAACAAGGCATATGGTACAACTCACTTGTAAGGATTAACGACAGCCCTATTTTCTTTAAAGAATGGTATCGTAAAGGCATCACAAAAGTTAAGCACTTAAGGAACAGAGAAGGAAAATTCCTCACTCCACCAGAACTTTTAAACAAATACGACATCAAGGTCCAACCCTTGGCATACTGTGGAATAATTTCTGCTCTTAAAAAGCTATGCAACACATTCAACCAAGGTGACCACACAAACGAAGGTAATAGTTACGAAAGCTTTTCGACAAAACTAATGAAAGCCCAAAAAGCAAGCAAGTTGGTGTATGACAAATTAATTACAAAGAAAAGTGCCCCCCCTACTACAAGCCAGCAAAAATGGAATCAAGACTGCAACTTAGGTCAAAACGAAATAACGTGGGGTGCGACCTACCAGCTAGCTCATAAAATCACAAAAAGCATAAAACTCAGGGAATTTCAATTTAAATTGCTGCACAGAAGAATACCAACAAACGCTTTCTTAACTAAGATAAGAGTAAAAGAAAACTCCAACTGCTCCTTTTGTAAAAAAGAACCAGAAAAACTCGTACACCTTTTCTGGTCCTGCCCCAAAACGGCGCTCTTCTGGGAGAGCATCATAACGCGATTAAAACTTTGCCAAATTATTCCCGATAGTTACTCTGCAGACATGACTGTTTCACTAGGCCTGAGATCAGACTCTTCTAAACTTCAACGCCAGATCAACTTTTGTTTTCTTATTGCCAGGCACTATATCTGGCTCTGCAAAACAAAAGAAGCTATACCTCTATTGCAAGGATTTCTCAAACACCTAAAGACAATTTACAACATACAAGCACAAGCAGAAGCAAACAATGTTCTGCCCAAACAATGGTCATTCCTACACGACATCACGTAGAAACTATCGTTTCTACCATGGCGCTATTCCCAACGCCCCCTGATATTCTCTATGTCTTTCATCCGTAGCTTATCCTGCCTCAATAACGCCAACTATCCTTAAATAAGTTTCTTCCGATGCAACTGTGTACTTGAAGCATACGAAATGTAATAATGTTTGAAAACAGAAATATTGTTAGCAATGTAAGCAATAAGTATTGTCAGTATTGTAAGTATGGTATGAATGTTGTAAATAATGTAAGCAGTGTAAGCAGTGTTCAATATTGTAATTATTGGGTTAAGTAAAGCAAATAAAAAAAAAAAAAAAAAAAAAAAAAAAAAAAAAAAAAAAAAAAAAAAAAAAAAAAAAAAAAAAAAAAAAAAGAATTACTGTTCAGTTCAGCAGCTATATCAAAACACTCCACTCAGTGTTTCAACTGATATCCAGCCACCTCAAAGTCAGTGTTTTGTGGTGTCTGAATATCAGAAAAAAACAGTGTATCTTGTTTTTGATGATTGTGTTACTGCAACTCTTTATAAGCAATAAAGATATTACTTTTATTTTTATTAGAATGTACTGAAAAAATCCACCTTTTTCATTGTAATGAATTAAACAATAGTCACCGCCACTAGTCGAAAATATTCAAATGAGAATGCAGAAATACAGCAAAATAATATTGTAAACTTACCCACAGTCATCTCATGCACAGACTTGATAATAGAGAACCACGCTGATGTCTGTTCAGTTGAAAATTCATTGTCCTTTGCAAATTTGTTAAAGGTTAAGGAAAAATACAGTTTGTAGCAAATTACAATTAGCTGTACTTCTTCTGGGTATTTTGTACAATTAAACTTCTTAACCTCTGTGTCTTCATATTTATTTAAAGCCGTGCAGGCATGCATGACTATACATGAAGGTGACAATGTTTCTTTGCGGCTAAAGGGACTTTGAACTTTTCAGCTCCTAGCCAGCATTAATTTCTTATGTACTATAACTTACAACAATATATTTTGCATAAATTCTGTCATAACCAATTGCTCCCATTTTGCCACCATTACTTTAAATATTTCTGGTTTTATTTTTAGCTATATTTTTAAGGGTTTGTTTTCTAATTAAGATAAGGTTTTACTATTTTGTCAAAGAACCTACATGCAAGTAAAATCAGTTAATGTTATTGACAAATACTTTGTTTTTCTAGATATAGTTATGTCAACCTCTGAAGAACTAAAATCTGGAGACAGTCTTTTTCTGCAGTTACCCCATCAAATATCAATCCAGCCCTCCACTGATACCCGCAAATTGTGGGTGTGTCTCAGGATATTATACTCAGTCTTATAACGGTAAAATAATCGATGTTACTAATTAAATATAAGTAAACATGCCACCAGAAACCATACTAAGAGCAAGGCTGGCACAGTGGTAAGAGCACTCTTCTCCCATCAAATGTGGCCCTGGTTTGAATCCCCATGTCAACACTATAAGTGGGTTAAGATCAGTTTGTTGCTATTTCTCTCTCTTGCTCCAAAGGTTTTTCTCTGACTACTACCTGTTTTCACCTCTCCTTAAAAACCAACACTTCCAAATTCTACCTTGATCTGGAATGCACAGACACATTTTAACAAGTTCTTAGAACTCCTTTAAAGAAGTGTTCCATGGGAAAACAAATTAGAAATAACAATATTATAACGTAAAAAAAAAAGGTTTGAATTCAGGGGAAAATTTGAGCTAAATTCCAAACTAAAGCACAGAAAAGCTCTGAAATTAAAGCTTGATGTTATCTGGGAGATTTGCTGGCCAGTATGAAAGACCAACATTGTGCTGTATCTGGGAGACTCCTGGGTGATCCGAGAAAGTTGGTACATATGCAGTTAAGCAGCATAGTACACGTCACATAACAGATACACAATCTCTACTAACATCATTTCACATAGACTGTCAGTATCATCAGCCCTTAATCAGCACTTACAAAAGGATATTGCAATGTATAAAAATAGAGATCCACTAAAATCCCCTGTCTAAGATCATCTTTCCAGTCACTTAGGTGGAAGATATCTGCCAGTAAACTGCCATTTTGGAAAGGAAAAAAATATAAGAGAAAAAAAAGCCAACAATTTATTTTGCAATTTCTCCAATCCAGCTGCAGCTGTAACCTTCAAACAGTTAATTAAATATTTGGAGGTGTAATCCAGGTGTTTTTCCCAAATGAAGGCTGGTAAGTGGGCCTACTAAAATAAAAGGTGACTAAAAATAAATGGACTTATTGTTTTCATTTCATTCTTTGGGTCAAAGAAATGTTGGCCTGCAGTCTACATCAAAGCATCCCACCACAGACAAAAAAAACCCTCTGGTGCTCAGGGGGGAAATGCTAGTTGTATTGATTAACTCCTACCTAAAATTATGCAACAAGGCTTATGAGAAGTAGGTAAAACAAAATATCATAACATAAGAAAACATAAAGTAATAAAAATTAGATTTCACTTGTACGCAGGCTGTAACGAGGAGTTGAATTCAACTCAGGTATTGGTAACTGAGAATCAAATTCAGCAGAAAGCTGCATATTGTACTAATGTGGGGGAACTTGCATTGAACCCAGCTATAACCAATTAGCTGAGCAAGGGAAACGCCTTCCTCTACATGATCAGTATATTTATATCATTCTTTTATTGTTTAACTATTTTGTGCTGTACAAGCCAGTTATTTTAGCTTATTTTTAAATTAAATACTAACCACTGAACTTCTTCTGGGGTTTCACTTCTTTGGATGTTCACTACATTGTCAAGGGTCAAGTCAGTCCTGAAAAAATTATTAAAAATTAAAAAGAAGTTCTAAGTCACTTTTAACCGTTAATGAGTAAAAATTGTTGCCTAAAATCAAACTGCTAACCCTACAGACTTACCAAACTAAGACCCTTGGTTTGAACTTTTTTCCCTACAAAAATAGGCCCGGAAGAAGAAAGTTAAATACATTTCGAACTCCACGAACACTAAGTATTAAAAAGAAACTAAATGTACTTTATACCTCGTCTAAAGAAGGCATTTTAAAAGAAAGTTTTCTAACTATCTTGACTGTCAACACCCGCCATGTTTCGTTTCCAAGTTACTTATCTTGAGCCCGCGATATGAACGCTGGCGCGGCTGCTAAGCTAAAGACAGAAAAATAACAAAATGGAGGAAAGTCGAAAGTTGACATCTTGTGAAATGTCAGTGTTCGCCCGTTAAAATCGACCACTTTTAAACGTAATGTTTGGCAGTAGTGGTAAAAATAAAAATGCAGAGTTTGTTGGAAAAGTTCAGGCTGCACGTCAGCAGCGAGCGGAGGAGAAGGAGAGAGAAAAAGCTGCCATACAGATTCAGGTTTGCATTGTTTCATTTTATTTTTTCCACTTCAGAACTTCTTATTAAATTTGACACAAGTGAATCTATTTTTTTGCATTTTACGTATCCTTCAGATTTTGTATCATTTTGTTTTGGTGCTTTGCAGGCATGGGTAAGAAGATTTATTTGTGTTGGACGGCTGAGGGCAGAAATAAGGTATCGAAAAGGAATTTTTAAAAGATATAAATCAAAGCAAGTTTTACATTGTAAAATTAATAAAGTATCCTTCCAAACTGACAGATATTCAAAACCAGGGAAATTTCATGGTATTTTTTTAAGTACTAGCCCTTTGGACAGAGTTGTTGGTGGTCAATTTGTCTCATTAGCTCTGGTCAATTAACTCTATACCGTCCTGTGATTGCCTAAGTGTTAGGCATTGCTTAAATGGATCCAACACCCACAATTGTTGAATGAAACGCACTAAATGTCTTTGAACACCTTAAAATACTTTGAACATGAAAGGACTTACGCCATAGAATTTTATTTGAGGTTAATTGAGCACACAGGAAAGGAAACATTCATAATTTATTTAGTGCTCCAGAGATAGTAGGATATGGTCCACGAAACTGAATAATCACAGCTCATCTACAACGAGGGACAAAAGTGTTGAGACACCTTTTTCTATAGTGGACATACCTATCCCCGTCCCTTGTCTACCCCAACCCCTTCCCCCTAAAATCAATGTTGTATTTTGGACCCTCAAGTCTTTCTTTTACTTCAGACAACATTGATTCGGAGGGTGAGGGGATTTACAACATTAATTAAAAGGAATGAAATAGTAAATGAACTAAATGTTGGATAAAAGCACCCATTTTAAACAAGTGTATCAGCTCCTGTTGTTCCGATTGTAGCCTATGACGCAAAGTGTTTCCTTGACATTCCCTGATCTTGACCAATTTTTGATTCTTTGTTCAATTTTTTCATTCAATAAAATTCATTTTTTTGTCTTTGTATTATCAGTTATTTATTTGAATAATTTGAAAGCAAGACAAAATAGTTATTATATTCTGTACTTTGAAGTGTTCATTTTGAAGGAGTACTGATCTTTTATTGGAACTCACTTGAAGGCCCTAGGAGGGGAGAGGTTGGGTGAGGCGAGTTACTCAGGTACATACCGGGTATAAGTTTTGGAGGGATCCCTGGTTGTACAATAAATAGGAGGGATGCAAGGAAAACAATCCTTAAATAACTCTTCATCTCATTCAAGACAATTCTCCTCTTGTTTCTAAGCAAATATGAGACAATTTGAAAAAAAGAACCTAGAAGTTGATCAAAAGTCTCTTATTGCTTTAGTAGCTAGGTACCATTTTAATAAAAAGACCTCTTTACCCTTTCACACAGTATCTCTTATGTTTTGTTGGTACATGCAGGGATGAATTTGACAGGTTCATGGAACAGAGTACAACTAACAAACCTCCAGGTATGACTCAATGCCAGTATTTAGTATTTCTAGAAAGTCATTGCCCATAAAAATAAGAGAAAAACTCTGGCTGGTTATTCTCCTGTGCAGCTGCTCATGCCAGAGTCACTGCAGTGGTTCAGACGGGAAGCGTTGCATGACTCTGGCCCAAGTAATTTCCTTCTTATTGGTCAAAGACACAGATAAGTCAAATCTAATTAAATAATTGAACATTCCAAAAATGTTTTCAAGGTCACATAGTTTTCTTTCTTTGTTAGAGACTAAAATTTGAATAACAATCATGCAATTTTTAGTCATTATTAGTTAACATTAATTATTTTTAAATTTCATTTTCCATGACCTCAGACTTGTTTAATCATGGTAATTTAGTGCTATGACATACATGTTAAATGTACAAATTATTACATCTGATCATATCATGCAGTTTTTACTTTCTTTTCTCTTTTAGCAATAGATGTCTTTCACATTGCTCGAAAATTTCTTTTCACTTTCCAGTTGAAAGATGATGAAAAGGTAGACAAAACTCTAATGATCATTTTAAACTAGTTTGTATTAATTTGTGATTGTCTGCCTATGGTTGTTTCTTGAAAGCAGCACTATTATGTTATTAAAGAGCCTTATGTAACTAACTCCGTTATCTATTTCAGAGGTTTGAGACACTATGTAGGCTCATTCTTGGAAGTATGGAGCCAGCACAGAATGAACTTAAGGTGAGTTGGTTTAAACTTTTTACACTGCGACATTTTTACTTTATCTGTTGGTATTATATTATTCTTCTGTTGTTTTGATTTGAGATAAAGGTTGTGGCACATATTGAAGTAGCAATAAGTCTAAATAGAATTTCTAACTGAGTTCAAGGTCAGTTGGTGTAAGCTATGGACTGAGATTTTTTCCCCATTGTTTTATAGCCCACGTGCAAAGTGTGCGGTCAATAAATAAACAGGAAAAAACTACATTGTGGTGTATTCATAACTTATAAACTTAGAAAACTAGGTTTCTGTTGAAGGTATTATTTTAATATAACTCTGAGGTAAATTGAGCAAACAGTAAAGTAAACTTTCAAGTTCAGCACGTCTATGGCATTTAAATAGGATATTGTCCACAAACTAACCTATCACAGCACTGCTAATTAAGATATATCATGATGTGAACTATTATATTTCTCTGATTACCCTTTGGTCTGCATTTGATCAATTTTGAGTTCTTTGTTTGCTATATAATTTTTCATTTAACAGAATGTTTTTTGTGGAGTTATGTTTTATTAGATTCATTTTGTAGATGATATTCTCAGCTTGGGTGCTTTCTTTTTTCTTGTTTATAGTTGTGCTATGTGTCTGTTGTGCTGTCTCAAGATCTCCTTCTTCTTTGGCTACAGCAGCTCAAACATATTTTACTAATTTGCTGCAAACTGATTCGTCAATTGAAGGTGGGCATAAATCATATTAAATTTATTGCATGCAGTGTGCAAAGAAGGAAGTGCCCGATAGCCAGGGGCTGGTGGATTTTGCTATCAGGCTAGTGAATTCTGTTCTTAACTTGCCTGGTGGGCAAGTGAAGTTGTTTGGGGAATTTAAATCATAGAAGAACTGTAATTAATCCTGTTCATCAAAAATTTTTTGGCGCTAGTTGATATGAGTTTTGGGCTAGTACATGCTAGCTACAGCTTGTCCGTAAAAAAAACTGACTTTCTTTCCACCCTGATAAGTTCAAAACAACATGTTTAGGATCACAACTACAATTTATCTTGTTTTTTTAGGGAAAAAAAATTTTATTATACTGATGTCAAAAGCCCTTTCGTATCTGGACTGCCTGTGACTGACTCCTGTGCCTTTACACCACAGACAACTTTGACATGTATCTAACTTGTGCAGAGTGAAGAGATATCTCATAGCACCATTCAGTCAATTGGACAAAAGAAAAATGCAAACAATAAATTATCTCAGAAGATTACAGTTAAAACTTTTTCCACTCGCCATCATCAGTTCTTTCAAAGCTAATCTTTAAGATCCTAAAAGTTTTCCCTGAACTTTCCCCACTGCAATGAAGCATTAGTTAATGCTCAGCAAAAAAAACAATAGGTAAAGAAGAGCAAAAGAAGCAGGAGGAGAGATCTGCGCAAATGTGAACTTTAAAAGCTGATATTTACCAATAGGAGTAGAGGGCAGCTTGGTGCTCAACTTATAAACAACATTTTGGGCAATTTTGGTTGCTTTGGGCTAGATAGTGACCAGAAAACGGTTAAACTTGCTTCAAATTGTAATTTTTTGACAAATTAATTTGCAGGTGGTGAATGGTTTGATTTTAACTTGTAGATTATTTGTACAAAGGCCCTACCTTTAGATTAGGGATAAGTTTCTCATGACTACAGTAAACTACAAGAATTGCTGATTAAAATGTGTTTGTTGTTTTCTTTTTTTACATGCAGCCTAATGTTTCTACTGAAGCAAAAAAGATCAGCATTTATTTAAACATGGTAGGCAAGAAAATTAATTGAATAGTAATTTATTTGAAATTGCGAATTATTATTATTTGTAAGATATTGCTGAGAAGTAATCACATCAGGATTAGGCCAGGGGAAAGAGTACAGGACTGTAGAGTGGAATCTCATGGGTAAATTGTTATCCTCATAACCCATGAGTGAGAGGAACTAAACTGCTCACCTGTTAGTGTACGGTTTACTTTGAATTACAGTTTATAACAAGAGTACTGCTGCTTACAAACAAGCTTGATTGGCATCTTTAAATTAATACATTCATACAATGTATGTGTGGTTTGTGGTACTGAGTTTCTTATAAGTGCCTCTTGTCATCTTTCTTTGTAACAATAGAGGGCTTAAGCGATGACAATGACGACAACTAAGAAAAAATCACTTAAAAAGTTAAATAGCGCTTCTTCAAACTTTATCACCCTTATTCCATCTCGTTTATTTCATCAAATGTTCGCAAATTTTTCTGGAGGTTAAATTCTAAAAGGCTGTAGCAAAATTAAAGTTCAGAAAAGAAGAAAGTCTTTGTGTTGTGTTCGCGTCATCCACAAAACATGAAAATAGGCATTTTCATGTGGTAAAAGTAGTCGTGCAGTGGTGGCAAACAAATGTACAAAACCTGTTGTTTTGCCAATCTAAACCTATTGCTTTTTTGCTGTCTTGTTGACATTGCTGTCGTTGTTGCTTAAGCCCCTTTTGTACATCCAAATGGCTTTTGTTAATGAGTTTATTGCCGTTCAAATGAAGTATGTTGTTC